CAGGTTATCGACTCGACTGTGACTCATAAGGAACATTGTAGAATAGTATAGAACGTTATGGTAGGTACTGGAAGGTTCTAGTACAGTACTTGTATAGTAGTATATAAGACGCTAGCTGAAGTCGATGGACTTCAGCTCGTCCATCTGTTATACACGCCCTTAGCGCTATAACGATTGACGGTTCGGTTACGGCCTTTTAGACTTAAGACTAAGACACCGCTACCTTAACAACAACAACCCCACTCGACCTAGTGCGCCTAGAGTCTTGACTCTCACGCCTAAGTCACACGACACAGCCTAGACTACGACGACAGACTTTACGCCAAGTCTAACAACCACGACGGTTCGGTACCCGCCTAAGGTACCACGATCTAGGGGTTCTTACACCTGGAGCGAATGCGCCGCAGACCACATGCTTCCGAAACGAGTCTTTCCGGGTTTCTTGAGTGCGCCAATCTTCTTTCCTCCAGCTGTGACAGACTGACGGAGGCGTGCCTTAGATTGCGTGGACTTGCTGAAGTGCTTCATAACAGCCCGGATCGAATCTTTCATCTGATCACGCTTAGGATGTGTCCAAATGTACAGCATGCTGCTATATACTCACTGGTTTGAATTCGGGCAAGTTCGTGATGTTTTCGATCGTGTTGTGGATATGATGACAGGCATCGGGGAGGTTTGTAATGGTTGGTATAGCTTTGGTGACTTCGCGTCGGGTGTTCTTGGTGACTGTAGTGTTGTCAGAACATACGGCGAGGATAAGGCCTGGGCCAATGCTTTCAATGGTCTGTATGTGCCATGAGCGCGTGCCTTTGCGACAGATAGAAGTACACAAACATTGAGGAGTCGGGATGTGATCCACTCGACAGTATGGCTTTCACGCGATCCTTGGTATCCATCGAGCAAGTAGCTGTGGCGGTTGAATGCGGAAGTAGCGTGGACAGTGTAGAGAGAGTCTTGGCCACGAGTGCTGGTGCCGTCGAATGTAATGGTCAGGCTTCCCTTGGCCTGAAGCTGCTCCATCTGCAATTTCCGCACGTTTGCCGCCTCGGCAGGAATGAGCTTGTTGGTGAAAACATCGGTGGACGTAGCATGGTACTTCGGGTTAAGAAGTCGCATCAGATCTTTCCAGATGGTAGAGTTGATCACGGAGGGAGAGACTCCGCAGACACAGATGAGCTTAACGATCTGTAAATCGACCAAATTCTGAAAGCGCGCCTCTGCATCCTTCTCACGCTGCACTCCAGCTTTCACAAACGAGTCCCATATGTTTTTGACCTTCGGTTTTTTGGGTAATGGTCTGCCTTCTGTCTCCGTTTCCGTTTCAGCCAGTCTCGCACCTAACGACTGGCCTGCAGCGGAATCATTGGCAAAGGCCTTGAGATCCGGCGAATGCGTTCCCAAGACCGGGCATCCAGTGGCATGGCGGAGGACACGATCCTGTCCTGGATGGCCTGCACAGGCATAGTCACATCCCTCGGCGACACATCTCCACCATGGCTTCTCTTTCCCATCCTTGTCAACCTTCGTAAACTTGATTGCCAAGGTCGAAATGACTTTGATCTCTGGTCGACCGCGGACCTGTTCTGCCTTCCGCTTGGTGGGCTTTGGAGAAGATTCTTCGGTTTGCAAGGTCGTGTGGGGCACAGGGTCAGGGGGAAGAGGAATTTCCAACGCCGAGTCATGATAGACTTTCCGTGCAGCTTCAGCAATATCTAATCCCCACTTCTTGATCACATTGTTATCCAGAAACTTCGAGTGATACTCCCGAAGAATCTTTGTGACAGAGCAGATAGCCGTGCCTCTCTCCTGGATAGTGAGGAACCCATCGCCTGTAGTCCGTGTCTTCCAACCGAAAACCTCCTTGAACTGCTCATTTAAAGTCCCAACTTCATCCTCGGTGTGCTTGAGATGTTCGTAGTCCAAGGTGAAGTTGACAAAACTGCAATACATGGATTCTGTCCCATTACGGAGAGGAAGCGCAGCCGGCAAGTGCTGCAGCAAGTGATCAAGATCATTCAATAGCTTGATGAATTCGTCCTGGGATAGATTTTCTGCTTCGGGATAGGAGCGTTCATATTGAGAAGCAGCGGGCATTGTATTCCAAAGGCGCGGTGAGAGATTCCCGCTGACAGACACCGCGCAAGTCGGAAGTCCGAGGCTTAAGGTGTGGGAATGACTACACAGCTATGCTCGTCCAATGAGAGCTTGCGGCTGGTCAGGTACACTTACTCGCAGTCAAAATTAACAATATCAGCAACTATGGATGGTGTACCGCTCCCGGAGGAGCAGCCACGAGATATTTGATTAAGTTACATTCTTTACATAGGTGCTGCCTCCGGGACTTTCTTACAAGTTATATACTTGTTAATTAACATGTTAATAAACCGATGTTAATAACATTAGCCTTTTTCACATTACCCTACCGTGTGCGCAGTTGTCTCGTAGCAGAGATTGGTGAGGCACCCCGAAATGACAACGGTACTGCGCCCGCGTCCCGCAGGCGCTTCTCCAGATCCGTGTTCAGAAAAGAGGCATATTGGGTTTTGGACTCGATTCGCTCATAACGGAGGGCAACTGCGTCGATGCCAGGCATGGGAGAACCGCAGGACACTAGATCCTGATGGGGTCCATGAGCTTGGCATATGCATCGCTGCGCCGATAATCATCGTGTACCTTCTTCTAGGGCACCCCAGCGACGTACGAGCGATCTCATGTCGGTTGTCAATGTTACGTGAGAACGGCCGAGACATGTCTACTGTGGTATGCGCGTACGTCCACCCTCGCCGACCAAGATGTTTGAGCCACGTCACGGTCATTGAAGTGATCATGTGAACATGTGATGCCCAGCGCCTATAGTGACTCCTGAATCCGAAGCTCTCAATACCATACACGATCACTCTATAGCTTTCTCAATGCATCGTCTAGGTGGTGTCGGTCTTGCAGCGTTTGAACGACAGCAACAATCCCAGAGATCTTTCGTTGAACTCTCGAACGAGCTCTCGCAAACTCAGCTTCAGAACCTTCATTCGCAACTCGCTCAATTCCGAGCTGCCCTCTTGCGCTTCGCTAGCACGCATCGGGACTCGATCAAGCGCGATCCCGCTTTTCGACATGCCTTCCAGAAGATGTGCTCGTCCATCGGCGTTGATCCACTCGCCGGTCCGAGGCGGGGCGGTTGGTGGGCCGAGATGCTCAACCTTGGAGATTGGCAATACGAACTGGGCGTCCAGATCGTGGATATATGCGTCGTCACTAGGGAGCGCAACGGAGGGTTAATTGAAATGAGCGAGCTGGTGAGGCTCTTAGGGAAGCTACGTGGCGTCGAAGGCGGGGCGGTGACGGAGGAGGATGTGGTGCGCAGCATCAAAACACTGCAACCCCTTGGCGCCGGCTACGAAATCATTGATGTCGGCGGGGGCAGAAAGATGGTGCGGAGTGTCGTGAAAGAACTAGACGCGGACCAAGCAGTCGTCCTGGCTGTTGCTCAAGAGGAAGGAGGACGGATCGTCGAAGACTTGCTGGTGGAGCGTCGAGGATGGACCCGGGATCGAGCTCGGGCTGCCTTGCAGAATATGCACCTTCGGGACGGGCTGTGCTGGATTGACGAGCAGGATGAGCGCGGGGGTGTCTCGTACTGGGTGCCCTCCGCTATGCAGTGGGACGAGTAATCCCTGCAGTATGCACGCTGCTGAGCCTTGAGGTAACGTCGTTCTTTGCATGATCGACCTTGTTAATGATCTTTATGGTAGGACAGCTACACTCCCTTCTAACTAAGTCGCGCCGTCAAAGGGTGAAATGCCTGAGCCCCTATAACAGGTGTCATCCGAGCGCTGTCAGCAATCGTCGCCAGGCGCCGAAGCTTAACGAGGTGCATACGTGTGTTCCGACACGTCATCAAGCCAGGACGATACCTCTCTCCGTCCGATTCTGCAATAGCCTCACGGAATGCTACAGAAGTCCTCCGCCGGAATCCAGAACAACACTTTACGCGATAACAATACACTATCGTACACCGTCGAGTATGTCTACACCCACCTAGCATCGGATCTGAGTATCACGAATTGCTCAGAATCCTCCTCTATCGCTATAACCCCGAGGCATCCATATATCAGGCTCGTGTGTTGTTTGTATCGGCCGGTTCGCGTTCCGGGACGCGCCCGCTTCGGGCTGTGACGACGCCATATCTATGCGGTGCTGCGCGGCGTGTGGTGTGTGCGCTTCCGTTGACGATTGCGGAGCCGATTCTTCGTCCACGTTCGCAGATGGATGCATTTCTATCTCCGTTTCTTCGGTAGCTAACGAAGGATCGTTACTGAATTCCAGTTCACTAGGCAGCCGCCCTGTGGCTCTCTGTGCATTATCTTCACGATCATAGTAGTCCTTCCGGACCGAGATCATGAGTCGATTGACGAGCACCGAAGACAGCGCGACGCTTGGTCCAGTGAGGAGGCTGTTGATGCGAATCTGACAGGAATGAACTGAGACTTTACGAGTCCTCGCTCGGGCAGTACGTAGGTGACTTACGTCGTTATGAAGCCAAATGACGCCAGCTGCCGCGTAGATACCAAAAATAGGGAAGAAATAAAAGATAGCATCCCAGGCCAGCAGGTTAATCATGCTACCAGGTCCTCCTCGGCCGCGGGAGAGCAGTCCGCCGTGGTCCCGGTTCTGCCACGCCTTGAATGCGGCGAGGCCAAGGAGGACGAGCTCCACGCAGACCCCAGCGAGAGTTTCGTACGCTATGCGTGGCGCGCCCGGCGGGTCAGCTTGTGCACACATGAATACGTGCTCGGATATTTGATTCGTAGCTATGTGGAAGGGTGGTCAACATACTGTCTCGGATAAGCACCTCTGCGAGGGACGAGACTGGTACGTACTGCTGACGTGGCGAAACTTCGATCGGCGGAGTGTATTCCACACGATGAGCTCCGCAATCAGAAGGCTGACTAGCAACAAGCCAAACAGCTTGCGAGTGCCGTACATCACGTACAGGCGAAGCTCGAGCATGACTATGAGTCTCAGTTTTGGTGGTGATCCACAGGCTACGGAGCGCGTGATCCACTCACTGTGCGTGGTCACGACTTGCGTGCTCTGTAGGATGCCCGAATAGTCAAAGAAGGCGCTGCCTACGGAGGTGATGTCAGTATTACGCCTGTCGGACGAGGGGACTATCGCACAGCTGACATTTGATCGTTAATAGCAGATCTCGGATAGGAAGAGTGAACTTACAAGGAAAAGCTGGGATGCTCCAGCAAGAAGCCTTATCACCCGTCCTTAGTTGAATTCGTGCCTTGCCAGGACGAACACGACGAACCAGCAGCAATGGACCTGAGGGAATAGTGTGCATCAGGCTATCCTCTAGCTGCTGAAGGAGCAGCATATCTTACGTGGTATAGACGATCCCCAACCAGCGACTCTGAATGAACGACACCTTCATATAGGGACTTGACGCAGGACAATATGCGTACCCAGATAAACAGCAATTTGCCCAATGTCCAGCGCTTCTTCTACGGCATATCAGCGCACCTCAACGGCAGGCACTAAAAGCGCACTTACCCAGAAATACTGTATCTTCACAATCAAAAAGTCATCACTCTTACGTGGTGAAACGAGAGAGACGATCCGGTACCTCGCTATCCATTTGAAATACTGCGAACTGTTAGATGGGTGTTTACACTCGCACTACGATGTGCTCACTAGATTCATAGATTACAACCATAGCACCTGTAACTACGAGCCATTGTAAGCACTTGCTATCCTTGGAAGAGATGGATGTTACCTTGGGCGTAGCGTGTTCCTCTCGTAAGCCCCCAGTTTGTCGCTTCGGAGCCGATGGTTTGCATCATCAGCCAAAGGGTCGGGGAATGAAGAAAGGAGCCTGCGGAGAATGGGATATACAGCTGCGTCGGCATGTCGACACGGCTCATATGTAGTGTCGGATCGGAAGGAACCGACAAACGATTCGACTACCGATCCGGTCACATCTCTGTTCGCCGACCGTGTACCTTGGATCCCTCTCGCGCTGCCTGGGTTCCCGATGTCGAGGACGCGCCAAGACGTCGTCGTATCCAGCCTCATGTTATATGCGTGTGGGACTGCATATCCATGCGCATGCCTAACCTGCAATGTCCTTCACCTTCTCTTCGCGGCCCGCAGTGACCATATACGCTCTATCAGTGGAGCGTGGACTCTTGCTCGACATGGAAGCATGCGGCGCGTATGCACTGATTGCGAGCCCGACACGTAATTATCTTGTGGGAGGTTGCGTTACCCACACTCGTTTGACGAGAAGCGGAGGTAAAAGACGAGATGAAGATACGGTGGGAGCTGACCGCACCCGATCACCCGCAGTTACCCGCTGATGCAAACCACCATGTGATCTAGTAGCAAATCATGTAACGGGAGCTTGACTAGGACCCATGCTACACAACCTCGGGTTGCGATGACTGGTGTCCGAGAGCAAGCACCCGCCGGAACCGCATTGCTTCTGCGATGCGCTGATAGGCGACGACGCTCTCGGTTCTTATTACGACTGGGAGAACTGTATCAAGCCTTGCTTTACCACCAGCACACCACCCGCGTCTCCCCTTCAACTGGAGGCTTATCCGATGCACGCACTGTGCATCTTCTGCGGCGCGACCGTCGTTCTACTCGCGGTAGTTGACCGTGGATATCTTCCGGAGCCGGATGTGCCCGTTCCGGGAAAAGGCGCCACCGACTCGCACACAGTCTCTCAGGCTTCCATATGACTACGCAAGATTGAACACATCGAACATCTCCAATTACCGCTACGACCGAGTCTTCGCTGCAGATGGCGTTGCTTCCGCTGACCTTGAACGTGCGAAGTTGCGTTCACCAGCTTCATTGGGGTGACTTCGCTCTTTCTCTGGGGACCTCGCAAGACATGTATTGTTAGTACGCGCACGGAAGTTTCCGAGTCTCTCTCGTCCATACCCCGGATTGGATGCCTTCCAACCTGTCCCGCCTGCGCGAAGGTGAAGAGTCGCCTTACTCGCTACCTTATAGTGCTGACATGGACGGATAAATCCCAGGCAACGTCCTGACGAGTACTGTCTACTACGTCGTTATAGAAACCCTCGTGACTTGCATACTTACGTATGCCCAACCGTGCACCTTCTCATGACTATCAACGAGGCCGCAAGAGCACACAAAGCGATCGGGGTCATTGGGCGATGCATATCTCAGTACATCCTACTGTGCGAAGTGCTACTGCCACTGCTCTTCATCATGGCACCGAGACAGGTACGTTGCATGATCGTAGCGTGAGCACCACGACCTCCCAACGCGTTCGTCGGCAAGACGTGTCGTTGGTCGCCAGAGATCGTAAGGTACGAAGGGGACGATCAGAACGCTAGGTCATGATTGTCGGCTTTAATGTTGATAGAATCACGCACTGGTCTGCGCCCAACGTGTGGTTGAGTGAAGTACCGGATACATCGGGGCCAGCAAGCGCCATTGGAAATTGTCGCTCTATGTTAGGCGATGGCCACGTCATAGCATGCAAGTTGATTGTTAGAGCCTGAATGCACAGTGTAGAATCGGTCGCCGAAAAGACTGCATTATGAATTGTTCGAGCTGGCCATGGAGTTCCCCATAGGCGGTCAATTCTTCCTTCTCTGTTCTTGCAATGTAACCAGGCGTTCGGCTGTATCAAGCAGTGAGGCGATAGCATGCGAGATCAATCCAAGCGTCACCGGTAAATGACGCCGCCTCGGGCTCACCAAGATATATACCGGTCGCGCAAGACCGAGTTGACACTTGTAGTTGAATAACTTGAACGGGTGCGCGACCCACGCTCAGCGCTTCCGTACTACGGGAGGATGCCATGACCTGTCAGCTGCGTCAAACGATGACCATGATTTGTTCACCTCAGCAGTATGCGCTGGAGCTCGATGTCTCATTACGACACCCGAAACAGAGGCAAGAGTCGGTCGCAACGAGCAGCCGATGCGCGGCGTACGTAGAATAAGTTGCGCGAAGAATGTAATCGCCGGAGAGCTATTAGGGGCAAGAACATGAAATACAGCCCTTACCGCAAAGAGGAAGACACAGCAACCGCTCACGGCGTCAGGTGGCAACGGGTTCAGGGGGTATTGTACCGGTGCAGAAGCGTTGCGAACACCTGAAGTTTTAGCATGGGCCGATCATTGGAGCAAATGCTATGACACATAACAATTTTCGTTTACCGAGCAGCATTCGTAAGGCTCGCGGTGTGATAATATGGAAAGCGTAGAGTCGTGTGTATCAGTATCTATACCAAAGATGCACAAGTCTCTTCGAGGACGCGAAGCTGCAGAAACTTCAGTAAATAAATCCGTGGTTAGGATACAGAGCATCGATAGCGTGGGAACCACGTGGCTCGTGGGCGCTTTGAGGTCGGGCAACGAGACTCTTTTCGACACGAGTACCGAGGGGGCAGCGGAACTCACAGGCAACGCGCGAGAAACCTGGTAGTAACCACTAAATAGACATATTCAGTGGTCTGTTCGCCAAGGTGCGTTGCCTCAGCCGAGCTCGACGGTATTATTTTACAAACTGGTTGATGCACTGCCGCACGCGTGGCCAAGTCGGAATCCGATGTGCTGTACTGGTGGGTCACTGCCTCCGTTGGCTACGATTATATTCAGACTATGGCAGTCAGCTCGTTGGGCGACCATCAAGCAACCAGGACCTTATTGACGGAGTGGCGCAGAGAAGTGTGCGCGGTCATCAGGGATCTGCAAGATCATGATTAGCCGTGTTGTTCTTGTCTCGCGGTGCGCCATTGGGCAAAATGTTGCACTTGCCCTATAAGAACCTAGGGATCTACCCGCTGGGATGAGCAGACCTGCCCGGTCCGTCGTCGATCCTTACGGTCTCATCCTCACTCACGTCTCTCTTTGCTTCGACATGCTATTCATGATTTTCACGAACATACTTACGATCCTTACGACGCTCATGACACTCTGGCAGTGGATGGTGCAGCAGCTAGGCTTATCAAACACGGAATCTCATCCTACTCCTCGCAGGCGAGGGCTGCTCATAGGCATCAACCACTCGAGAACCGACAGTGATTCTACCCCGTTGTCTTCCGGGCCTTACAGAGACACACATAAAGATGTGGAGGCGTGGAAAAACTTGCTTATTTGTACGTCCATATACTGTACAAGGATATTCATTGAGCAAGGGTTTGCAGCTTCGTACAGTTACGAAGAGGACGAACTGGTGTCGATGATCGACCATGAAAGTTGCAAGCCTGAGCTTCGACCCACTAGGTGCAACGTGGTGCGTAGACCTCCAGGATTTCGTGTTGCTCGTGGGCTAACGGACTGGAGCAGCTCACGCGGCTCAGATTGATGACTCAGGATGCGCGAAAGGGCGATCGATTTTTCTTCCTTTGTAGGTCTATGCTTGTACAGTCATCAGCTAAACTCAAATGATCTTAGATGCGGGTCATTCCTCTCTCAGCCCCTCGTCGACGGGCTTGGACGATGCCGACCGGAGACTTGCGAATAGTGAGCTTGGGCACTATCTCCGTATCAAACAACTGAATGTTAACATTGCCAATTCCAGAACTCTGGTGCTCAGATGGTTTGCCGATCCGTGACAAGGTGAAAATCATGGAGATCAGCATTGTCATCAACTCAACCACTCCAGGAGTTACGGTATTCCTTACTTGGAAAATTACCCGCGGGCGCGAAGTTGACGGTAAACCTGATATTGTTTGCCCCGTCAGTAACTCACACGCCTCTAGGCGGTTGTGGATTCATGCCATTCTGCTTCATTCTTCGGTGAGCGAGGACTTTGTCTCTCGTTCCCGTTCAATGCTCACTTTTCAAGCAGGATTGGAACACGGGAACTGTCACTTACTTGCTCAAGCACTACGCAAGCTGCGACCGATGGTCGCGCCACTGAGACAATGCACTCTCAAGGTTCTCACCGGCCAACATTCTCCGCCCGTCAACACTTCCCCCGTCCTCATGTCACCCGACAGCCCGTCTCCTCTAGCGTCACGACAGAACTCTTACGAATACCCTCATCAGCTCTGTGCTGGATTATGCGCTCCTTCTAAATCGAGGCTTCCCGATGTCGTCAGTTTCAATATACATAAGATTAGCGGCTGATCTAATTTTCGCCGCTGCCCAGCTGTCTATCGCAGCATGCGGTGACAGACAAGAAACATATTCCGATGATAACGGCGGTTGTTTGACAAGGGTATGGGATCCTCGTACTCGTCTTTGCATGGAGCTGACCAGTCTACTAGTCGTTAACGGCAATATTGCGTGAGCAAAAATGGACTTGACAACTAGGACTTCTCATCATGCATTCATAAGGTCACAACCCTCATCCAACGCTTGCGGAGTTGAATGAGTGGCTTTAGTCAGCACAGCCCTTGTACAGATGTAACGCTGTACTGACAGTATCCCCTGCAGTTCCTCTCTTCGACGAGAGAATGAAATAGATGGCCGTCCTATCCGACAGAAACCCCAGGTACCGTGGCGTAGTCTGTTTTGCCAGCGGCAGTAACTCACACGTTGTCGCGAAAGCTTCGAAGCATGAAACCACTGGTGCGTTCATCTGTACCTTTCATGTTGTCCATTGACAATACTAATCGCTGGAGTAGAACTTCGACTTGACCAGATTCACCGTCTGAGATCATGTGAGCTATAGCTTGCCCCTCCCACAAGGAAACAAAAGACAGGCCAACAGCGTTGACCGCGCTTGCAACGACCATAACGACCTATGTGTGGATGGATACGGATGCGATAGCATTACGCTGTCACTCACGACCATTGCTCGTATTTTAGATTCATCATGAACCAGCCAAATCATGCTATTATGTATCAGCAAATCGCACAGACTATCCATTGCATCATAGTATGGACAACTTTAGACATTCGGCTACAATTGTAACAATACGTCGCTATGGACACGAATAGAGGTGCTGTTTCGGTATATATCCAATTCGTTGTCCTCGGTGTGATGTGGGACAGCGGTCGAGAGAGCCACGTGTGCCCGCCATGCGTGCGGTGTTGCGGGACACCACAACTTCGTCGACTTTCCTTCCATCCTCCGGTGCCGAACATTTACAGGGGCTTGACGTTACCCCCAATGCACTGGACACCCCTCGCACCAGGCCATCAATACAATTATTTTTCTGATATTCAGTCTCTTGAACCTTGAGAATGCCACCTGGAAGACCATCGCGTGGGTCACTGACGAAGCCCATCGTGCATAGTGGATCATATATGTCATGCAGCTCAGCCGTCTTTGCTAGGTCTCATGGTCAAAATCCATTCTCGGAGGAGCTAGGCTGTAATATACTGAGTGAGGGATTCAACCCACAAGTGGCACCCCGATCCACTTCAGATGGGTCAGTCCGTGTATATGTGCAACCCTTCTCATACCTATCCTATGCAGATGACGTAATGCGCTTATTCTGAGCTCTCGTTCATAAGGATAAGGGCTCTCGCCCGGGGAACATCAGCCCAGCACTTGCAATGACCGTGTTGCTTACCGCTGCGTCCGGTCGAACGTCGCGCTACGTCCTGCGGGCGCTGCTTCCCTCTACGTCCGACATCCGACTGCTCGTACGCTCACAGCGATCCATCGACTCGTTAAAGCAGAACTTTCCCCGTCTTCAGGACCATCACTTCGTCATCGTAGAGAACCTTCTCGACGTTCAAGCACTGGCGTCTGCTTGCGAAGGCATAGATGTCGTGTTTTACAATGGCCCGACGTTTGTATCGACGGAGACTGCCATGGGCATAGCGATGATCGACGCTGCGTCGAAAGCGGGCGTCAAACACTTCGTTTTCTGCGGTGTACTCCACCCATTCCTTACGAAATTGATCAATCACAAGAACAAACTCCCGTACGTCCTTTCCGATATACTGTGTGTCGAAGTTCCCCGTTTTTATCGATGTCAGCATCCAAGAATATCTGACGGAATCGGGTCTCAACCATACGGTTCTTCAGGTAATGCTTAATCGATCTTCTCGTACACCATCGGGCACAACCGACTCGTCTCCTCGTAGCCCACATCAATGATGCAGAACATCGACATCAAGGAGGCCGCATCGTCGGGGAAGCTTGGGGCATGGTACACGCCGTCTGTGCTCCAAGGATTCGTTGATTTGAGTGACGTCGCGTCGGTCGCTGCAGAAGTCATCCTGGATCCTACGGCGCATAATTATGCCAGCTATGAACTCGTCGGACAGAACAGTTCTCTGGACGATGTCGCTAAGGTTCTCGCGCATGAACTGAAGAACAGCGAGAGCGGGACGAAAACCGTGGAGGCTGTAAAATTACCTCGGGAACGGGTGCTTCAAAGTTTCACGAAGGCGAAGGGTATCCAAGGCTACGTCGCCGAGGACGGTTTCGAGCGACTGCTGTTCTATTATGACAAGAAGCACGTACTCTGCTGCTTCATGGGAGGACATGGACTGACCGCCATCATTGATTAGAGGGATACCAGGCAACACTAACACTTTGCGCTGGCTCTTGAACCGCGAGCCGACCTCTTGGCAGTCTCACATACGTCATGAGCTCAAACTAAAGAATACAGTAGACTTCCATAGTGCATAAATCTCGTTGGGGACGAATGATAGTGCCATACACTTCCGAGAAGGAACTGTGCACCGACAGTCTATGCGATTTTTATCGCTTCGTTGTTTCAATTGGTTGTTGTATGTACATTGAACGTGTAATTGTGATGTAACATTGGGCTCAAAGCCCCCACAAAAATTGGCCGCAAAGACATGAACATACGAATATACTTATATTCTTGGTGCCTTGTCGCCTGGACCGGGCTTTTTGATACAACCCCGTGACGAGTACGAACCTCAGACTTCGGACTTGATGTCCCCAACACGGGTGGTGACACTGGCGTTGTGCGATTCCTGGACGACGATATAAACATGAGTTGACATCTCCGACATTGTCCGTGACGATTCGTACTATATCATCATACGTCTCGAAGTCGCGATCAATGCTGATGGTGATTCCTTGCTTCGGCGTCGGTGACTGCAGCGAGCGAACGTCGACTGTCAGCTACGCACGGCGACTGCGATACGAGCGGAATCTCACTGTATAACCACCATCGGGGTACGTCTTTTTCACGTTGGACAATTGGAACGAACGCTGCTGGGTGTTGCTTGCGCCGAATGACACGGACACGTCACCGTTGTCCCTGCTGCGACCGTTCGCAGAGGTACTGCCGCCGCTGGTGCGCGAGTTCTGGGTGAATCAAGTGAATATTCCGTGGAACGTTCGAATAGGGACTCAACGTACCAGGGCGGCAAGGATTGAGTTGTTATACACTAGCACACACGGTCAGAGAACGTTAGCCACGCGATAGCGAGCACGTACGTCGGCCGATCATGAAAAAGAATGTAATATAAATGTAGGCATTCGGCCATGCGAGAATCTTAGATGGTCATTGAGCACCGATAAGCGGAAAACGCCGTGCGACGCACAGAAATCAAAGACGCCATAGCGCAGACACTGGTGAGAAGACCGGTGTTGAAAACGAAGATCATCTATCCACAGCAGTGTGAATCGACGGCGAACGATCCGTGTCCGTGGCACTCACGAGCCTGTTGATCGTGCTGTCCGACCTATTGCAAGACGAGGTCAGACTCGCTCACAGCCAGGGTATAGAAGGACTACTCGCCGCTTGAATCCACTCCGTGCATTGTGGAGCAAGAGGCACATGGCTGCCGCGATGAGGACGTCCGTGATCGCGCCCATGATGTTGATGGCCTCCGAAAGCGGCTGTACGAATTAAAGTTAACCATCTTCGAGTGAGCAGCCGGTCCAGGCGGAGGGATCGAACCTTGATCTTTGGAAGTTGCGACAACAAAGGAAGCTGGAATGCTCTGATAGTATACGCTATTATAGGAGGTTAGCAGGGAAGTTGTATATAAATATTCAGCTCCACGAACCCAGCAGAACCACTGTAGGCATCGCAAGTCAGTGTGATGCCGATGCTCACGATCGGACATTCTCACCAAAGTTGCCGAGGACCACTGCGGACTGCGAAGCGCTGATTCAGCCGAAGTATATTCAGGGCGAAGCGCGTTGAACGTACGACGAAGACGGTCAGGTATATGTTCTTGTGGCTGACTGCGGAGGTGAGGTTCTGATTAGCAACTTCAATCGACAGTTATAACACCAAAACTCACGTCTCCAGATGCTGCGAAGAGTGACGGTGAGTATTGACCCACTCTGAAGTCGACGATGTGCGTACCGGTAGGTGAAGAAGCCCTGAACCATCAACGCAGTAAATCCTATGAGCGATGCATGAGTACCGTTTGAAATAACCTCGGCGCTTTGGGCATACCGGTGAAAAGCACCTCAGTCTATGGACAGAGGGGTAAGTCTTGATTTGTAGGTTCATACATGTAGCCAGACTTACGACCAAGCTCCTGTTGTGCGGCGACGATCGTCAGCATAGCACCGCAAACGCGCAGGGATAACTCCGTACCAGACGATGCTGTTGAGCGCGATGGGATTGTCGAAGTTCGAAATAAGATAATAATAAACTGGAAATAGCATTTGTTGTAAGAAGTTATGTCTGATATAAGCGGGGGTGAATGGTGTATACCAGTGTGCGAAATGAGTGCTTGATGAACAGTGTCACAGAAGAATACGCCGGAGACCTGAGTGGTGTTTAAATGATAAATTCTTACGCGACCGCCATGCAGCCTAGGATAAGACGAACCAGCATCTTCAGGTACCACGGATCTTTTCTGAACGTGTCCATGTAATGCCACATCTATAACAATGCATCAGTCATAGAAGTACTCGGTGCCGTTGACGAGGCGTACCTGCAGGCACGAGACTGACGTGCTTCACCGTGAACATGCAATGTCAAGAACAAGGGACAATATCGCTTACTGCCATACAAGCTGCAAACGTCATTCAGTACATCGTGCAAGCATCAACGACGATTATACGGTTTGCTTACATCGCGGACAAAAGAACGCCTATGAACATTGCGCCGAGCCTAAATCCCACCACGTCAAACTCATGTCGGTGTGCAAAGCACGCATGACAGCTTCACGTACGTATTATCCAGCACAAGATGAACGGGAGCGGTGGCCATGGCTGTTGTCCTACGGAGAATGGAGGGAGGTAATAGCCGACACGCAGGATTGGCGGAGGGTGGACGGCACCGAGGGGGATGTCAAGGAGGGGGGATCGGAAATGAAACGACGCTCAAAAGGAGGGACGGATGCGGCTATCTTGACCTAAAAGTGCGTGACCTGAGCGCCCCTCGGCTACAGGAAGAACTCGAGAAGGTGTCCCTTCGTCGGGGCCCAGGCGACGGCTTGTCCAAGCTTGTCCAGGGTTGACGTTGGGAAACGTTACGGTGCTTCCCGTCCGGCCGAATTGATTGGCGAGGTATCGCGTGAACAACACCTGAAGCAGTCCTCGATAAGTTGCGATTTCTCCGGATCCTGCGAGTTCAGACCGCGAGTTCCGGGGTGCTCTTCTCCCGATGTCTTACAGTAAGACGGGTATCAGTTTCATTGCTGTAACACAACCACAGCATGAACAGAGAGATAGGGTGCAGATGTTTGACCACCATATTGCAAGTCAACGTCCGCGAATTGATGGGCACCCCTTGGGGCCCCACAAATGTCAGGTCCGATGCTCATGTGACCTCGTGAAGGCGTTGAACGGGCAATCTATCCGTTCTCGTTTACGAGCGTAGAAACCGTCCAGAAATGCGCGTATACAGCCCACGACAGTGCAGAGTAGAAGCCATAGACACATTCAGTTGGGCCGCAAGTCGGGCGTGAAGAAGCCAGCCCAGTTTGCAACCGGAGAGCAACCGCAGGAGAAGGTTTCGGTTTCGTAAGATGGATGAGCCGGTAACTAATTTTCCAGGGCGCTAGCCGGCGAGAGCCGGTAGTCATCCAAGTTAGCGGGGGCGTTGGAGGTCGCCGGTCCTCTCGTCCCATCGCCTCCCCTTGTTGGATGTTATACTGTCCACCACACACCGCGCTCGTACCGATCGTTTGCAGCAGGACGAGGTAGACGGGGTTGCTGTCAGTGGCGGGAGTTCTGGAGGTTCTCAGGTATGTCCCAAAGCAGGCATGGGCTTGTGTCCGTATCCGGCTCGGGCGTCGAACGCTCATCAGATTTCCTCTGGCCGAAAAGGAAGTCGACTTGGGGCGTTTCCTGGCTTGCCCCAATTCGTAAGAACACGCCACCTTCCGCACCCGCACGCGAGAGAGGTGGATTGATACGCGTCGTTCGAGACGCTCGAGTCAGAAAATTTACGGACTCCAGCGACCCACCGGATTTACTCATGGTCCGCGGATTGCTGTCCTCAGGATCGCGCTGGCAAAACCGTAGCAAACATGCACCTACGACGACGTCTTACTCGTGATAACTGAGGCTGCACGGGCTACACCTAGAAGCACTCAATGGCACCAGCAAAGGTGTGCGCCATGGTGGGGACACCGATCAATCGGCCAATCAGTCTTCCACTATCTTGTTCTCGGCGCAAGCCATTTTCGATTCTGTCGCATCCCAGGCTTTTACGTCAGCGCCTCGCTCAGAGATGTCCCATGCGTCGACGGACGGCGACACCCACGACAGCTGCTTCATTCTCAGAGCAGAGCCTACACCGTATCCCAGTTCTACACCGGCAGTTTCGTTTTCTCTTCGCCGTAGAGGTGTGTCTCTGGTCAATCTCGGCAGAACCAATGCAGGTTCTGGAGTCTGTAGTCCGCTCCCTTCCTCTCTCGTTTTCTGTGTTTCGTCCCGGAAATCACCATGGAAAACCGCGGTCCCTCTGCGGCGGAAAAGGCCACCGCATTCGTCTTCGCCCGCTCACGCAACCGCTGATGTTCATCATCTGTCGTCGCGCTGACCAGTGATCACGCCCCTCAATCAACAACGGGATATCCTCATCGAGATATATGCTTCCCGACGTGCCCGGCACTTCACGGTTGCGTCGTTATACTTGCCAACAATTGCACGTGTGGACTTCTCCATGAAAAGCCCGTCGTTCGTTGATACCGGCCGCTGCCAATTCACCGTGTTCTTCTGCATCGATGTCTGGAGCAGCGATCGGATTGACCGCCATTTTGGTCCGAAGTTGCAGGGTCGGCCTGTACACGTTCACATAATATCCTGTACATTAGATACTCACAGGTCATTATACGTGGTAAATCGTCTCTTCCAATACCTCGTTGCTGTCTTCTGCTGGTCTGCTGAGACCTCGTCTTCGTCCTGACATCATGTCCGTCTATCCCATCACGATCGCCATTTAGGCTTTACGATCTCTATCTTCTTCTGAGAATCACGAGGGACGTGAGATCTATCTCGAGAGCCACGAAGTCTCGCGTTCACGACGAGTCATTGTGCCAGGAGAGGATCGCGTTGTACTTACGTTCAGTGTACCTACAAATCGTGTCCTTTCCGGTCACCAAGGAAAAGAGAGAGCGTACTAAAAATGAGAGACGAAGTTACAATGCAACAATAACCGATTTCCAGTATGTGAGTTAACGCACGAGGGCGTATAGCGAGTATTACACTTTTTTGCCTTTCAACATCTACAGTATGACCCCCTTTTTCCTCCTCCACGCCCCCTTTCCTCCTCCATTTCGGTTTGCGGGAAGAAGAGGAGGGCGATGGTATCCACCCGACGGCGACTATATACTTAGCGGTATCTTTGGTATCCTGCGTTTAGGAATGCAACACGACAGATGCGACAGCGATGGAAAAGAATTGCGAATGCGACGATGTGAGATGCAGTTGCGGATATCCAATAGACAGACGAGACAGGGCGAGTTGTTTTTCTTTCGTTCGAACGAAAAAACGAGCTTTAGACGACTTCTTCCGTTTTGCGTTCGCTGAACTGGGTATGCGACGACTGCTGCACGAAACAATACCACACTGTCAGCAAACCCCGCTCCTACGTCTATCGGAAACAGTGATGCACAATCACCATTTCGCTGGCGGGACTCACCCTGTCGTCCAAGTCCGTGGTCTGGTCGATCGTGATCGTGATGCCCTCCCCGCGGCCCTTCGTCGACGGCTTCATGTTCGCGAGCGGAAGCGAGCGCCCGCCGCGGGTCACCTCGGCGAAGGAGCCGGTGACGATGCCCTCGCCGCTGCGCGCGCCACTGAGCGAGCTGAAGCTTCCACCCGAGCGGGCATTGAGCGCGGCCATGAGCGAGTTGCTGTACAGCCGCCCGATGATGAAGAAGAAGCAAATGTAGATGTACGCCTTTGGCCACGCAAGGGTCTAAGTCATGTATGCTCAGTACACCGTTGTCGTTCTCGTTGACTCCATCGAAGCTTACCGAGATCAAAGACATGAGCGCGCATATACTGGTGAGTAAGCCAGTGTTGATCACGAAGACCATCTGTGCAACGGATGAGTTCGTTATTACGCGATAGAGACAAGGCCAGTGCACTCACGATCTTGTTCACGGTCGTGTCAGTCCGCTTGAAGCCACTCTTCGCGCCTTGGAGCAGGTAGACCATGGACGCGGCGATGATGACATCGGTGATCGCCGCCATGTAGTTGATGGCGAGCGACAGCGCCTTGATCTTGGGCAGCTCCAAGAGGTTCTTGAGCCCTAGTGCGCCAGCGGTGTACGCGAGCAAGACGGAGAAGTTGCCGATGGTGGACGCAACCTACGCTCTATGAGCGATCATGAGGACGACGTAGACGCGTACATGGGAACTCACAGTGAGGAGCGTGATGTAGAGGTTCCGTTGGCTTACTGCAAGGAGATGGGGTAAGTGAATAGCAATAAAGCCCACACATGGTAATGCGTACATCGATAGATGCTATGTTGCCAATATTAGTTTCTCTGATTTTGATAACGCTAAGTATATACTGACCGGAAGCAGAAGAAGCCTTGCACCATGAAAGCTGTCAAGCCTATACTCGCAATCAGAAATCGCGCGATTCTGCAACGAGAGCATCGGATTCCCACCATTGAAGATAACCTCAACCTTGACGAAAGCAGTTGTAAGCCCCGCGTTCCGAGATCCGTTGTCAGCGTAGGAGAATACACTTACCGCGAGACTCCAGATGAGATCGGTTAAAGCTACAGGGTTGTCGTAGTTGCTGATGAGATAGAAATATACTGCGGATCCAGAGAGCGCGAGATAAGCGGCCCGGCCGAAGACGGATATTAATTGTATGTGACGTGCCAGTGTGCGAGATGAGGGCCTGGTTGGTCGCATCGGAGATGAAGACGGCCGCAACCTAATAAGGGCAGGTCAAGGCCATGCACAACTCCGTACAGGCGAGCATGCTTACCAACGTCTTGAAATACCACGGGTCGTTTCGGAAGCTGTCGTAGTAGTGATACGTCTGAAGACAGGACACTGGACAGCGAGCGCGGGTTTAGCCAACGAGCCCGTCACGCGTCAGAGGAGCAGAGCGAGCCGACCTCCAAATAGGCTGGTGAAAAGTCCGATCAGTTTCCATGTCGCTAAGTGTCGGTTATTCGAGAAAGGGTACTTACACCGCGGAAAGGACCACTCCGATGTAGACTGCTCCAAGTCTATGTGGCGCGTAAGTCCGTCGCCGGAGTTGCTAGCGAACAAAACGTACGTGTTGTCGAGCACGATGTGGGGGGCGGGTGCAGCAGACATGACGAGGGTGAAGAAAAGAGAGTGAAGGAGCGGAACGATAGTGTGGGGTGCTAACGGAGATCACGGTGTCTTGAACACAACGATCCAATTTGCACGAGGCGTTGAAGACCGGTTAAGTACCATCGGGGCGGCTAGCACGGCGTTCTCACCGGCCGTCCGCGGAGGACTGATCGGGCAGGGCAAACAGAAACCCAGACGAGGAGCAGCCGAGAAGGAGCGACGCGACGCGTGTTCGGGGCGAGACTTGTTGCCGTGGCGCCTACGACCGATCGCTTCTTTCCCCGAGAACCACGCCCGAATAGGCAGCGACCTTGACGTGATCTGGATTCGCGACCGGTAACGTAATCGGCAAGCTCATCTCGACGGATCGGGCGACAAGGGGAGCGACGTAAATGGAAGAATACGCCACAGCCACCGTCCGCGTGCCGGCTTCTGTCTCGCTAACGTGGACTGCCCTTTCTGGCTTCACATCCCGCCGAGTGCCTTCGTGTACCACACCAAATATGCACATCACCTTCAGCCGATCTTCGCAGACTCGTGGGCCGGCCGTCCGCGTAGCGTAAATCGGCCTCCCCTTTTGAACCATTCCGAACTTTCCCTCCTCCTCACTTCCACCGCACCCCTCCCCGTCTGTCAGTCCTCAGATCCACCATGGTCTCTTCCATCTCTGCCATCGACTTGTCGCTCGCTGCATTCGGTCTCTACCTCCTCAAGCGCCTGCTCGAGCCCAAGCAGCCTGCCCCGTACCCACCCGGTCCCAAGGGCCTCCCCGTTATCGGCAACGTGCACCAGTTCCCCAAGGAACAGGAATGGAAGACCTTCTACCAATGGTCTGAGCAGTACGGTGAGACAGACGCGCGACGGTACCGTGCCGTCCACTGCTAACGGTCTGTCCGGGAACAGGCGACATGACCATGGTCAACCTCCTCGGGCAGAGGATGCTTATCATCAACTCGGCCAAGGTCGCTGTAGAGTTGCTCGGTAAGTCCATTTGTATATCCTTAATGAAAGGCACGACGAGGATATTGACCGGCCTTTGCCGATAGACAAAAAATCGAGCATCTATAGTGACCGTCCGGTCATGGAGATGTGCGCCGAGCTCGTTGGCTGGAAACAAGCGCTCGCTCTCGTTCCCTACGGCGAACGCTTCCGGGATCTGCGCCGGCTAATGCATGGTTGGTTACCGTTTACGCGCCCCTATCACTCAGCTCCTCATCGTCTCTCGTCCGCAGGTGCGCTGGCTGGTAAGGCCAACCTTGCCGAGCACCGTCCCATCCAGGAGCTGGAGACCCACAAGTTCCTCCTTCGCGCTCTCAAGGACTCGTCGCGTCTGCAGGAGGAGATACGCAGGTGGGTGCCTTCTCGTCTCTATCTCAGCGACGATGGGAAGTTCTGACTGCCGTCCTTTACAGCTTAGCCGGTGGGATCATCCTCAAGGTTTCGCACGGCTACGAGGTCAACCACGACGGTCATGACCCTGTCGTGTCGCTTATCGAGCGGACCATGGACGAGTTCGCCCAGATATCCACGCCAGGCGCCTACCTCGTCGACGTCCTTCCCGCACGTGAGCTATTATTAGCCCGATGCAGTCCTGGTAATCACGCTGAACTGTGCGCGTTCGTGTTCCCACAGTCAAGTACTTGCCGGAGTGGTTCCCTGGCGCCGGTTTCAAGAAGGATGCCAAGGAGATGAAGTCCAGGCTCCACGCCGCCATCGATGCGCCGCACCAATTTGTGAAGGACCAGATGGTGAGCTCGCCGTCTTCAACAAATGCGGGGCTCCAGTGTCCTGATCTACGTTTGCGCAGGCCGCGGGGACCGAGCTTCCGTCGTATACATCCAGGCACCTCGAGGCTGGGGACATCACGCCACATACGGAGGACCTGATCAAATTCGGCGCGTTTGCTATTTACGGCGGTAAGCCGGTTTGGAAATTTTCAGGAACCTACTCAATTTTCTGACACCTTGCCGCTCCTTCCTCCAGGCGGTGCCGATACTGTAAGGCCATTATAGTCCTTGATTTTTAGTTTTCTGATCGCTAACTGCGCTATTGGATGATCTTCTTTTCGCCTAACGACAGACGGTCTCGGTCAGTGATTCGCACATCTGCCTCGGATTGGGCTTGGTATTCACACGCTTTCCCCGTGCTAGGCGGAGTACTCGTTCTATCTGGCCATGACGCTCAACCCGGAGATTCAGAAGCGGGCTCAGGCTGAAATCGACGCGGTCGTGGGCACCGACCGTCTCCCGACGCTCGCGGACCGTGATCACTTACCCTACGTTGATGCGCTCGTCAAGGAAGTCTTCCGCTGGAACCCGGTCGCTCCACAAGGTGAGTTTCGAGCGGCTCGATGAGCGAATAGAACCCAGTGCTGATAATGTATTCGCAGGTATTCCCCATTCACTGCGGGAAGACGACATCCACGACGGGTACTTCATCCCCAAGGGCACCGTCTGCATCGCGAACATCTGGTATGTTTGCTGTTTAACCATTGGGAGCTATATAATACAGTCCGCTCACACCGGAACCGCGCCCCAGGAAATTCCTGCACGATCCCAAGACCTACTCGAACCCGATGGCCTTCGACCCCTCGCGCTTCATCGACGCCCCCGGCAAGCCCGCCGAGGAGGATCCGCGGCACTTCTGCTTCGGTTTCGGTCGTCGCATCTGCCCTGGCTTGCAGCTCGCCGACCAGTCCGTGTGGCTCGCATGCGCCATGGCCCTGGCCGCGTTCGACATTTCCAAGGCGAAGGATGAGCACGGACACGTCCTTGAGCCCACGCAGGAGTACACCAGCGGTCTCATCAGCCATCCCAAGCAGTTCCCCTGCGCGCTCAAGCCGCGCTCGACCCGGGCCGAGGCGCTCATCCGCTCCGTGGAGGAGTACCGGTGAAATGTACAAACCATCTGTTCCTCGTCATATTTTTCTCGTTCGCATCGCATCGCTCTAGTCATGCACGCAACCCTCGCATTCATTCACAATCGGTCCTCTCGCTCGCTCTGGTTTTGCTGACTTATACATCTATTTCATTCGGTCGTTGTTTCTGCTGTTCACTGTTAATTTTGCTGTCCATGTAGATAGGCTTTGCCGAATAGAAAATCGGTCTCCTGTCATTATCTGTGGGTCCGCGGACGACGCGCCCTGTGCCGCCGCCGGAGTTGTAAGACAGAAAGTTCACATGAGCAGAAGTCGCGAGGCTTCGATGAACATGTCGCCTGATGGCTAATTTCGACAGCTCCGGCAACCTCGCTATCTTCACGAAAATTTCGTCCCCCTTATGCGCTCGGCTGGCGTCGCTCGCTTGCTGGGGTGATAATGAACGCATATAGTAGGCGCTCGCAGAAGCGTTCTGTATCGGCGGACGTGCGCGTTCATATTGCGCATCATCGTGAAGCCTATCGGATCCTGGACTGTTGCGCGGTTGCCGTTACACCGCGTTTTTCTGATAGTGGATGCGCCTGAGCTTCTCTCTGCGCTCCCTGTTTTCTCGAGACGGCGCCACAAGGGATGAAGAGCGGGTATACGATGGCCGGGGACGAAGCTTCCTTGCTTACGCTGGATCCCTCGGAGGCTATGGTTAGGCGAGCCTGTGCCAGGACCAGGATGGGACGACGGAGCGAAGGGACCGCCGACTACGTGCGTGGGCTGACATAGACCGGATGGAGCAACCCCTTGCGCGTCAGCGCACTGGCAGTGGTGCGATTTGCGCGCGAAGAGGTGCCGTGGTTGAATTTTATCAGGAACGTCGTTGGCGCTACCATTCCACAACGAGCACCGTGACCCTGAGGCATGAGAGTTTGCTTCCGGGGTAATGGAATCTGGTCATACCACGCTGCTATACCCTGGCTATACCCTCAAGAGTATCCTCCGAATCTGCGCCTAACTGGAAATGCTTGCTTGCCATACTTGTGTTCACGATCAGAATCCGAAGCCTCATGTCCGGATGACGACTCAGTCTAGGCAAAGCGTAAACTTTATCTTAATCGGAACGAAATACGAACGCCCTGATCGGAATTGTGACCACCAGAGGAATGGGAGTTCCTGGTCAAAGGGGCCAAGTTGCACTGTCAGACAGATGTCGATGCAAACAGTGGCGTCGACAGCATTCGTCCACTGCTCACGAATGTCGTAAGCATTAAATACTACTAGACAGCCTGAAGTCTTATCGCACTGTGGCTGCATGTCTTCGGATGTAGATTGTGCGCTGTCACAACAGCGGTTGCCTAGCGGATGAACAGCGAGAACGTATCGCTATCATGGCCATTGTATCCGATCTGGGTTGAACCGTCAAAGAACACACCGGACGTAAATAGTCTCGAATGCAATAAACGCGACAGGAAGTGCGGGTTGAGCGTGCCAAGGGCTAAGCCACCATTCGGTTGATAGACAGGTAATCGCGCAAGATCGAAGATCGCGCTGTACGAGAACGAGTGCGAGGTCGTCGACGTTGAATGTGGTGTCGCGCGTGAGCGCGTCGTTTCAATTTGCCCCCAGTCAACCACCTCCACTTGGTACTGACAGAGACATCGCACGGGCTTCACAGTCTTAATGGGGTTGTTCACGCTACACCTCCGAAGTCGCATCGTACAAAGTGGAACGGGGCGCCAAGAAAAACGACTCTCGGAGTTGGCGCTCGTACTGGCACTCAAGCCTTCGTTTTACTGAGAGGCTTTGACTTGCAGGTTCATTGCCAAATGGACACGCGTCGTACAACGCTCTTCTGCAGCTTGCCAAATCATCGCTCTACGATATTCTCGATATGACTAACGTCTACGGAGCAGGAAGTGATCATAATCCTTCCGAACCCTAGGGGATGGACGTTATGATTTCTGATGATCGCGCAGCCTTGAGGGGCGTGAATTCGACCTGACAAGTTCAGGGCGCGTACAACGTTAACGACTAAAACGAAGAAGTGGGATGGTATATACCGAGGCTAGTTTCCGCTCGATAACACTCAAGACACATTTCGCGAATTTTGACAGATCCGTGGTAGAGGTCTGTCTGCACTGCATGCAGCAGGCTAGATGAGTTATCGAGAGAAGACTTGCATCCTGTAGCGCGTCCTGCGCTTTCGTTCCATTCCTTATAGCCTTCATCGCGCTTTCATGATAGTCCATCCACCACTGTCTGATGCGAACGGAATTTCCCGGCCTCCCGTGCACAGGCGAAAGTGTATGCCATGATTGCGGACACATAGATGGTTCCGCCTGACACGCAATCCATGCCCACTTGCTGTTCTCAATCAATATAGATCGAAGTGAATCCAGCGAGAGAGCTTCCAGTGTTGTGTCCACATACGCGCGGTAGTATTGAAGCAGTTCATACAGTTCCTCCCCCGTCATGCAACTGAGCACTGTTGATTCCTTCTCCTGGATAAGATGCACGGGAGTGGATTGAGTGACCATGACGCGTGCTGCACGCCCTGCTACTGCGTGCATTTCGTACCCACAGGCTAGTGCGTAAACGCCAAGAGGCTGTTCCTTCATGAATACCCCGTGGAGTAGAACGTCACTGATACGGCGAGGTATTTGCTCGACATCATATTTTCGACCCATTTCCAATACAGCGTGGATCTCAGCCAGAGAGTTCCACGAGCGCGATGGGAGAGGATAGATCAGACGGAGGAATTGGTCCACCGTTGAGCTATGCTCTTGGATGAGGGGGAATACAGGTTTGCCATCGTGAAGGTCATCTTCTTCCTGAGTGATCTCGAACGGAAACTCGCGGATGACGCTGGACGCAAACTTGAGGAGCGCCTTGTGTACCAGAAAGTTGACGTTGTCCGACGAACGAAGGACGAGATCGGCATCAGTGCAATCGAAGGGGGGACCGTGATCGGTGATGATGTCGCCGGATGTCATGCTGTCCGTGCAATCAGCGATCCTGGAAAGCCCGGAGTAAGTGTGAAAGCATCGAGCACGAACCTGGAGTCTAGTGTTGACATGACCGAATGGAACGAACGAAGTTCAAAGAGAATTCGAACACGAAGTGACTTAATCAATTGGCAAATGTTATGTAATCACACTGGAAATAACCTGTGGTAAGCCAGGCGCAAGCCAGGCGTATTGCGGACCTTCTGCGATGTTGGTGCTATCCTACAGCATTCGAATATCCCGATGCCAGAGGAAACACGCTACTGTCGTTACGGTCACGCTGGTCCAGCCTTTACAGGGGTACATTTAACCTGGTAAGACAGCCCCTTTAGCGGGCCGGTATTGAAGATGTTGATGATGCACTACGTACCGCGGACACTCGATCCTCGACTTCGCTCTTGATGAGCTCTACGAACACCTTCATGTCGCTTGCGGCGGTCTTCCTGCACGTCGGACACGCTCCCGCCTTCACCAACGCGGCACCTTGGAGCGTAGGATTGGAGAGCGCTTCGACCGGGTTCGTCCCTGCCTTGATCGCCGCCCTCACGTTGCGCATGTACTCCGCCCACCACTCCTTGACGTACCCGTAGTTGCCCGGCCGCCCATGCAGCGGCGACAAGAACCAGGTCGATTCCGGGCAGTATCCCGGCATCTCAGCGCATCGGATCCACGCCCACGTGCGCTTCTGCAGGAGCGGCGACCGGAGTCGGGTCTCGTCGAGGACCTGGAGCGCCGCGTCTGCGCACGCGGAGCGGTACTCCAGCAAGCGGAAGAGCTCGTGCCCGCTGATGCACCCGAGCACGGCCGGTTCCTTCTCCTGCATGAGGGGGCGGGACGCCGCGTTCCGCGCGGCACGCTCGATCAGCGGTCCGGCCATCTCGTACCCGCACGCGAGCGCGTAGACGCCGTGCGGCTGCGTCGCGAGCAGCGGGCCGGCGAGCAACGTGTCGCTTACCCGACGGAGGACCTGCTCCGCGCCGTACTTGCGCCCGAATTCGAGCACGGCGTGCGCCTCCGCGAGCGTGGCGAACGTGGGGGGAGGGAGAGGGTATACGAGTTGGAGGAAGTGGGCGACCGCCGTGCTTGATTCGGAGGAGAGGGGGAAGACGGGTTTACCGTCGTGGGTGTCTTCCGGGAGGCGGCTGAGCTCGAAGGGGAAGTCGCGGATGACGGTGGAGGCGAGGCCAAGTACGATGCGGTGCACGTGGAAGTTTTTGCCGTCCGACGAGCGTAGGACGAGGTCGGCGTCGGCGAAGTCGAAAGGTGAGCCGTAGTCGCTGCAGGTCGGGACGGCGTGGTCGTTCATATCCTGCAGATGAGGCTTCGAGATACCAGAAGGGAATGGTTAGGCGCGTCCTCAAGGCCTCGAGGGATGTTCGAGGATGGTTAGCGTTGGAATCCTAGGGGTGGTTAAGGGTTAGTGTTGTGTAACGTCAATTCGTCACCGAAAAAGGAGCTTCAATCCGGGCCGTCCCCCATTTTGCGTTAAACACGGTGCTTGCGGAATCGCAACATCCGCCTGGGCCACAACGCTGACGGCAATACCAGGAGAGGTAATGTCGATCGTAAACCAGCCTCCACGAGCCCCGTCGCTGCCCGCCCTTACGCCTCTCACTTGAGCGTGCATGACCTACGCGATGGCACGATGATGACCGCAGAGTCGGTAGCAAGACGACAGCACGGACATGCTCAGGAGCGAAAGCGCGTTGCCTACTGTTGGCATCATTCGGCTGCCGTGCCTTGAGGTGTCGACTACTCCTTGGATGCGGAGTCAATGTGGATGAGTTCACCGCTGCGATCATCGACTACGATCACGTTGATACTGTAGAGAGCGCCAGCAATGATCTTCAAGACGAGCGGATATATATGCCGGATACGATCTCTCTCGATCGCAGGTTCATGGGCGAAGTTGCATGTAGAACCGTAGGCTTCTGTCACGTCTTCCCAGGGGAGACAAAGAAGTTCGATGCTGTCAATCCAGGATGGGTGTGACTCCCAGCGTTTGTCCGTATCGGCGGCCGGGGTATGTGCACATAGGACGGTTCGCGAAACGGTGTACGCGCGGATGGGTCCCGTCTGCGACACGGCGAGGGAGAAACTCGGAAGCAAGCTGGCAGGATAGCAATGGGGGGCGCTCGGATAGGGAACGGCCGACGATGTCCATCATGGTTAATGATTGCTGGGGTCCTAGACGAGAAAATGATTTCACTGCCGCAGTGTGGTCGTGTCCAGGGAGCCCAGGTGGAGCGTTGAACCGTTGACTAGGAATCGTCGCTCGTCTGATTGTTCTACGCAGCATATATGTTTCAACTTTTCGCGGCTGAATGCGTGCATTGGCCGGACTCACTTTGACGACGGAACTCGGGAGCGACGCCCGAGATGTATATTGTCCGTTCCGTGTCGGATCCCGGCTGTATCGATGGAGAAGGCCGCAGCGCGTTCGGTACCGCAGCTTGTCCATGATGCCATTTTCCCGTTTCAGGTGTGCCCACGCCCACGGACGTCCTTCCACGCTACTGTGGCCCATAGCAAGGGACAAGGAACAAGCTCGGGCGTACTCAAACGGGGGCACTCGTAGCCTGTTTGGGAACACTGGCTCTAAACTTCGGAACCCTCTTCCTTGTCCTCATCGATTCGAAGCGGGCACGCGACCACTTTTTTTTGACTGTGCATACTTGTTGTCGATAAAGTTCGCCGGTGTTTAGACTCGCACTGCGCATCGTGTCCGCGACCAGACAGCGCGCCGAGTGGCTGCCAGTAGCGTCTGCGGAACCGCCTTCCCAGGAACGACGGGGGCCAGGATACAGGGGCAGGCGGCGTGGGTGCGTCGTTGTGGGGTCCATATCTCCTCTGCCGGCGCTCATCACGAACGAAATATAATTGCGCTGTATCAAGACCAGGGCGTTGAGGAGAAAAGGCTGATAATACGGTCGTCGGTTCGTCGCGCTCTGTCTCAAAGATGAGGAAAGGCGCAAACCGGAAAACGCCGACGAGAGAGGCCGGCGAATCGCTCGAAAAGGGAACGCTGGATGTGCCGAGATGCCGGGAGATCGAAGCGCGGACTGGCTGCGACGGTCGTGCCTTCCGTCCCCCTCTCTGAGTTTGCGTCATCAGCGGAAGTCGGCGGTTAGATACGCTCGGCCATCGCGCAGCGCACTGGCACTCGTCGTGCTCGCACTGAAGTGGGTCGCGCTCGACGATGGGCGCGGTGCGGACGAAACAGCGCCTGGTCGTGTGCGGGCACTGCACTGCGTGGATGTCGCGGATGGGATCAGCAAGAGTTCTGGCGCGACGGACTGAGATATGGTGTCTGTTCTATTTTCGGGTGCGCGGGGCTATTCTGGGGCACGCCTCGTCTGTTCCGGCGGCCTTTGCCCTGTGCAGCTCTCCCGGTCCCGCCGTGGTGAGTACTTTGACCATCCCTCGGCCGCCTGGTGCGTCTCTCTATGGGTCCATAACCTTTCCTTGCTTTCTCCTCGCTTCCCCGACCGACGACTCCTGCTCGCGTGACTTCGGACCCTTACCTTCGCCTGGACGGAGCATATCAAGAGCTCGTGTGACGGCTATCGGCATTGGATATAACGCTCGTTAAGATTCCTACGTAACACCCTAATCTCGCCCCCGCGTCCGTGATGCCCACCATGGCCCTTCCCCAACGTGCGTCCTCGCCTTTCCCTCGTGTCTCACCCGCCACATTGATTGCATAACGTTCGGCCTTCGCAGATTACCCAAAACGACCGCCCTCGCCGTCGGACGGCGGGCTGTTCCACCACCGCACGCTGCTGCGACCGCTCAGCCCGCGTGGAATGCGTTTTGCCCTTCTAGGATTGCTCACCTTTCTCCTGCTCGTCGCCTGGGCGCACCAACAACAGACCTTCCTCTCGACCGACCTCCTGCCTCCTTTCCTCCGCTCCTCCTCAACATCACAAACAGCGCTCTCACCTGCCTTTGCGCCCCTACAACCACCAGCCTTCAAACCCGCGCACAGCAACGCCTTCTACCGCCTCTTCTCACCGCCCCCACCGTGCGCCGCCTCCACCGCGATCCGCCCCGTACCCTCCCATGCGCAGATCACCGTCGAATGCCTCGACGCCTGGATCGCCGCCGGCACCTGGTCCGGCCCCTGCACCCGCCTGCGCGTGACCGAACCCCGAATAGACGTCATCTGGACATGGGTCAACGGCTCTGACCCTCTCCACGCCGCCGCCCGCGCAGAGCATGCGGCGGAGCAACCCAAAGACGCAGGACGGCTCGGCGCGATGAACGCCCAAGCCGGCGCGCTCAAACAGTACCGCGAGCACGGCGAGCTTCTGTATTCGATGCGCTCCGTGCGCGACGCGACGCGAGATTGGGCCGCGTCGAGGTGGCACCTCGTCACCAACTCGTACGACGCTCCGGAAGGCGCGGAACTCGGCGAACGCGACAAGCGCCTCGGTCAGGTCCCGCAGTGGATGGACCTCCACCTCGCGGAAACGCAAGGCGTCACCTTTCACCACGGTACGACTTGTTATTGCGATTATCGAATGGTCCATCTATACTTACGACGTGGCACCGCCAGACGCGGACATTTTCAAGCCGCTCCCCCAGTCGCCCGACGCCGAGCTGTCCGACAGGGACATCGCCGCCTGGCGCGCCGCCGTCCTGCCCACCTTCGACAGCATGGCGGTCGAATCGCAGCTCGCCAACCTCCCGCCCGCCGCCGTGTCCGACAGCGCGCTGCTCATGATGGACGACACCTTCCTCCTCCTCCCCCTCCCGCTCTCCGCCTTCCACACCCCCCTCTCCGGCCCGGTCCTCCGCATGCAACCCGACCTGCTCGTCCACCCGCTCCCGACAACCCCGGCGCCCACCCCGCAAAACCCGTCCCCCAAAACCCCCGCGCCGCTCCCGCCCGCCTCGGGCGAGTGGCGCGGACTCGGCTCCGCCGCGTCCCACCTCTCCGCGCGGTTCGGCGCGCGCGGCCGCCCGTACCTCGCCCACTTCTCCCGCGCGCTCAACCTCGCGGTCCTCGCCGAGGCCGCGGCGGCGTTTCCCCGCGCGTTCGACGCCGCCGCGCGCGCGCGGTTCAGGGGCATGAGCGACGCCGAGCCCGAGGCGCACACGCTCTGGCTCGCGAGCCACTTTGTCGTCGAGCGCCACCGCGAGGCGCTGCTCTGGTCCTGGGTCGTCGGCAAGTGGGGCGGCCGGAGGGGCGCGCTCTCGTCCGCGGTCAAGGCCGCGATGTGGGCCGAACTCGGCGGCGGCGAGGACGCGGAGGGAGAAGAGATCGCCGTCGGGTTGCCCGTGCGCCGGAGTAAAGACGAGATGCGCAAGGCTCTTCGCCGGGCGGCGCTCGAGCCGCCGGAACCGGAGGACAAGGCGGACGAGGAGGGTGCGCCGCCGGAGCGGGGCACGACGCATTACGCGTTTTTGTCCGCGGACGGGTACCCGTACACGTACCTCGACATGCCGCGCCGGTTCCCCGGCTGGGCGAGCGACAACGGCTGGGCAGAGATGGGCCCGCGCGCGAGCGAGGAGGACGAGAAGCGGCGGCCGGGCGAGGTCTGTCGGATCTCGAGGGAGGAGTGTCTCGGAGGGGCAGACGAGGGCGCGCAGGAGGCGTTCGTCCGCGTGCTTCGGGACCGGCCGCAGTGCGGGGACTGCATCGTCACGGCGCTCGTCGGCAAGTCGGGCGCCACGGGCTTGGAGGCGTTCCTCCCCCCCTCGGACTCGGACTCGGACTCGGCCTCGGAGGACGAGAGCGCGGGGACGGCGCCGCCGCCGGACGAGACGCCCGAGGTGGCGCACCTCCCGCTCGCGCTGCACCCGACGACGGCCTTCCGCCCCGCGCGGCCGCGCGCGTTCGCGCTGAGGCTGCTGCAGCGGTACGCGTTCGCGCTCGGAAGCTCGCCCTCCCGCTTCTTTGGCGTCACCTCGGGCGCGAACGCGGACGCGCACTTCAAGAAGCTCGAGCGCGACCGGGACGTGGCGCTGCTGTGCGTGAACGACGACGTTGCGAACGCGGATAAGGTCCGCGGCGTGGAGGAGGTGTTGAACGCGTGGTGGGGGAGACGATGGGGGGAGCGAATGGAGTTCGAGATGTAATTGCAACTGTGGCAGATGGATCATGTTGTTGTTGACGTGCTTGTTGCATATGTTCCCGCATTCTATAACTTATTCCTCACACTTTGCATGTATGTACAGTAGAACTTGCACGGACTGTACATAGAATATTATGGAACAACCGAACCGATCGATGCCGATCGGATACTCGAAAGCTAAGTAATGGCACGGAAGCCAATGCGCCCCATGGTACACGCTTAACTTCGATCGAGTTCTGAAGACACCGTCCAAATCTGGGACAACGGACCATCGTAGGGTCGTTGCGAGGGCATGACTTGAAGGTAAGGTTCGCTCCATGCAATGTTTGCCGGCTGGCTATCATATCGTAATCATGTTGTCTCGGGCTCTTCCGACGGTGCAGTTCGGATATATGGAACGCGCAGACGGGATAAACAGTGGTGATGGTGGCCAATTGAACGCGAAGTTTTCGGCGACCTGTTTAAGTACACATGGCACGTCGTCTCGGGCGGCTGAGGCAACATGGTGAAAGCATGGGATGCAGTCCGATCGGGTCGTGTCGTGCTGGATCATTCGTGTGTGTGTCCGCGTATACCACGTACGAACCTTTCGCATGCCATTGGCCATTTGCCTTGCTAATTTTTCTTGATACAAGGTCCATCTATACCGACAGTACATTGTATGTCCTCGCACGAGGATGGCGCCACGTCGTTCATCCACAGACCTCGAGCGGCTGGGAGTCCTGAGCGGTCCCCGCATGCATTGAACATGTGCAGTGCAGCCGTTCAGAACGAGATCCCTGCTGTAGAGGCGGAAACGTGAGCCATGCTTTGGGTGATTCCTTACGCGAGGACAGGGATATATTCGTATCACACGAGTATTATATCCTGTTAAGGAGGATTTACTGTGACGTATGCCTGCGAACCTTAAGCCAGCTTGCATTGCACGGTATACGATACGCGTTACACATCAGCGCGAGCCGCTGCGATCCTTCTGGGCCGCTTCTGTCGTTGTCCTTTGCAGCTCTTCAGCGGATGCAGGATGCCGATCCGCCTGACGCAAACGGTGTCAAACCCGAATACTCAAATCACGATCGCCGACAAGTACGCCAAACGTACCTTAACCCCTGCTTCACTGGAACTTGCGAGCTTCTGATTCCATCCAGGGGCGTGCTCAGGCATGGGTTCGGACTCGGAGTTGGGATCATTCATCTGAGAGCCGCTCAGGTTCTTTGATTTCTCCTTGGCAAGCGTCTATTCCAATCTGTTCAGCCCACCAGATCCTATGGCTTATAAACGGGCAACGCACTTGGGGATCATTCCCGTGCTCGGTACTAATTGTATGCTTTCAGTATAGCTGCTCCGTGACATAGATGGTGGCCCAAGGTGAACGAACCTTCCAGGCCCGCCCGTATATGCGCGAATTGCGGGGGTCGCGATGAGATTCCTACGGGTGCATGCACGGATGGTTGCCGCACGAAGAGCGAGTTTACAGCACGCTAAGGTCATGGTGAGAGGAGTCAAGAGGTTGCTGGAGCCTGGAGGAAGTGCCAATCATCCGGTTTCCTTCATTATGGTCGAGGTCGAAGTTCATGACGTCAGGTCAGGCGCGAAAGCGTAGCGTGATGCAACAAGGCTAATCCGCGTCACGATATATCTAAAGTACGTTGTCGATGACCTATTTACTTTAACTTATGCAGTCGGGGCATCACAAGTATTACAGTTGGCTGAAATGCTCTGGCAACAAATTTGCTGCGGGGACGAGCATCACAGACGAGGATGGAAAGCAGCTTCCAACAGCAAACGGTGCGCCTCGGTAGGTACATACCTCACTGGCCAAAAAAACGCGCCCCAGCACAAAGATGGTATCTGGACAGCGTACGGTTGGCCCTGTTCATGGCATGGCCGTGAGTGTTGCAGTGCACATTCCAGGGGAAGGGGAGTCGGCGGTGAGTCGTATATGATTCCAAAGGTTGAGCCTGCGTTGAGGTACGAGTCGACCCTTGTTCGTGAGGGCGGCTATCGGCGACTGAAATTCCGGAGCCATCGCAAGCATCTCGATCGTTTCCACACGGACAAGATGGTCATTGAGAATGAGTAGCTCCTTTGACATAGATAGAAAAAAACATAGTACAACTCTGCCTACTCGAGAGTAGGGGGCGAAGCGCCGCTGCCCACGATGACCTGCTGACCCTTACTGGTGACATCGTCGATGGTGAGGAAAACCGTGGCGGGACCGGGCGGATACACGCGGCCGTTGGGTGGAGTCGTGAACGTCAAAGACTTGCGGTCCTTGGAGATCGTAGCATCCATGAAGACGAGCCGCGCGCTTGAATGGAAAGCGTGGCTGGAGAAGCCGAGGTCCATCAATGAAACTACAGTCAAGTGGTCAACCTATGTCCTCATGTAAACAGCGTGCGCCATACCTTGGATGTTCGAAGCCTTGAGGTTCGAAGGAATGGTGATCGGCACGGTGAATTTCTTGCCGAACGCCAATTTGGACGGGATGCTCTCGATCGTCGGGCGCTCCACGAACATGAACGGTGGGTCAAGCGTCTCCACCCTAAGTTCGCTCGGGAACTTGATACCCGGCCCCGGCAGAACGAAGTTGGCGTTGGGGTTACTGCCGGCGATGAGGAAGTTGCCCTGGGGCGTGAGCGTGACGCTCGAGTGATACATCCGGGCGATGTTTGTCGTTGGCATCCCCTTGTTGCTAATGCGTTGGCCTAAGGGGAGGTCAGGAGTGTAGAGTGAGGGGGTTAACACTGGGTGATCCGCATTCGAGTTTCCAATGGCATCGGGGACCTGAGCGAGCGCTGCATAGCCAGAACGTCCACCGTTGGTGATGAGAACCTGACCGTTCGGAAGATGCACAAGCTCTGGCATGACGCGAGGCTCGAGCATATGCTCAACTTGCCACCCTTGCTTGATTCCTTCTTCCGTTACGACCATCCGGCTGCACTGTGTTGTCGCAATGTCTTGGGATGAGAGATTGGCTGGCTGAATGGCGGGGTCAACGGCGACACCACCACAGACAAGGACCTCGGGAGTGTAGTCTGGAGGTGAGAGAGGAAGAAGAATGGCAGAACCATCGATGGGATTGGTGACGCGAACGTTGTTCGGGATATCCGGTAGAATGGTTTCAGTATTCTTCTCAATGTCGTAGATAATCGTCTGATTATTGGCAACCATGAAAACACGACCGTCAGGCAGCGCAAACACCCTAAGCACTAGTGAATTCCCGTCTTGCAGTCAGCACTACTACAGCAACGTACCTCGGGAAGAGGTTGGACGGTAAGCTGCGCTCCAGGAAAGCAGAAGGCCTCGGGACACCCTGAGCAAGATGGATCGTCAACCATCGCGGGTAGTAGGTCCAGAACCGACTACTCACGTTATCCTTCGGTGGGAAGAACTCAAATGTGTTCTCGGGGTCAATATTATAGAAGTCCGCGTCGACGTGGGTCTATTGTTTCGATAGTGTCAAAGAATATACCACCACCCGAGATGACAACGGACTCACGCCACCAACGATCATCAGACTACCATCGAAAATACGGACCGACGACGTATACCATCGGCGTGCAGCCAGATGCAATGTCGGCGGGTCTTCGAACAGGGTACAACCTTCACCGGAGGGCGAGGCACATGGCTCGAAAATGCGAATACCGAGGTTACCAGTATCCGGTACCGGATTGGTCGGAACGTCGGTGGGATCACCCCCGACGCTGACCTGCATGTTCCATGAGTGCAGAGTTCCTGACATGCATGACTGCCTCTAACCATAGACCCATTAGACAGCAAAGCGCCACTAGCGCAGAACGAGTTGGTGACGACGTTGAGTGCCCGGACGGAGCTGGTTTCGAGGTCCCAAAGCGCGCCCCAAGCCGAGTGGCCGTTGATTTGGAGCGGGTCGTTCGCGACGCGGTCGAACATCACAACCAAAGTGGGAGAGACGACGATCGCCTCCAGCGCCACGATGCCCGTAGTCTCGTTCTTGAGATCAAACCGCCATTGAGGTGCGGCGGGCGCTGCGAGCGCTGTCGCCGATAGCAGCGCGAATGCGGAGAGCAAGGCGCGCATGTTTGTGGTAATCGGAATTCTACCAGTCCGAACTGCGTCGGATGTCAACACGACGGGTTTAAATAGAAACCAGAGCGACAGTTTACCTTCTCGTTGGGAGCGAATCTTTTGGCGAGTGGGTACGGTGCTTGATAACATGGCCCGGAAGAACGAGTAGAAGGAGTGGTATGAGATCTGCTGGATGCTTCGTTCATTCAGTTACAGCGTCCATGAAGCGGAATCTTCCAGCTGTGCGCATCGCAAGCCCACTACAAGGCACGTGTTGTGAGAAAGGTGTAGTAGATGATGCCTGCGAACGCACTTAACCTACATGCCGCAGTCGTTCGTCCACCCAGATCCACCATATAAAGTGTCAAGATCACAGGGAGTTGATCACCAGACCCGATTCCACGCATGTGTATCCGCACCAAGGGCATGGTTCGTGGATGTAGTTCGTTCAAGGTCATAGTGCACGCTCCTTGCTGATGCATCGCGAACGATAGCGTGTCATGGCTGCGCCTCGCCTTACGCCTTGGCGTGGTTGGGGCCAACAGCAATGCAAGTCGTTCTATCCACTGTGACCGAGAGTGGGACCTCAGGAGCAACTGATGAAGCTCCCGTAAAACTGAGTCAACTGTTGCCATCATGAGTCTATCTTGGGTGTAATGCTGCACAGACAACATGAAGCTCACCATGCCATGCAACACACTCGTACGATGACCATGGCGGTCTGATGATGGTTCGTATTCCACGTCGGTCCCGCAATAACGTTTGACCCGCTCAACTGCCATCCACAGCTTCCCGCGGTCGAGAATACATACGGAATTTTCAGGAATGCTGACAGAGGTTATTCTCCCAGCGAGTTTGCAAAGCCGCGTCCGTATATAGCGAAAACGAAGGGCGAAGTAGAAGACGTTTGTAGTTGAAATTTCGGACTTCTACCGAGACATAGTCCGGGATATGGACGAGGATGCTGCCGGGATTTAGGATTAAAACTTCGTACGAGCACAGATTGTGATCGCTGGTGACTTCTGACCAAGGCCCTGACGAAACGACCGTGTCTGCGAAGAACTCACCCTCAGGTGCCTCTTGGTGGCCCGGCAAGGGCCGGGGCCGAGTGCGCGTTGGACTGTCTTTGCCCTGTAAGTACCGTCTTGGTCAATATTTGTCATTGATCGCTGTTCACGCTCGGCAAAAGGTCAACGCCTGAGGGCACCCCACGCAAACTCCTCTGTACCGGTCTACGTTCGCCGGCATAATCGCGAACGGTTCATTGCACTTTGCGGCGAACCGACACCTCCGCGCGGGTCATCGACGAATCCTGGTGTTAATTCTCATCCAAGCAACGGCATCTGCGGCGACACAGATCATGTATATTCCGGAGGGTACACGTACGGCATATGTCTCATGTGAACAGCGCCAAGGCTCGTGAGACAGTCCTGGTCCGTGAGTGCTCGCCAGAGGTGCGCAGTTCGAAAGCCTCGCTGACAGAATGTCTGGGATGCTGAAGTCATATTTGGACGCTTTTGAAGTAGAAAACGCCGTCGGCCGCGCTTCCCGCTGATTTGCCTCATGGATGCCGAACGTCACAATTGGTTTTGGGGAGCGTAGCGGCCCGCCGCTCACACAGTCCTCCTCCCCGCACTCACAAGTTGCAGCCCGTCCCTTCGTCTACTCTCCATGACGGCCCACGCTGCATTCACCGGCTCCCCGTGTCGTGAGTGCACCAGCTATGAAAGCCGACCGTGCGACTACTTAAAGGGTGCCATTTACCATTGTTGACTAGGACCTACTACTGCGTTCAATACCTGCGCACTTCGCGGTCGTTAGAAGCAGAATGCTATCCTTCGTTGCGGTACTCCCTCTTCTCGCTGGGACGGTAATCTCCGCTCCTTCTACTCCGGGATGGCGGTTCGACTTGAAGCAAGAGCTGTCCGGGATCGTTGCCTTGGAGGCTATTGCCGTCAGTCCGACGCTCGTAGTGATGTTTGACCGTGCATCCGATGATCCTCTGCAAATCAACAACCATTCGGCGTGGGGAGCCATTTGGGATCTATCGACCAGCACTGTCAAGCCCCTCGACGTCCTCACCAACTCTTTCTGCGCGAGCGGGGCTTTGATCTCAAACGGGACTATGGTAAGTTCACGCATTAAGGTCGCGCCCCAGATGATAACGTCTGTATTAGGTCAGCCTTGGGGGCGATCCTCGAGGATTCCCGGGTAACCCGGCAATCGAGCCCGGAAACATGGCGATCCGCATTTTCGAACCCTGTGCATCACCCGACGGGACCGGATGCACCCTGTTCGAGGATCCCGCAACCCTGCACCTTGCGGAGACCCGGTGGTACCCGTCTTCGGTCCGGATCTTCGATGGTAGCCTGATGATCGTCGGTGGGGTAAGTGCCTTTACATCGTAGTATGGATCGTGCTAAAACAAAGTCTGTAAAGACCCATGTGGACGCAGACTTCTACAATATAGATCCCGCCAATTCGTTTGAATTCTTCCCACCGAAGGATAATGCGAGTTTTTATCTTCTCGTTGCCGATCCGTTCTTACCTGTTGTTCCAGGGCGTCCCCAGGCCTTCCGCGTTCTTGGAACGCAGCTTGCCCGCAAACTTGTTTCCCAGGTAATCATTGTAGTCGCTACTTCCCTTGCACTCAGAAGTTTATCATTCATTATCCACAGGACTTTCGCTTTACCCGATGGTCGCATCTTCATGGTCGCCAACAATCAAACGATTATATACGACATTGAAAAGAACACCGAGACTATCCTCCCGGACATCCCGAACAATGTTCGTGTTACAAATCCGATCGATGGCTCTGCCATCCTCCTCCCTCTCTCGCCTCCGGATTATACCCCCGAGGTACTGGTTTGCGGCGGTGTAGCGACGGACACTCTTCCGCCAGCGAATTTGTCGTCGCAGGACCCGGCCACCACGCAATGCAGTCGTATGCTCGTGACTGAAGAAGGAATTAAGCAAGGATGGCAGGTCGAGCATATGCTCGAGCCTCGTGCGATGCCGGAACTCGTACACCTACCGAATGGACAAGTCCTCATCATCAGTGGTGGCCGTTCCGGGTACGCGGCCATCAAGCAAGTTCCCGACGCTGTCGGTAACTCGAACGCCGATCACCCCGTGTTCACGCCGTCGTTGTACACACCCGATCTTCCCTTGGGCCAACGCATCAGTAACAAGGGAATGCCGACATCGAACGTTGCTCGCCTTTACCACTCGACTGTTACGCTCACTCCGCAAGGTAACTTCCTCGTTGCTGGCAGCAACCCCAATGGCAACACCACTCTCCCGGGCCCCGGAGTCACGTTCCCTAGCGAGTTCCGGGTAGAGACGCTTGATCCGCCGTTCATGTTCGTCGAGCGCCCCTCAATCAAGAGCATCCCATCCAAGCTAGCGTTCGGTAAGCAATTCACGGTTCCGATCACCATTCCTTCGAATCTCAAGGCGTCGAAGATCCAAGGTATGGCGCACATTATATGCGCCTTCATGGGACGTTGGTTGACACTCTGCTTACAGTCTCGTTGATGGATCTCGGTTTCTCCAGCCACGCGTTCCACTCGAGTGCCCGTCTTGTGTTCATGGATGCGACCATTTCCAAGGACCGCAAGTCCCTCACGTTCACCACTCCCCCGAACGGGCGCATCTACCCGCCTGGCCCCGCGACCATCTTCCTCACCATTGACGATGTTACGAGCACTGGCGTACAGACCATCGTGGGTAGCGGCAATGCTCCTCCGACTCTGGAGTAGGAGTTCGCTTCGTGGGTATGGGAACGACGTGCCTTTGATGTATGTTATGGAGTATGTATCAATAGTGTCGGTTCACGTTTATGTGATCATCGGCCTTCCGCTCATCCCTCAGAGGGCACCGTGTAAGTGAACAAACATGACCCGCATATTTTCTGGCAAAAATAGGCCAAGCCGATGGCTGTGCTGCTCCTACTTCACCTGTTTGTCGACGTGTTGGCCTGCATTCGCTGGGAAGGGCAGTCATTCGAGGCGATCCAGAGCAATAGACCTGTTTTGAGTCAGCCAAGATCGTTTGCATAGCGCCTACGGACAGCTCAGCGTTTCTTAGCTTGGGTCAAATTGGAAGTGTACTGCCTTTCACCCAGTCGAGTCAGATCGACCGAGTGATAATAATTTCACGACCGTGGCTACTCTACTCCTCCTAAGATTTACGCGTCGATACCCTTCCATACATCTAGTCTCAGATAACTCGTTCTGGTATCGCGCGATGTCTACCTCAACATTACCTCACGTTCCGGGCACAGACCCATCCCGATGCATACTCGATTCCTTCCGGATCTCCATCGCCAAGCGATTATCTGAAGCTTTGCCGCCGCTCACGATTGAGCAGGCATACACTGGCGTCGACTACGGCAAGAAGGGCGAAGACTTCACGGTCGCCATTCCCCGATTCCGATTGCCGGGAAAAGTGGACGAACTCGCGGGGAAGGTCATCGGTCAGGTGCGTGCATGTTTCACGTTTTAATGTGTTCTTGCTCGTCTGACGCTCGAATAGTTCCAAGAAGACGAATGGATACAGTCCGTCAAGCATGACAAGGCCTTCCTGCACTTCCAATGCAAGACCACCACGCTCACGCGCCGAATCCTTGACCAAGTCCACGGCCTGACATATGCGACGCCATCCGGCAAGCCCGAATACGGCACAAACACCACCGGCGCGGGCAAAAAAGTCATCATCGAATACTCTTCTCCGAACATCGCAAAATCCTTCCATGTTGGCCATCTCCGATCCACCATCATCGGTGCCTTCTTGTCGAATCTCTACAAAGCGTGTGGATGGGACGTCATCTCCATGAACTACCTTGGAGATTGGGGAACTCAGGTAATTTCAGAACATGCATGCCCACCTCGTATCCGCTGACGTCCTACCAGTTTGGTATGATCGCTGTCGGTTTCCAGAAATATGGTTCCCAGGAGGAACTCGAAAAGGATGCGATTAAGCATCTCTACGATGTTTATGTAAAAATCACGAAGGACTCCGAGGCCGATCCCGAAGTCAAGGTCGAGGCGGCCAAGTGGTTCAAGCGTATGGAGGACGGCGATGAGGAGGCTCTGAAGAACTGGCGGGTTTGGCGAGCGATGTCAATCAAGAAGTACGCCGAGGAGTATGACCGGCTTAACGTCGCCTTCGACGTTTATACCGGAGAGAGTGAAGTGAGCAAAGGATCGCAGGACAAGGCTCTTGCTCGCTTGGAGGAGATGGGCCTTATCAGCGACGTGGACGGCGCGAAGCTGATCGACCTCGAGAAGTGGAAGCTCGCAAAAGCTGTTGTTCGTAAGAAGGGTGAGTCTGAACCACGATTATTTGGAACGTGTCCATGCTGATCATTGCGTAGACGGCACATCCATTTACCTTACCCGAGATATCGGAGGCGCTATCGAGCGCTACGAAAAGTACCAGTTCGACAAAATGATCTACGTCATCTCGGCGCAACAAGATCTTCATGTAGCTCAGTTTTTCAAGGTGCTGAAGCTGATGGACTACCCTTGGGCTGACCGCCTTGAGCACGTCAACTACGGTCTAGTTCTGGGCATGAGCACTCGGAAGGGCACGGCAGTGTTCCTCGACCAGATCATCAAGGAGGCTGCCAACGTCATGCATGAGCACATGCAGAAGAATGCGGAGAAGTACGCAAACATCGAAGATCCCGAGACCGTCGCTCGAGAAGTCGGCATTTCCGGCATCAAGATCCAGGACATGGCCGCAAAACGGTACGTTTCCTCCATGCTGGGTTCGTTCATATTCTGATCGTTCATGTATGCAGCATCAACAACTACTCGTTCAACTGGGACCGAATGCTCTCCTTCGAGGGCGACACCGGCCCATACCTCCAGTATGCGCATGTCCGCCTTGCGTCGATGGAGCGCAAGAATCCGCAGCTCCTCCCTCTGCCCGAGACCACGTCCATCGACACCTCTGTCCTCACCGAATCCCACGCCCGCGAGATCATCTTCCTCCTCGGTACCTACCCCGACGTGGTCAAGACCGCGATGAAGACGCAGGAGCCGAGCGGGGTCGTCACATTCGCCTTCCGCCTCTCGCATGCCATCGCCAGTGCCTGGGAGACAGTCGCAGTCAAGAGTGAGCAAGACACGGCGAAAGCGCAGGCACGGCTCTGGATGTACCTCTGTGCACGGGACGTGCTGGCCGCGGCTATGCGACTTCTCAGTTTACGACCTCTGGAGCGGATGTAGGATGGGTCATCGTAGGATATAATGCACAATTCGTTAGGCTACGCTATGGTATAACCAAATAATAGGCAATGAGCATCTGTCGGGTGAAGGACGCGAACTAGGTGACCGTTACAATACATGGCGCAAGACAACGAGAAGCCTTTCTGGATCTTCCCAATGGACCTACAGAGCCTATGAATGTCCGCTGCCCCAGAAGAAGATGTGTAACTCACAAAGTGATTTGCACCGTCCAGTGCGACGATTTCGAGATCCCTCACTTCATGACAAGCAGCCCGGTGTTCGGCGATCAACCTCTCAGTCTCAACCCTCGTCCACACTGTGAACCACAACGCGTTCGAACAGCTAATCATCGCAAGTTTCACCTTCGGGAACACGGTCTTCGTCAGGTGCCCGTCGAAGAGCGCGCGGTCTGTCTGCCGGCGCAGTTCGGGCTGCAGCACCGTCATCATCTTGAAGTCCACGCGAGCCATCGCCGCTGCGTCGAATCCTGCGTCAAGTTCCTCCTTGGTCATTTTGTCCAGCGTCGACCACTTGGGCACGGGATTATATTGGAGGCCTTTGCCCAGCACCGTCTCCAGGCCTGGATGCTCGAAATATCCGCAGGCGTACTGCTGGAACGCTCGCACAGGGTCAACTCCTGGTTGATGGAGCGACTGAGGGTCATAGTCGGAAGGCGGCACGTAACCGTGCGCCAGCATCGCAGGATCTAGACATGATTATAAGCTCCATCGAATCGACTGTAGCCCCTCCCATGATGCGCACCGTACAAAATGGACGTCCTCAAATAATTCTCTAACCGTTGGCAGTCGCTTTGAGGTATCGCATGAGACTGACCAAACAACGATAGAATCATGATCGCCCCTTGGGACCATCCCGCTAGCGCGACACCCCCCGCAGTTCCATCGGGGCTGATAGGCGGGATGTTCTTCTGCTCTGAAAATTCGAGTAAAAACGTTGCGACCTCCCGGGCGGTCCGTTCCAGATGAGCCCGACTGCCGCTAGCCAGTTCCTCCAATTCGCTGTCCTCATACTTCGAGCTTGGGTTGTAATCTCTTCTGTTAACTACCACGACGCGGAGTTTGTGCAACGGTGCGAGCGAGACGAGTTTATTGAACGATTCTGCCCGAGAGTAAGTTGGGTTAAACGGATGAGCAGACCGATTGAACTACGCACGACCATTGAACCCAGTGCCGTGGAAGATCACGACGGTGGTATATGCGTTCACAGAGGAAGCTCCACTGTCGACGTACGACAATCTGTGGCCTTGGTCATCAACGACGATATCACCGGTAGACATGTTTGAACGTACCACAACCGTAGATGCAGTCTCGTATATATAGTAATCCGGGTACTGCTCGTGTTGATCAAGCAATTGCAGTACGTGCCATGCGCACGGTAAACGTTCGGCTCCCTAGTGAGTATCAAAACGATCGGAAACGCGTCAGTACGTACCTGCCTCCGGCCAACCCGGACGGTCGATGGGCATCGCGACGAAGCAGTACATATGATCTTGGCGGGAGAAGTGAGTCTTCCAGAGCTGGACAGTTGCAAACCCACCCATCTCGGTGATGAATCCACCGATTTCCGCGAGGGTGCTCGGGCCACCTTGTTCATCATAGATACATTCGTGCTTCGAATCAAGATACATTGACAGCATGGAGTTACCCGGTGAATGGGCTATAAACTCGGCTACAGGGTGAGATTGTACTCGTACTCGCCGGACGTGCTCTGCGCGATCCATAATACAAAAGCGGAGAGCATAAGCAGGATGTTCTGCGAGACGTTTGCGTATCCGTAGTAGTTGTACTGATCGGGATACCCTTGCAGGACGTATTTCAGCACTAGCACCGTCTGGGATATACGTTATGAGTGCGCCATCACAAGACCAACGAACGGAGGCGTACCACTGAACCCGCGAGGCCTCCGGCCATCATGGCAAACCCAATGAACAAGAAGAGTCGTGCCCTCCAAACAGCTCTGGCATCTCCAAAGCCCTCGTCGCCCTTGATCCGGTCCTTGTCGATGAGGTTGACGATAAGCAGGCCAACGAGCGAGAAGATGCCGGGCACCCAATCCACGAAGGTAACGTGAACAGGGACAGGTCTGTCCGGCTCCCCGCGAGGAGAATGCGCATGCGCAGAAAGGATGGCGGCGTCGAGGAACGCCCAGTTGGCGATCGCGAACTGAGGCAAAGGGGTGAGACGAGCTACAGCGCTGCGGCGCGAAAGCAAGACTCACCAGAGCGCCAGCAAGATATATGCCAATCGTACGCTTGTGCTTTCCCAAAGAGACGTTCGGGAACGGGTTGAGACAGACCCTGCGCGGGTCGTAGTTGGACCGAGGGAGCGACATCGTGGTGGCCGGCTAAGACGTGATCAACGACCCTGAGCTGCGGCGTGCTTAACAGCTCACTTCCAATAATCATGCTGACTTGAACGATGGAAACATAACACTGAACCGATTTCAAAGGTACAGGACGTAAGTACAGAGAAAACCTCGATGTTGGAAATATACTCCGGAAACTTAACGCATGAATGATGACGCTGAAAAAAAGGTTGCTAACACATTGCTTTCACGAAAGCACTGTATTCCTCGTCATTGCTCATAATATGCGCCATGTTCTTCATCAACCGTTTAGTCACCCCATGCTGATGCTCGAACTTTCCTTGCCAGCCGTACGACAACTCGAGGAGACTGTGCCAGCTTGCGTCCCCGACGTGTCCCGGATCGGGCCCGAAAACATCTGACGACAGACGACAGACCGCGATGTCGTAGGAAGTGAAAATTCCTTTCTTTTTAGGTGGGACGACCTCTATTGTTGGAGCGTCGCGCTGTGGTAAACGAGAAAACCATGCCAATGATTGGAGCATTAAGGACGTCCGTTTCATTATCCAAAAGACCAAGGCCGTGAGGGGTCAATGATTTGGCCACATTCGAAGTGACAGACGAGTCCAGCTTGTATTGAAACAAGAGCAGCCATAGTTTTTGGTCGTCAACAATGGTGTTGTGGTCACCTAAAACCGTTGGTACGCCAGCATCAATGCCCGGTTGACAGTTCACCCCCATGAAACCAGCATTTCGCGCAAGGAAACCGCGCAGTATGTCGGGGTCGAATCTGTTTTGCATCCCTCGCTTGATAAAGTGATTGAAATGTACGGGGACATGCTTGAATGCTTGCTACTTAGAGGGGCTACTTGGAGGTGCTGCCGTCGAAGCATGCAAACAGCTAAAATGAACGGTGTTAGTACCGAAGTGTTGGTGTGTTTACAAGTTTCAAGCCCGCAAGCCATTACATCAAACCCGCTGTGTTCCCTGGAGATCGATCCGTCGCACTACTTTACGCGAGAATACGATGCATTGATACATGCAGATATGTGCTACACTTCCGTCGGCAACCTATGTGATTGACCAAATATTACCCCAATAATCTACTGTGGAAACCTGATGAATATATTGCGTATGAATTATTCCGCCAACGCGGATGGAGGTAGAAGATTTGGCACGACTCAGCCTTCGCGCGTTGCGTCGACTCTGTCGAACGTCTATGCAGGCGCCTATCTGATGACCACTCCTAGGTTCGGGTTCATGCGCAGGTTAAACTTGACGACCTCGCACATTTGAACGCCCCAATCCTTCTCTTCCGGGCCGATGACCAGTGCCACCAGTTTGTAGCACTTCGTGTTCACCTTCCGCGAGTGCTTGAGATGCCGTTTGAGCGCATCGTTTCGCGAGTAGGACTTGTTGCAACCGCCCGGGCATTTGAACGGCTTCTGCTCGGCATCGAAATGCGTGAGCATGTGCTTGTCGAACTGGCCTTTGGTGAGGCTCGAGGATGGGCAGCCAGTGAAGCGGCAGCCGAACCGCGGCTTCTTGCCGCTCGCGCGCCTTCTTCCTCTGCCATGGAGCTGCAGAAAACGACGAGTTAGTTAGATGATAAAGGCGCGCGGGAAGCGGAAGTCACGCACTATTCCGTTCTCGTCCAAAGCTTCCGGAGGAGGAGGCGGGGGCGGATCGTCAAGAGAAATTTGCAGCCCACTCCTGGTCACACAGGCTCGCAGGACTTGCTCGTTCACGGTGAGGTTGCGACCTGTGAGGGCGCGACGTGCCCGTTTCGGCGCGGGTGTTTCCGTAGAAGGTGGAGCCGCTGGCAGTACCTCCTCCTCAAAAGCGTTGATGTCTCCAGGCGCCCGAATGTCATCAAAAGCGATAAGCTGCGGGGGAGGAGCAGATCCAGCTAGGCGGCTGCCGCTAGAGGACGCTTCTGGCTGCTCGTGCTCGTGCTCCAGCTTCGAGCTGAGGCGAGTGCGAGGCCCTTTGCGCTGAAGGGGGGATGAGCTTCAAGTCCCATGATGATATGGAGGGGCCAGAACACACTTTGGGATGAGCGTCCTTGGAGGTAGTCTTGGACCGCAGCTGCCGCTCGAGCTGTCGAGAGGCTTCAATATCCTGCGTCATCCGCTGCGTGTCGAACTGGGCGGGAACATCCTCGGAAGGTTGGGGTGCTTGCGGTGCTTTCCAGGAGACCGAAGACTGACCGAGGGGACCATTGGATGCCGGGTCGAAGGGAATGCCGGGGTACTGAGCCGTGTTGTACGTCGGACCAATATACGCGGCGTCAAGGTATTGCGCATGGCCCATTTGACCGACGGGAGCGTTGGTGTACTGGGCAGGGTCGAAGCCCTGGCCAAGGGTATTGTCTGCGTAACAGGTGGCGGCGGAAATCTGCCCTACGGGGTCGTGGTTCGGCTGCTGCGAGGTGTTGTAGGTCTGCCCCACGGGAGCATAGAGAAACTGGACCGGGTCGAACGTCTGGCCCAGAGAAGTACTGGCGTACAGGGCCGGGTCAAACGATTGACGTAGAGGAGCATTGGAGTACTGGACCGGGGCAAGCGTCTGCGGTGCGGATGCATTGGATGGGCCAGCCGAGTTGGATGTTTGTATTGGTGCGTAGTTGGAGTGCGGTGCCGCGTTGAACGTTTGGAGCGCACTTGGGTATTGAGTCGGGCCAGGCGTGTGGGCGGGGTACTGATTCGAGTACCACGCTGGATTGAACGCTTGGTCTGGAACAGCTTCGGCTGACGGATACGGGTCGAATGGCTGGGCGAGCGTATCTTGAAAATTCTCAACCTGGTCGAACGTCTGAGGAGCGTTGCCATAATCGCCGTAATCGATAGGCTGAGGCGGCGGATCGGGGGGAGGATCGAATTGACTAGGTGGTTGGGATCCGGCAGGAGGATATTCGAATTCGAACGGGAGATTGTACATCCAATGCTCGTCGAACACCGCCTGTGGCTGCTATGTATGACACATCAAGTCAGCGAAAACGTAGGAGACAAAATGAGCAAAGCTCACGGCGCTGTTCGAGGCGTCTTGGTGGTCTTGCATAAATAAGTCGGATCCGGAACTATATACACGGGAGTTCATCCCGAAAACAAGCGTCTATGGGCTCAAGCCAGTTTAAAAGCGGTGGTAGAACCCGAGGATAGCGTGAACGTCTCGTTCAACGCTGCAACAGCCGGGGCCGATCAACGATCCCTAAGCTGCTGTAGCGAAGAGCGAAATTGCGTCGTGAAGCAGTGGGATTCGAGGAGTTTCGAACATAATTTGGTTCGCGGTTTTAAGTTCGGCGCATGTGTCATATCCGATAATGAAGCGTAGAGGGCACAAATGCGGCCACGAGCAGCTTGCTGGGTGGTAGAGACGGGCAAAAAGTTGAGCGTCGTCGGCCTGCAAGCCACCGCGGGGCGGGGAAGGTGCGAACGCGAGCATGGACCCGCAATGTCGAATATCGGTGGACTTCGAATTCAGGCTAGATACCAGTGACAAATGGCCCACACGATCGATACGGTGGGCGTTGGCCTTAAGTTCGCCTAGGAGCAACGTTTCGATAGTGAAGACATGACCGTAGGGTACAGCGATACTGAAAGGAGGCACTCATTCAGTGCATGTACTCATACTCATAGAACGACCGCTTACCACGTTAATACGTCCAAGGAGCGCACTAGCGCCGACGATGACGTCGGCACTTGCCTGTATTGGCGCGTAGAGGGCCACCCCGCCTCCTTCGAAGACGCGAGGCACAGTGGCCGTGACTCCGCGAGATTGGCTCTCAACACAACGCCTAGGGCTGAGTAGCTACGTGGCTTCTTGACGCTGAATTGATCTCCGCGAAGACAGGGCGCCGGGAGCCAGGCCCTGGAGACCCGTAGGAACGAACCTGGAAAAAATTAGTAGTCAAAATCAAGATGACTTCGTGGAGTCTCCACGCGCGCGGCCACGGTGGAACACGTTGAATAGTGCACAGCATGAATGATACGCGCGCATATGGTGTGCCTCGAACATGTTGTGGTGGAAGTCTCGAGATAATCCACCCCCAGAAGACCACAATGGTTGCAACAATGGTGCCAGAGGATGTCGGAGCTCGAAGACGTATCCATTCCACCAAAGGGTCCGGTGCTGGTGGATCGCGAGCACGCGAGCACGTAGAGGGTTCGAAGAAGAGAGCCGAGGTTGCGCAAATGCGATACGCTACAAGGGTAAGCGATAGAAGATCCGGACAATGTGACCACAAAGACAACCTGACGAATGGGTGCATTCAACTTTTGTCTTTCGGATGATTTGCCGCGTCGTTCCGGAGCTGTTCGACAGGCTTCCATATCTCCTTCGTCGCGTGCATGAGTTCGTATAGCTGGCCAACTTGTTCGTTGGACATCTGTGTCCTATGAGAGAAGTCCATCGCCCAGGTGAATAGTGCTCTCACCTTCTCAAACACGGTCGGGTCCATCTTCTTTCCCGAAAAGTGTTCTGCGTCCTCCGCACCAGTAGGCAGCTGGTCGAGGTACATCTTCCACTGCGAGAGGAAGCCGATGATGTGCACCGGGTTATCCGACGTCCTGTGTCTTCGAAACTCTGCCGCCACTCGGCATCAGTGGCTTTGCTACACGACAAAGAAAGCACTAGTACGAACCGGACTTGACGTAGTCATCGCCCAGGGAACGCATCTCGTAGGGCAGGAGCCTGTGTGCCCGTAGCAGCCGCCTCAGGAGCCTGCACAGTCATCAAAGGCTCGCCTCAGACATCTCGACGCGTAACCAACCAAGGGGTAGAGCAAGGGATATGGATGCATACGGCTTGGGAGGGAGGAGCGTCGCGCTCGCCTCGCGGAGGTTTAGCGGCCGGGTCGTCACAGACTGGGCGAGTCGTTGGAGGGAGGAACGCATCGCGAATCTCAGTCAGCCGTTGTGCTCTTTATACGTTGGGCGCAAGTGTGTGGTGGACCGTCGTTGGCTTAGACGGCGAACACTCAGATATTCGATGGAGATGCCGCGGATATTACGTCTTTGGCCGTGGCCCACGTGCTAATATCCGTCTTACAGTAAGATCCCGCATTACGAGGCCACTGTTCTTTGTGCTTTGCAGCGCTTGGGCCAATCAACCACCGAGTTCGCCGTTCACCCGATATGACTCGACCTACGCCGAATCCACCTTCGTGAACCGTTAGAAGTACCGAAAGTCTAGTACCGACTGCGCTTCCAGTTGCACGGTGCACCGGTAGTGGCAACTCGACACGGAACCACTCACCCTAGAGTCATGGCGCCGGCCGTGACTTTGGCTATAACTACTCACTAGCAACCTCCATAAGCCGTCGGTACCTCACACCAGAGGGGCAGTCACCTTCCGACCCGATGTGTATCTCGTGGCCCGTGGGTGGAAAGGAGCGCCATTGAGAGGGCCCGGTGTTATCGGCAGGCAGGGCGTTCTTTACCACAAGACTCGGCCTGAATGCGATCCGTACCATCGCATTGCCCAATCTTTTGCTCCGGAATCCTTCTCGGATGATCCGTAGACATATTCTTAGACGGTTCGCAGACATAACCGCCACATCTATCTACATCACAACGCTCGTCCCGCCGAGGGAAAAAAAACCCTCAACTGGTCATCTATGTATAGTTGGAACTTGAAGATTCCATAGCACCATCCGTGGCCGACTTCACGCTAGTTCCCGTGGTCGAGACAAAGGTGAGTCTCGGTGCTCCATCATGATGCTCGGTTTGCCCAGACTCAGTCACGAAACACGATGGTAGAGACGGTAGTGGCTCGCCGTATAGCTTTGGTATCAAGATCACCATAGCGGTCTGGCACCCCCGAGATCCGCCTCTCTCGTCTCGGTCAAGACTTCGACTTCATGTACCGCATGCCTCCCTCTGGTATTCGCGGTGTTCAGATCATCGAATTCGACCACGCCACTTGCAAATCCTCTCCCGTTCCTCTAGGTACCGAAGCAGACTTCTGCAGGCGATGCGCATATCGATGCTATTGCCATCGACCGCCCATCCTTTATCAAATTCGACGCAAAACGTTCACGGCTGTCATGAAGCACTTTCCGATATCTGGACACCGAGCGAAAATAGAGACCTGCACCATAGGTATGTGCTGATCTATTTTCGACCGGTCCAACAGCGCCACTTCATACGCGCGCAGATCATCAGCACGATCCTAGCTCCTGGACGAGACAACAAGTGAGCCTCGGTTCTCAATCACGATTCTTGGTGGTCGCTACCAGGTTTCAGGCGCAGGCATCATAGACGATCTTTGACCACTTGATGGCTTTGTGCACGACTTCAATATGCGTCACGCCTCGGTTCTCCGGCTTTCTAACCTTCTGGCTCTCGAGTTCAGATCAGCAACGCAGGCGATGCCACTCGCTGTTTTTTTTTTTTGCGCGTCTATCTGGGCACCAGAATTCGGCACCGGAGGCGATGTTCCATATTCTGGCGACCAGTCGCCGACCTCCTCGCGGACGCCTCGTTGTTACGGCCGTTTGGTGCCCGTGGCAGGATCTGCGGAACGCGATGCAGGCTAATTCGCAGCGTTCGACACTATCGTTTTTCTTTACCACGCCCGGAGCGATACGCCGTGCTCTCTTCAGTGCATATTAGGTTCCCCAAGGAGGTAGGCGTAGAGCGCTGCTTAGTCGCACGTCTGAGACGCAGACAAAAGGCACGGATAACAACGGCGTGATAGCCTTCAGCCACCGCGGCCTCATGCAGGGCCTTGTCGCTTTATCTCTGGAGATGGACACTGCGATCTGTAGATGGGTCGGTAGAGCATCGCCCTGGTCATTGTACTGGACTGATCCTGCCTACCTTATTTGAATGAGCATCATTGCACACCGACGAAATGCGGTCACTCCTTGTGTTTGAGATGTGATGCCGTGTCTGAGAAACAACCAACATATCTGATCTGTTGTCGATCCCCCTTGGATTCTGCAAGGTTGGACCACTAGCGGTGCCGCCCGCGATCATGTTAGACCAAGAATATCTACGCAATACATGGTGAAACTGGAAGAGCTTTTTGGACGACGCGATCTACCGCCGGGGTACACACGGTGCACAGCCGCTGTAAATCACATACACGGAAGGGGCAGCTCCGCGCAAAGACCGCCGGCGATGCAATCAGACCCAAAGCCAAAGGGTTTCATTTGCCAACTGAAACGACTTCTCCAGCGCTCCTCGGTGCTGGCGCTGCGCGATTGGAGGGGGAGGAGAGACTCGGCGTCTAAGTCACACACACCCCACATTTGGCGGAACGGAGGAACGCCGATTCCGGCGTTCCTGGCACGATCGCCATCAGAGCGCGCGTTTATCAGATCTGGGTAGAGATATGACCGGTCCTGGTCGTCTTTCATAGCGAAGATATCTAGCGCTAGGGATTGCAACGCGATGGATGGCTGCACAGGAGACTTGTACGCGACGACGCGACGTCTGGCTTGGTAGGAGCGGTGAGAAGGGACGAGACGGGATTTTGAATCTGATGGGAGGGCAGGCCGGAGTCGGCACGTGCTTCGCCAGATCTGGTTCCGACACGAGGCGACCTGGCCGTGGGACCGTTGGCACGCGCGACGCGTCTCCTGCTCGACGGCGACGACAGCGTCCGTGGGCGGTGGCGACCTTCTACCGTCGTACAAAAGGCTGCTGGCCGCGTGCGTTTGCGACGAGCGCACCGTCCTGTCCTCGATACCTGGGCCAGACGAGGGGGCGCGTCCAGCGACCGGGGTGGGCCCGCCCGAAAGCGCTCACAAAGAGGCGTCCAAAACGGGAAGTGTTGTATTAACGTTCGCGGCTTCTGCGCCCTCCCAGGCCGTCTCGCGCTCGGGTCGGTATAAATCCCTGACGCCCCGAGAACAATAAGAGCCCGCCCCCCGCCCCCTCGCCTTTTGTTCCCTCCAGATTGGGCGTAGAGACAGAGCCAGCCATGCCCGCCGTCCGCCTTTCCACGCGCCGCCGCCGCTCCTCCCTCGCCAACCTCGGTGCGTTCTGACGTCCTCCCTTATCGCGTCTTATCGCACACACTGATCGTCCCTCCCTTGCAGCCGGCCTGAACCCCATCAAGCCAGGCCAGTACGGCATCTCCTCGCGCTCCCCCCGCGCCGTCACCTTCGCCCCGAACGTCACCCCGGGCACCTACAGCACCGACCCCGCCGCCTCCCTCGCCGCCGCCGACCCGGACTCCAAGCCCGAGGCCCAGCTCTTCCCCGTCGTCGACGCGCCCTCCACCGGCGCCAAGCCCGACGCCCCCAAGCGGCGCGCCCCGCCCGGCCGCCGCCGCTCCGTCGGCCACGTCCCCCGCCCGCCCAACGCCTTCATGCTCTTCCGCGCCAACTTTGTCAAGCAGAAGCACGTCCCCGGCTCCATCGAGACCAACCACGGCTCGCTCTCCCGCATCATCGGCAACTGCTGGCGCCAGCTCCCGCTCCTCGAGCGCGCCTACTGGGAGAAGGAGGCCGCCGCCGCCAAGGCCCTCCACAAGCAGACCTACCCCGACTACAAGTTCCGTCCGATCCACACCAAGCACAAGGACCGCGCCGGTGCGGGCAAGAAGGACAAGCACGTGCTCTCTCCTGAGGAGGAGCGCCGGCTCGAGGACGTCGCGCTGCTCCTTATCGAAGGCAAACGCGGCGCCGAGCTCTCCGAGGCCGTCCGCGAGCTCGACGAGGAACGCGCGAAGGAGAGTGGAAACGGCAGCGCACGGGCCACCGAGAGCCCCGCGCCGCTCCCGCCGCTCAGCCCGCCCCCGCCGTACGAGCGCCAGCAGACGCGCTTCCACCGCCGGAGCTCGTCCGTCCCGCCTCCGATGCAATACATGCACCACCTCCAGTATCAGCCCCAGCAGCCGCAGTCCATGGGCATGGGCATGGGAATGGCGCCCATCGCGCTCCCCGCGCTCCCGTTCCTGTCCTCGCTCTCCCGCCCGGCCTCGCCCCCGGTCGGCAACATCTCGCGCACCGTCATCGGCCAGCGCCGCCCGTCCAGCGTCCAGCCGATCCCGTCCCGGCCGTGGGGGTACGACTTCGACCAGCAGCCGTACGGGTACGAGCAGCACTTCCACAACCCGACCGCGGACCTGTACATGGCCGACGCGCCCGTGCTCATGCAGCGTAGCCCGTCGCCGCTCCCCGAGGCGGACACGACGATCTGGGACCAAAACTTCCTCGGCTCCGGCGGCTTTTCGCAGACCTCCGCGCAATCGCATCCTGAAGCCGCCTTCGTGAGTGCCCCGTTGCTACCAAAACCCCGCACTGCACAGTTGCTCACAAACCTTCCCTTCTCCTCGCAGAACGTGCACGGACTGATGGAATCGCTCGATACGACTTGTGCCCAGCCGTCGTTCGCGCTGGAGGACACGATCTCCCCGCTCGACGGGCCGCACCACCCGGAGCTCACCATCCGGATCCCGTACCCGATCTCAGGTGACCTCGAGACGCCCAGCGCCTGGCCGCACTCGGAGCCGTCCACCGCCTACTCGGGCTCGCCCGCACCGAGCGAGCACGTCGCGCTCCACCACCAGCACCAACAACACCCCGAACTGCACGCGCCCGTCCCTCAACAGGCCGTCCCAAAGTGGACCGATTACCACATGGGCGGGTTTGAGCCATCGCAGCAGCAGCAGCAGCAGGAGCCGACGATGGACTCCGGGCTGGAAAACTACCACGTCGGGATCGAGCACCTCGGGCTGAACGTCGGCGACATGTTCGCCGGCGCGGATCTCGGCGCGGACGGCATGTACGACGCGAGCGCGTACGCGGACGTCCTCGGCGTCGTCTGCGAGGAGGCCACCCCTCCCGCCCACGGATACGAATACTGATTTTACTTCTCCCTCTCTCTCTCTCGGAAACGGGAACGGATCCTCATCATCATTCTTGGTTATCGGAACCTTGGCTTGGATACCCCCACAGATCTCCTACTCAATAACACAAACCTCACACGCACACACCCACACGTCTCATCGTATTGCCTCTGACTCTGACCCGGCATCACCCCTGCATTGTAGCCCTTTTTTTTATTACCTGCTGTATCTATACGTACGCATCTCCCCCTTCCTCCGCCTGGCTTTCTTGGTTAGCCCCCGTGGGCGTTCGCGTCCTCGTACTGCGGATGATCTGTCTCGTCACCTCACTGTAGCCCTACTATGGGTCTCGAACCTGTGCATAGATTTATACCTAATATCACATCATTCTAATAATGCGTCGCTGAAGGAGTGCGGCTCGACTTATGGGGTAATTGACAGGCACACACACCCCGGTTCATTCTTCATCGCTTTGCTGCTTAGGCCCATATGGTCAACGTGTTTGGGACGAAATCTACTCTCACGTCGTCATGTACTTATGGGGTTACCGGCGGGTAAGGGCCATTCATCATTCTACATACTGATACGCAGGGGGCAACATTGAGTGAGGCATTGCTGACTCCAAGGGAATAAAACAATGAACCATCAGGATCGCTTCAGGAACGCGAGGCGCTAGTCACGGTTCGGGCGTGAAAAACGCAACAAGAAACGGGGGGGTCCGTCGAAGCATGACCGGGCCAAAGCGAGAGAAATGCGGAAACGAATCGCGTCGATTTGGATATCGCTCAGATACCGAGGTGGATGTACGGCGCCCAACGGCTCGGGTCGGGGTGCACATGCTCCAGCTCACGCACGGCGGCGTCCAGGGCGTAAGGGACGTCGTCCGGGTTCAGAAACTCGGAATCGCCCCCGAAAAGGGTCTTGTAGACGGAGGCGGCGATCATCGGTCCGTCCACGTCGTCCATGGACCTAGAAACGTGTTGTGGGCTACGGGAAACGAAAAAAAAAGACGAATGCTCACCACAACGTCGCGATGACGCTCTTGAAGCCCGCGTAAAGCATCGTCGCGGCCAGGTTGATAACCTGGTCCGGTTGGTTCTGCCGGGTTATTATCGTCGTCAGACGGGTCTCGTCAACCGGTCGGGTGCCGAAGCGTCACGGCTCACATTGTCCACCTTGGCGGTGCCGCACGCGCTGAGAAACGCCAGGAAAGCGCGCGGGAGCGGGACGGGCATCATCCGTTCGATCGTCAGCGTCTCGTCCGACATGACGAAGCCGCTCTTGAGCGGGTTGTCAGGGTCCTGGTAGCCGTGGCATGCGAGGTGGAGGATCGCAGCGTCGGGAAGGAGCCCGAGCAGCGTCTCGCCTTTGACCCCGCGGCCGAGGCCGCGAAGCGCGTCCTCGTCCTCGGGAAGCTGGATCAGGGCGGGAGCGGGTATGATCCCAGCGACGCCGTGGACCTCCTCGCATGTGGCTGGCAGTTCTTTCCATCGCTCACTGTGCGGACGTGGAACGGCGGCCAGCAGTGTCTTGACGTCGTCCCTGCGAATGGGATTGTATGTCCGGCGGGCGTTGATTAGCGTCTCGAGTGTCGGAATGTATGAGGAAACAACGTAGTCCGAGCAGGAGCCTGCGGATGCTCGGGCGGCGTGGATAGGAAGGTGAACGAGAGATCCCGTTGGACACCACCAGATGCGCGGACGCTGACGACCGGAAGAGGGCTTTGCAGCGTCAGCGAGCAGCGCTGCAAGGCCCGAAGGTCGAACTCACCTTCAGTTGTAAGGCATCCAGGACAGGCCACGCGATCTTCGTCCATAAGCCTTCGAGCACTTCGTCCACCGCGTTCTTTGGAGCAGGTCTACGGCCCTTAACCTTGCTGACCTGCAACCGGGTGCGCGACCGGGCTTCCTCCGCGGCAGATCGCCACCTTTCTCCCGACGAGACCACCCAGCTGTCCGTGAGCGAGGGTAGTGCGATGCTGACTAGCCGGCCGACACCTCGGATGATGATAGCATAGGATGCCATTGCGTTCGTCACCAAGATGACAACGGGGCCCTTTTCTGCCACCTGCGACAGGGTCGAAAAGTCGTGGCACAACATGAACCGATCAAGGCCAGGCAATCTGCGGATCTGATCCACCAATCCATTGAACTCGTCGCTTTCTTGCCTCCTCTGAGAGATGGCCTTTTCCACCAGGCGTTGGTCGGAGGACGAGTAGGATATGTCGCTCTGCTTCTCCAGCTTCCTAGCGACCACGGTCAAGCGTTCACGAAGTTCTTCCGGGACGTCTTGAAAGTCGGAGCGGAGACGCAGGGTATGCGTCCAGAACACAGCGCGGCCCTGCTCGACGAACTCGACCGCCTTCTCGGGTTGGTTCGAAACAAGCGCGTGAACTGCACCTACTGTGGCCACGCTCTGGCCCATGGAGAGCGATTCCAAACGGGAGGAGGGGTCTAAGCCGAAGTAGGCTACCCGAGGAAGCAGGCCCGTGACCGTCGAATAGATGTCGAGGAGCTCCTTTCTGACCGAAGGTTCAGACATGGACTCGTGGGGCTGATTCGCCTCAATAATGCGAAGAATTCGTATGGTGCCCTGAAGGCGAGATCGCACATCGCGATGGTTTTCAGCGACGGCTTGCTTCAAGTAACCCAACGCCGCGTCCGGGTTGCACAGACCGGAACCGCGTTCGAGATAAAGCTCTGCCAGGTCGATGAGGCTCTGGAACCGAGCTCGTCGACCAAACGGCGCGCGTTCCAGCAACTCGAGGAGCAAGTCTCTGGCACGCTCCACGTCTCTCCGCTCCCCTTTCAACCGGAATCGGGCAAGGTACGATGCCCCGAGAGCGCGGAAGTACGCTGGACCAGAAGCAGACTCGAGAAAGTCGTGCTTATTGTGACTTTCCAAAAGATCGAGAGCTCTTTCGATATCCTCAACATATTTGTGATGTTGGCCGCGCAATATCAATGCGTCACAGAGACGTTGGATAGCGGGAAATCGGAATTGATGGTCAACAGGTAAAGTTTCCAAGTGTTGCTGAGAGAGCGCAATCGCTTCCTGCAAGTCTTCGTCTCGGTGATCATTCTCGAAACTGACGCAAAGACACAGTATCATCGCTGGGATGAAAAGGTCGCGGCGGCGAGGATTAGTTTCTGTCCGTAAGAAATCGCGGTAAATCATGATTGACTCGCGGAGATCGTCAATGCGCCCTGTTTCCTTGTACCGTAGGTACAAAACTTCGGCCAGGTTGATAGAGGGGACAAAGGCGTTTGCCAGCGTACGGTTCCGTGTACTGGAGTCTTCGCGAAACAACTGAATAGCTTCCTCCAGGTCAGCTAGGATCCCCGTCCAGAGAAAACGCTGCCGTATTGCTTCACCAAGATTATTGAGGCGGCCATGATACGAGTGGTGACTGTGCGGAGTTAATCGAAGGGCTTCACGGCGAAACGAGACTAGCTCAGCAAGCTCGGATTCGGATGCTGAAGCCAAGTCAAACTTGAGGACGAGCAAACCTGCCATCACGTCCAACGTATAACTTCGTGCCTCGCTCTTCGGGCTGGCGATCGACAGAGCACGTCGCGCAGTAGCGAGGGCATTGTTCAGGTCTTTAAGCTGGCCCTGTAGGTGGAATCTCCGACCTAGCGACTGGCCGAGTCGTGCTAAAAGCAACTCAAGGTTTTTATGGGAAGGCGGGCAGAGCGCCAACGACATCTCGTAGTTGGAGATAGCGTCCTCGAGATCCTTCGGGTCTTGTATGACTTCGTACCGCTTCTTCAGGTGATCAGCCAGCACATGATGGGCTCCGTGAAGCCTGTTGGTGCGTTCTTCGTGGGGGAGGGCAGAGACGTGAATCAAGACAATCCGTTGCAGGCCAATGGCTTCGTCAATGTAAGCTTGACTGTTCGTTTTCTCATAACGTCGGGCGAGGATCGAACCTAGCAGGGAGAGGGCTTGAATGCGCATTGCGTGTCCATCATCGCATGATTCGATCGTCTCTCGGCAGAGGCGCTCGGCCAAATCTCGATTTTCCGCTGGCCCACCCTGGTCTGCATCAAGGCGAAGGGCGGCAGCAAATCGGACCCAAAGGGTAGGGCAGATGAAACCGTCGGACTTGCACGCGTCAAGGCCCTCCTGGCCAAGCCTCAGGACCTCTTCCAGGTCCTCTCTTCGTCCACCTGAACAGAAGTAATGACGCGATCTCAGGGCATGGCAAAGCAGCCCAAGGGCATGGTACCGCATTGGTGCTATCGCATTTTGCTGTGCCTGGCGTGAGCGTTGCATATCCATGACGAGTATCACAGAGAACTACGTGCCCTATATTGTTCTGCTGAAAGCATCTCGCGATACTTGAGGATGCACTGATTTAATGCCTCAAAATCCATCTGTTGCTCAAATTGGGCGTGTAGACCTGCAGCCTCCGTTCCAGTCTTCGAAGTTACTAACGTTCGTTGCGTTGTGAGTAAATAGGCTCCGCTTCATACAGGGAGAACGCACTGGGCTTGCATTCACAGACTAGACTGGCAGTCAAGTCACTGTGTTTCTTTTCGTCAAGATTCTGCAGCCGGAATGCCCCGAAAACATCGCTGAATAGAGCTGGACGCGAGGATATGTCAATATACAACCCTTTCATGAGTATGTGACCCTTACCAATGGGTGCGTGAAGAATGGCTTGTATGTGCTGCATGTGAGGGCGCGGCGAGATGTTTCAAAGCGGCAGACTGGGGAGAGGCGCCGCAAGAGTCATAGACGGTGAAGGTGCCTTATATGCGTCGGTGCTGTGTTCGGCGTTACTGATGGACGCCCTTGATGCAGTGGACGATTCCATGTTGACGTCTTCGGTGAGCAGGGTTTGTGGTGGAAGTAAATCTTATCATTTCCTCCTTGGGGAAGACGCTCCAGTAGACGTCTCCGTGATGAGGGGTCCCAGTGAGGCTGGAATGGAGGGTCCATACATCCCGTGAAACGGCTGCAAGAAGGTTTCGGCGAGCCGTAGTTGATGACATTGTTCGGTCGGATGTTCTGGTCCGCGTTGCATTATAGAAGGATCGGCGGATGAGATATGGACAGCCAGCACCCAATCTGGTAAACACAAACACTGGACTATCCACGGTCATCCTCGATAGAAGCTTGCTATGCCAATCAGGATGGCGGATTGGCGCGAATAGAGATGCGAGCTTGATTGTGTGTGACCAACAGCGGGATCGCACTGAGCAAGAGGGCGCTAAAGCGATACCTTCGTTGATATATCGATGCGCATGCGAAATGTATGACGAGAGTGCACGGGAAAAGCCGACCGAGCAATGGACACTGCACAGAGACAGCTGTTTGCTCGACTAACAGGGCCGATGCGGACATCAGACCACTCTCGAAGCTTCTTCGTTAACGAGCCCCGGAGCCGCGGACATGCCGGCTGTGAGTAGATGCTATACGTGGGAGTGAACTAGCCAATGACTGGAGAGTTCGTCAGAGTCGGTAACGGCAACCGTGGTTAGGTGATGGACGTAAAGATCGACATTGTCCAGGGTATCGCAGACGCAGACGCAGTCGGCACATTCGCACTACCGAAGGGCACTGGCAAAGGCTGAAGGTGACACTGACACTGACACCGAACTGTCAGATCACGTGGCTACTTGAGCGCGTCGCCAGAGCGCGTCGGGGACCTGCTGGTTTCTGCGTTTTGCATAACTGCTGTTACATCGCTCAAGGCTTCCGAATCGAACACGACAAGGATATAAAAGTAGCTCCTGGTGACTTAAAATTGGCGTTTCTCTGTACTTCAAGTCAACGGCACTCCAAGTGCAGAGACACCCAGCGATAGCGCCGCCATGCCATTGATACGTATTGAAGTATGCGACTTCAAGTCCTACAGGTACGCAATTCGATGAAAAGTAAAAACGGGCTCACACCGATACCGAGAACTTAATAGAGGTCACCAAACCATCGGCCCTTTTCGCCATTTCACCTCGGTCATCGGACCCAACGGTGCCGGAAAGTCGAACCTCATGGATGCCATCTCTTTCGTTCTCGGAGTGAAGAGCGCGCAACTGCGTAGTAGCCAGCTGAAAGACCTCGTCTATCGCGGAAGGAGACTCGCTAAGGGCGATGAGGAGGGCTCGAACGCGGACGAGGGAGACGACGATGAAGGCGAAGGCGAAGGAACGGCGCACAAGGCATGGGTTCTGGCTGTCTATAAGGATACGAAGGGCAAGGAGTGGCATTTTCAGCGGACGATCTCGACATCCGGCGCGTCCGAATACAAGCTGAACGGCAAAGTCGTCACCTACGCTGCATACAACTCGGCGTTGATGTCTCATAATATCCTTGTCAAGGCCAAGAACTTCCTGGTTTTCCAGGGAGATGTCGAAGCCGTAGCGTCGCAGTCTCCAAAAGAGCTCACGCGTCTCGTGGAGCAGATCAGCGGCTCATTGGAATTGGCCGCCGAGTATGAAAAGGCCAAGGAGGACCAGGAACGCGCGACGGAAAACGCCACTTTCAACTTCAACAAGCGCCGCGGTATCGCAGGCGAAATCAAGCAATACAAAGACCAGAAGCAGGAGGCGGACAAATTCGAAGAATTAGTGGAAGAAAGAGTCAGGATTTGCATCGACTAACATTAATTCATACTAATACGACACATAGGCTGAGCTGATCCTTCGCCGGACTTTGTGGAAGTTGTTCCACATCGAAGAAGGTTTAGCCACCAACGCGAGAGAGATCAAGGAGCAGAACAAGAAACTTGCCGAATTGCGTGAGCAGAAACGTTTGCAAGACGAAGGATTGGAAGGCGCTCGTGCAGAGCAAGCGAAGGCTCGTTCGAACGTGATGCAGAAAGAGAAGAAGATCAAGAAAGCTGAAAAGGCACTCGAGAGCAAGGTATGCACTACAAGACGCATATAGGCGGATACTCATGTCTGGGCAGAAACCGGATCTAGTGGCTATTGATGCTCAGATTCAGCATGCGACTCGCAAGCTCAATAATGCGCAGAAGACCAGCGAGCAGATACAGAAAGACATCGAACGTCAGAAGGAGAAAGTGGATGCGCTTCGTAATGAGCTAGTTAAGACGCAGAAGGCCGCTGATGCAGCTCAAGGTATGTGCTCTGCTACTCTTTCGTCGTTTCTTCTGACTGTTCTGCAGAGGCGCAGCGTCAGACGACTCAGGACAATCTTTCTCTCAGCGAAGAGAGCCTCGAGGAATATCGCAGACTGTGGATATTTTCCCCTACGGAAATAAGTCAAACCACTGATTAAGGCTGTCGAATAGGAAGGCACAAGCTAGTGTCCTGGCAGTTGATGAACGGCAATCGCTTGAGACGCTCGCTAGAGACGAGAAGATATCGAACCGTACACTTGGGCAGATTCGCGATAAGCACGAGCAATTGCTACAGCGCAAGCAAAAGCTCACCGAGGAGGTTGAAACCCAAGGCGCTCGTCGTGCAGAGGTGCGCATGTCCTCGGTCTCGTTCCTCCATGCCGTGGTCCTGATATGAAGTCTCGATCTAGCTGGAGGAGAAAGTGAGCACGCTGCGAGGCGAATTGCAGAAGGCCAAACAAGAACTGGACAACCAGCAGGCCGAGCGAACGCGAATCCAGTAAGGGATATCACCTTATTACCAGTCATATGGTTGACACTTTCGATCAGGACGCTCGAATCCGAGTGCAACGAGCGACTCGCAGATGTGTACAATAAACTTCTGCAAGCCGGCGTGGACCGCAAGGAGTCAGAACGCGAAACCAGGTTTAAAGAGACTCTTGCAAGCTTGCAACGCATCTTCCCTGGAGTCCGTGGTCGAGTCATCGACCTGTGCAAACCGACGCAGCGAAAATACGAAACTGCCGTGTCTGTCGTTCTTGGGCGGAACCTGGAGGCGATTGTTGTCGACGAGGAAAAGACCGCGATAGACTGCATCGAGGTTCGTTGTTGCACTTAAATGCCAGCTTTTGTTCATCTAGGTTACCTCCAGTATATGCGCAATCAACGAGCTGGTCAAGCGACGTTCATTCCGTTGGACACCATTCAGGTTAAGCCCATCAACGACAAGTTCCGGTCCTTTGCTAAGGGTGCTCGCCTCGCCGTCGATGTGATCCAATACGACCCTGTTGTGGAGCGTGCCATGCATCATGCCTGCGGGAATGCCCTGGTGTGCGACACCATGCAAGTTGCACAGTACGTTTGTTACGAAAAGGGACAAGAGGTCAAAGGTGAATAATCGCATACGTACCTCAGGGTCATTCACTAACCTCTCTGTGAAGCTGTCACTCTGGAGGGCACTATTATCCACAAGAGTGGTTTGATCACCGGTGGGCGCAGCACGCATTCGAGCGGCAAGAAGTGGGAGGAGAAGGATGTGCAGGGTAATAGCCTGACAGTTACTGTTATATGATTGCTGCTTACCTTTGTTAGGCCTTCAACGTGTACGTGACAACCTGATGGGCCAACTTCGAGACCTTGCCAAAGAGAAGCCTCGTTCTAACTCTGATGAGCGATTGTTGTCGGAGATAGCTCGCTTAGAAGCTGCCTTGACCGTTGCACGGGACGATCTAGTATGTACTCCATCTAATCGGACAGCACAGGATATCCGTATTGAAGCTGCGGCGTACAGAGCGCTTGCACGCTGCGCTTGGGTGGCCTGAAAGACGAGTTGAAGCATGTAGACAAAGAAATCAAGTCCATAAAGCCGGAACTCAACAAGGTCACTGCCTCCGTTACTCAACTGAGCCATAACTAACACAATCTCTGCAGGCCGAAAAGGCGCATGCATCGCTCCGTGAACAAATTGAAGAGTTGGCGTCCGTGATCAACCGCGCTGAAGACAGGGTATTTGCGGCGTTCTGCAGGAGCATCAACATCACGAACATCCGGGAGTACGAAGAGCGTCAGCTGAAGGTTGCCCAAGAAGAGAGTAATGCCCGGATGCGCTTCGATACTCAGATTGCTCGCCTGACACATCAGTATGCTACCGATTGTTGTGTGCAGAGGAACTCCGCCTTATTCATGCCCCCAGGTCTCGGTTTGAGGAAGAACAACTGAAGACGATGCGGGAACGCCTCCTCGCGCTTCAAAACATCGTCAAGAATGAAATCACCAACCTCGAGAAACTTCAAGCATCAAAGCAGACAACCGAACAGGAGCTAATGGATGCTGAAGAAGCGATCGATAAGTTGAACGAAGAGCTGAAAGCTCTCAAGGATGTGTTGGATACCCATACACAGACAGTTGAACAAGCGAAGCGTGCTGCATCCAAGGCCAATAAGACGCTCGAGCAAGCTCTCAAGGAAATCACTACCAAGGTGATTTGTTCTTGATAATGTCATGCTCCCCAATACACTCAACTCCGACCAGAATGACGAGATCGAGAAGCTTGGTCTCGAACGTTCGACGATTTACCGCAAGTGCAGGATGGAGAACATCAAACTTCCCCTGCTACAGGGAAATCTCAAGAATGTTCCAATGGAGGAGGTGAGTTTCCGGGACCTGCCACATGTGACCGCTCTTCAACACCTCAATAGAACCTCCGCGACGAGATGGCGATGGAAGTCGATGAGGATGAGGACGGTACTCAACCGACGAAAGTAGTATCAGACTATGGCATAGAAGTCGACTTCGATCTGCTTGACGAGGAGGAACGTGAGGTAAAGTGATGTCTCTCCTCCATTATATGGAGTCTGATTGTGAGTAGGATGGTGACCCGAAGCGTGCGGCTGAATTTGAGTCCTCCATCGCGAAGCTCAGTGCGGATATCGAGCGCATGACGCCGAACATGAAGGCGGTAGATCGGTACGCTACTCCTTCCATTCACACCGGCTTCCGCTAATGCATTGTAGCTTGGAAGATGTTGAGGCGAAACTCGCTGAGACCGAGAAAGAAGCCGACAAGACGCGGAAAGAATCCAAGACTGCAAGGGACGTTTTCAACGACGTCAAGAAACGCCGGTATGTGGACATTAGCGTTCGAGTGCATTGATGATTGAGTGGCAATTACCAGGTGCGATCTGTTCAATAAGGCATACAACCATATCTCAGAGAGGATCGACCAAGTCTACAAAGATCTCACCAAAGGGAAAGCCGCTCCGATGGGAGGAGTGGCATATCTCAGTCTGGAGGACAGCGAGGTAGGACATTATTTGTCCAAGCCTCTCTTTAAGCGCTAACTCTCGTGGATCGGGCAGGAACCATACTTGGGTGGTATCAAGTATCACGCGATGCCTCCCATGAAACGTTTCCGTGATATGGAACAGCTGTCCGGAGGAGAAAAAACCGTCGCAGCCTTGGCTTTACTATTCGCTATACATAGGTAATATTCAACATAATCCGCACCGTCCAGCACTAATGATCCGTGCAGTTACCAGCCATCGCCTTTTTTCGTCCTCGACGAAGTAGACGCTGCTTTGGACAACACGAACGTTGCCAAAGTCGCAAATTACATTCGGGCGCACGCTTCCGATACCTTCCAGTTCATCGTTATTAGTCTTAAGGGATCGTTATACGAGCGAGGAAACTCGCTTGTAGGTATTTACCGAGATCAGGATGTGAACTCGTCCAGAACGCTGACTCTTGACGTGAGTGGTCTCCCAAAGCTTTTCATCCGCTGTATTGAGACTTCCTGCAGCTCACTCAATACGACGAATGAATGCTGCGCACTATTTTCTGAATCATGACTGTCGCTATCGTTCCCGGCTCTATCTGTATCTCGCGAGTGTATTCTTGTTATCTCTGTTCGTAGTGTACGTATGCCAGTCAAATTATGCATCGATTGAACCCAAGGGGCTCATTCGTTCAGCACCGGTACCTCGGTAGTCGGTACTCAGTACTCCTCCCACTCAAGGTGCCTCAAGTTCCGGTTTCAGGCATGCGCGACAGCCATGACCTCCAACCGGTATCAAAGCTACAGGATGTATTACCAGATGTACCGACTGTAGGGCAATTAAAGGAAGTGCGCGAAATATACAATGATGAGCAAAGCAGATCCAGAACCGAGCATAAGAATAACAAATACATATAAAACAACGGACGTGCGGATCAAGAAGCGGAACCATCAATAACGAATGCATCCTCTCCAAACGTGGTCCTTCTACTGGCACGAGCATCAGCAGCAGGAGAATGCAAGTTCTCTGGTATGCGCGGTTCTGCTGGCTGCGGGTCGTTACTTATAGGATCTTCGAGTTCCTGACGCGGGGTGTAGCCGGCGAAGTAAGACTGAATGATCGGCATGTGAGCCGGAGTTACATCGGTAGGCGGCGACGGGAAATCCGACAGAGCCGATATGCGGGAGCCGTCGCTGGTGGTTGTAAGGTAGCTGGATCGAGTGAACGTGGAAGACTGTGGCATAAGACTGGAATGAGTTCTAGCTTGGCTTGTGGGAGAAACGGCGTCTTCTGCCTGCTGCTCTTCAGGGACGACGTCGTCCTGTACGAGGGACAAATGGCCAGACATCGGACGGGATCCGGTCACGGCAGGAGGCGTTGAAACGGCTTCCACAATTCCAAAGCGCAAAGCTAGAGCGTTCGTCAGCACAAAAGGTGGGAATATTTGATCGCGATCAACGTACCTCCGAAGGTATCCGCTGGGTTTTCCGGGTTCGAAGGATCCAACGGCGAGGACGCTCTCGAAGATTCGACATCCTCTGGGACGTTGACCAGGAGAGGGGATCCTTGCGCTGGGGCAACTTTTAAGGGCGCTCGCATGGTCAAGGATTGCGAAGAGGCGTGTTGCGGATACGACATCTGATCCAGCAGCTCGGCGATGTGGTCTGTAGTATCCTCCTCATGGGGGATAGCACTCCAATCCCACGACGAGGCGTCCGAGATCATACTCCTGCCGTTTCGGAGTCTCGTCGCTTCGAGCTCTTCGCTGAGCATCCGCGTCAGGTTTGCAAGCCCGCTGCCGCTCAGGCTACTGTGCTGGCTGACGTCCACAGGCACAGAGCGACTTGGTTTGCGCGTCAATGAGGGCCGCGCTTCGCTCACCTCCTTCTGTATAGATGGAGCTGCGGATCCATTCTGCTGCGATCGCGCAGGGCGATAAAAGAGGTCGCGGAAGCGATCGAGGTCCTCTGAACCGGAACTGCCCATGCGTCGCGGGGATAGAGGAGGTGAAGTATTTTCTGATGCTACGCCGGGCGACGACCCCGAGTGCTCCTGGGAATCCTCCGACGTGGTCCTTAGCAGCTCTGGCCTAGATTCGGGTGGGTTGGCATGGTCGGAAGGGGAGGATGCCATGGTTCTTTTTGTACGGGGTAGGGAAAGCTGCGTACCCTCGCGGGCCACCGGGGGACTTCCGTCAAGGCCGTCCGGAACAGGCTTTCGTTGAACACGAGGAGCCTCAGGTGGGGTGGAGTCGTGGGCAATCATACGTGCCGGTTGGCTATGAACATCCACCGGATCCGTACGATCATCCATCGAGCTTCCATCGTTGCCCTTTAAACGTTCTTTACTCCGCCTCCTCTTTAGTGTCATGCTCAATGCATCCTCCATGCGTAGAGTTGCTCTGTCCTCCTGCCGTAAGCTGTCTTGCCTATACGCATACACGTGCTCGGCCCAGTTTTCCCCCTCGAACGGCGCGTCTTCCGGTGGCATAGGCGAGTAGCGAATTTCTTCCGGGAGAATTTGACGTACATACCCTGCGCCGACCTCCGCGAACATCGTACGAGAGGGGGACACATCGCGCAGATCAGGAGCACCCGCGACTCCGTAACTTGCATACGGATGGGAGATGTGCGGCACATTGAGCGTGGTAGAAGGTAGTGTTGCTTGGGGTGGTAAACGGTGCCTCGCCGATATGTCATTAATCAACACGCCGGCGGCCGGCGGCACTTGAGACTGTACGGCCATGGAGTCTTGGAGGGCACCCTTGCCATCCGATGTCTCGAGACGTTGCGGCCGCGGGTATCGAGATGTCGGCATGGCGTATGGATGGTTCGGCATGTGTATGGGCTCTTGCGAATGATCGTCCGATGAGGGCGGGATAGGCGACGAGATGGCGATACCCATGCGCACCCCCTCGCCCGAGCCACTCACTCCCGACGGCGTCGGCGAAGGCGCTAAGCCGGACTGGAAGGTTCCCTCTGCGCTCTGACCCTGTGAACTGGCGACAAGCAGCTCGCCGCTGGCCTTCGTCCTCTCCTGAACGATTTGGTCTTCTAGATGGATGACCTTCGTCCCGCCGCTACGAAGCACCGCATCAATAGCGGCACCGCGCACACTTTCTGCATCATACGTATGCTCGGCGCCGGTAAGACCGCACAAAGCTCCCGCGCGCTTGATGCCCCGGCCGAGCGATTCCGCACGTCGGTGCCCGCGCTGAGAAGCCGACGCATCAGTCTTGGAGTGCGAAGAATGAGAGTGCGAGCGCGTGTGCGACGTCGTGGCGGTTGCCGTGCCGCCGACGCTGGCGCTCTGACGCACATGTCCGGCCGCCGAGGAGTCGGCGAACACGACGTGTACCGTAGGCTTTAAGCCCTGAGTGCCCAACAACGTCCGTTCGGCCAAGAAGTCCATCCTGCCGTCCGCATTGTCTTTGTTCGCGGCCCTGGCCTTGCTCTTCGAAAGCGATTTTGCGCGAGTTCTGGAAATGGAACGAGTGCGGTTGTTGAGTAAAGAGTGCTTCGCCTGCGCTTGCCAGGCACGTCGATCCCGTTCGAGTCTTTCGCCGTCCTCAAGCACCCTATAGCGACCGCAGATCAGCATCTTCAATTTTAATTGGCTCAATGAACACCATCGCTTACTTTGATAAAGACGGTACCGGGCTAGGCAGTGCCATGTCATCCCAGGAGAATCTCTTCGACCTCCCGTTCGCCACGTCGTTCGCAACCCGGGGATCACGAGGGCTCAGGAATCCTGAAGGCAAGACGTTACCCCTGAACCGGGCCTCTTCGATCTGCTCTTCCCGGATATTGACTGGTGGTAGTCGTTCAAGCGCGCTCTCATTCACGGTGGCGACAGCTGGGACCGGGGTGGAGGCTGACACGACGTCCAGCGCCCTCGAGACACCGATGTCCGCCTGCGAACGCGATTTGTGCAATCCCAGACCCTTGTTTCCAGTAGGAGTGCGTAAAGAGCCTACTCTGGGACGAGCTCCCGCGACTCTCGCCCGCTCATATTGCTCAGCGCCAGGTGCAGGCCATATGATGTCCGGGGGCGGGCTGACCACATGGGCTCTTCTAGGCATCGGCGGCGTGCTCGGCCCCTGGCGTACTTTGAACCGCGGCCGGGGGAACAGCAAAGCGTCGCACCACGTCTCGGCACTCAGCCATCGATCTCGGGCTAATAAATTATAGTCGCCACTGGTTGAAAGCTGCGGAATTGCAGGTAAATGTGTTTTGGAAGGAGAGCGAAGGTTTGGCGTAGACAGCGAGGTTTTCAACCGAGAGAGTGAGCCGAGGATGGAAGTTTTGGATGCTGCGGCGGAGGGTTGAAGGTAGGGCGGCACGGGTTCGGACTTGGAGGGAAGGGCGAGGCGGACCGTGTGAGGCTGTGGTGGGGGACTCTGTCGGTCGGGAAAATCGATGGCGCGGCCCTTTCCCTTAGCCGTGTAGGTGGGGGTGGTTGGAACAGGAGCGGCGGAAGCATAAGGATGCGAACTCTTGGATGTATGTGTCTGCTGTGAAGAATGAACATGGGAAGAAGATGTAGGCGTATCAAGCTTGTCGGGCGATGGAGGGTGTGGCACAGAGCTGATGTTGATATCAGGTCGAGAAGCGGTCGGCGTACGGGACAGGGAGTTGTATTGTATATCGCGGTATTCGTCCTTGGGTGCGGTCGCTTTCGTTGATGGTGCAAGGGTTTTGAGGCCGCTCACTGGCTTCGGTTGCTCGGAGCCGGCCCGGGGGCGTCCGAAAGAACCAGCGCGGACAAGGGTGGGCATAGACGGCGTCTTGGTCACACCTGAGGAGGCGCCTCCCGATTGCGGGCTGCCTAGACCGAAGATGCTAGCAAAGCTCATGCGTGCATTACTACCGGGGGAAGTCGGGGAAGTCGGAGAGCGTGTGCGAGGGATCGGCGTTGCACCGATACCCCCCGCGTCCATGGATGCGAACGAGGGTACAGGCATGCGAGGAGGGGACGATGCGCGTAAACGAACGGAGGTGGTGAAAGATTTTCGACTTGGGTCAATGGCGCCGGACGAGCCAGTTTGGTGCGACGTGTGCGAGAAGGCGCGACTACGGCTTTTGCCCTCCGACGGCGAAGACTCGAAGAGGTCCCGGTGAGCGGCGAACGCGTCCCCGACGATGTCGCCCCATGAATCTCGAATCGGCTTCGGTTGCTCCTTCGGCAGTTCGTATGGGCCGTTGTAAGGGATGTACCACTCGTCATCGCCGTTGTTGTGTGATGTTCTGGTGGGCGACTTGAGGCCGAATCGTTTGAAAAGAGGAAAGCGCGACGAGGTCGCCGACGCCGGCTGCGTTTTCGTCGCCATTCCAGTTGGTCCCAGCAAATGCAGGGAGAGGAGATTATGGAACTAGATAGCGAAAGTGACCGTGGGTTGACAAGCTCGGGACATGGGGCTGCGTCGGATGGAGATCAGGACCGCGCCATACGCTGATGTGATGGCTGGAAATACCTGCAACGTCCGTACCTGATCTGCCGGCGGGGCTGTTCTATGCTCGCCGTCGTCGTGCGCGACGGCGACGAGGGCGGGATGACACGAAAGCAGTTGAAGCGAACAAACGAGGGGAATGCCGCAAGAGCACTGCGCGTGAGTGCGCGCTTCTGATGATGACACCTCGAGTTAGTCTAAATTTCAAATCTGATCAGCTCACTTCCATTCAAAAGCCACGAGCACTTTCACAACCTGTCAAGGTCTGGCGTTCAATATATTCAATTTTGAATAGGAGAGGCTCATGCAGTTCAGAGTTCGACATTTATTATGTACATATGTTCAAGAAAGGGACCGCATTCTGGTGTATGTACGTGAAAAGGAGCGTCGGCACGTTCAACGTTCACTAGCGCATCCTCCTTGCACAGGTGTAGCGCCGATGAATGAAGAGCTCAAATGGAAGGATGCCAGCAAGGTCAAGCAAGTATCGGTCTGTTTCATGCACCGGGTGACGTCCAGTACTGCACCGGTCATTGTCTTTGGTCATATCATCCGCCACGATCGCTTCCATTAGTACTCAGGATTCAATCGTCTCATAGCCTCCTGTCTGTATGCCTATCGCTGCTCTCGTACCACGCTATAGATTCAGGCGAACGAGAGGACTGTCGGCTGACCTGAGCAAGCCGGACGCAGCGGTGCATGACAATATCATATGATGCGCATACAGAAACACATACGCCATACACAGAGCCGATAAGCCAGAGTTACCTATAAACCCTCATGCGATGAGGGTGGAGGCGGTGGCTGAATCGTACTTGAAGGTCGGCGGGATCTGCTGCTTCGACTTGTAGTAGCGAGCGAGGCGGTGGATACGCGACTCGATGAGAATGAGGCGGAACTTCGAGTCCTTGTCCTTGCGGTTGGTCTCAAGGTGCTTACGGACGGCGACCGCCTTTTTTACGAGGTGCCACAGGTCCTCGGGAATACCGGGGGCGAGGCCTAGATGAGTAGAACCATCAACACCATCCCATTTGACTCGATCGTGAAGATAAGACTGCTCACCGTGCGACTTGAGGATACGCAGGATCTTCTGACCAGTCAGGAAGCGGACCTGGGGGACACCATGCGAGTCACGGAGAGTGACACCGATCTGCGACGGGGTAAGACCCTTGCGGGCAAGCTTGATGATGTGCTCGACAATGTCCTCCGGCGAGGTCTTGAGCCAGGTCGGGGGCGCGCGGCGGTACGGAAGGGCGGAGGACGCTACATAGCGCCAAATTTCCGAAAGGGAATGCCAGGGTCTGTAAGGACTAATCCTCTGCAGATCTGGACTTGGAGCACGTACAAATGCCCTTGCCGGGAGCGTGCATGCGACCCATGGCTACTCTGCGGCAAGTTAGCACGGGATCGAGTGTTTTGAACGAGGCAGAAATTCCACGTACAAGTTTCTTGAATAGAGAAAACTAAGAAAAGTCTTGAGGATGCGCGGAGGCAGGAGGGGAACAGCGAGAAGTCGCGACGCCAGAATGAGGTGGCTGAACTGTGCAGTCGTTCGCACGGTCACTGTCCTCTCTCCCCCCACCCTTCCCTCGCCAAAAGTCATTGGACGCCGTTGTCGCCGTCATCAAGGCCGACGACTCCTCAAGGTGCGCACGCTGCTCAGTGTACGCGCATCGTGCTGCTCACTTCCGCGATAGACTAGCCCAGCATGAAGTTGAACATCGCCAGTGCGTTTATGCAATGTCCTCGCGCTAATTGAATATGTCATTGATCTCGTCCGCTAGACCCCGCTACGGGCGAAGAGAAGCTCATCGACATCGATGATGAGAAGCGCTAGTTCGTGAACCCGATGATAATACAGTGTCCAGCGTCCCTGACACCGGATTCCAGCCGCATCTTCTACGACAAGAAAATCTCCCAGGAGGTCCCGGCCGACAGCCTTGGCGATGAGTGGAAGGGCTACATCTTGCGCATTACCGGCGGCAACGACAAGCAGGGCTTCCCGATGAAGCAGGGTGTCCTCCTCCCGTACCGTGTTCGCCTCCTCCTTTCGACCGGCGACTCGTGCTACCGCCCCCGCCGCACCGGTGAGCGCAAGCGCAAGTCCGTTCGCGGCTGCATCGTTGGCCCGGACATTGCCGTTCTTTCCCTCGTCATTGTAAAGCAGGGCGAGCAAGAGATCCCCGGCTTGACCGACACTGTCCTCCCTAAGAGGCTCGGCCCCAAGCGGGCGACCAAGATCAGGCGGTTCTTCAACCTTTCCAAGGAGGACGACGTTCGCAAGTACGTCGTGCGCCGTGAGGTCAAGAGCTCGAAGAAGGAGGACGCCAAGCCCTACCTTAAGGCTCCCAAAATCCAGCGCCTCGTCACCCCGGCCCGTCTTCAGCGCCGCCGCCACCTCCGCGCCATCAAGCGCCGCCGCATCGAGCACCAGAAGGAGCAGAAGGCGGAATACGAGTGCGTTTCGGCATCTACGAGTATAATGACAACGCTCATGTTTCGTCCAGCGCCCTTGTCGCCAAACGTCAAGCGGAGAGGAAGCAGGTTGCTGCCGCCCACAAGGCGTCGCACAAGAAGTATGTATCTCTCGCCCACTAGTTAGAATGATGTCAACTGATTCGTGTTGTTCGTAGGGCCACTGCATAAGTTCGCGGTTTCCAATTCCCTACGAAGTCCGGGCATCACACTTCATGCAGACTTACTTAACGTCTATCCTCTCCTGTCCGTACGAACTACTTTCCTTATGCCTGCATGCTTGTATGGCCATTGCACACGATATGATGCCTGGAAGAGTCATGGAGTTCTATATGAGATGCGTGAGGGCAAAACGTTGCTTGATTCGTGTATCACTCTAAGTCTCTTTCTGGAGCTGCGCGACGGAATGTGTTCATTCATAATATGTATACGTTATGCGCAAGTTGCGGTGCGGCTGCATACGGGGAGATGCGGAGATGGTCTCTGAGAGGAAATGGTCACATTGGACACATCAGACCCTCATAACTGCATAACCCGACTTAGCCGGCCGGAACTACTTCGTCAAGCTCGTGCATGGACTTGTCTCAACAGGACACCACTAGAGGACGCTGCTCTTTGAGCTTAGGTTGTTGATATGCTCGCTATCCAAGGCGGCGTTCCTGCCAGAGGCACGCTGCGTATAGCTTGTGGCTCGCCCGTGCCCAAATGCCTCGGAGCGTTCTCGAACAGAAGATACCATGATGAATCGTTCGGGTTTCGTGAGCGTCCCAAGGTTGTAGTAACTGACTGTGAGCTCCGTAAACCTGCCGCTTGTACGTCTCACCAATGACGATTGACCCGTTCACGCAGATACCCCTGCGCAACTGCAGAACCGCATCGCTAACGCGCCTCTTCTTCGTTATGTCGACTCTATGCGCTTGCATGGTCATCGTGCTGCGCGAATCGACCCCCTGGATCTCATGCAACGCGTCGAAGTTGCCGCGCTTGACCCTACGCGCTATGGTCTCACCGATTCATCGCAGAAGTACGACGTCAATGGAATCGTATGGACTCAACCTGTGCAAGCAGGCGACCTGCAGAGCGGAAGTGCTGAAGAGGCAGGTGAACAATGGATGTTGGAGGACATCACTCGACACCTTCGTGCGGTGTACGTCGGACGCATCGCGTATGAGTATATGCACTCACCTTCGAAGACCGAACGGCTCTGGTTTTCGCATATTCTTGAGTCCGAAGACCGCAACTCAGCGTTCGTGTCCGGGGACGTGACGAACAAGCGCAGGAAGAGGATACATGGGCTGCTCGCGAGGAGCGAGACGTTCGACCAGTTTTTGCAAACCAAATTTCCGAACTTGAAACGCTATGGTCTCGAGGGCGGCGAGTCTATGCTGCCTGCCCTCGACACGCTTTTCCAGGTAGCTTCCCAAGGTGATACCCTAATGTCCATCTTCGCCCGACGGCATCCTCACGAGTTCAACGTATATAGCGGGCATTCAACAGATCGTCCTCGCAATGCCTCATCGGGGCAGGTTGAATCTGCTCACAGATCCGGAGCTTTTGCAGTACCCTGCCGTTGCGCTGTTCCACAAGATCAAGGGTGGTAGCGAAATTGCGGAAGAATATGCGGCCAGCGGCGACGTTATCAGTCACCTTGGTATGTGGTAGCAGTTCATGCACATTCTTTTGGCTTTGCTAACCGGAATTGTTTTATCTAGTTGCTTCTCCTACACTACACTACGAGGGCTCCCCCAATCCCATCAAGATCTCGTTGTTGCCTAACCCATCCCACCTCGGCAAGTCTCCCGCATATGCGACTGCGACCACGAGCTAACCTGATCACAGAGGCCGTAAGCCCAGTCGCCCTTGGCAAAGCACGCGCAAAGCAGTACTCCCTCCTCAGGACCTCGCCTCAAGACTGCCAACTAGGCGACCGCGTCATGTGCGTGCAACTACACGGAGACGCAAGTTTCACTGGTCAAGGAGTGGTCATGGAAACGCTCGGTTTGAGTAAGTGGCAAGGTCTCCCATCCCATCGATACCTTGAACAGAAATATTATAGGCAATTTGCCTCATTTTACCAGTGGTGGGAGCGTCCATATAGTGGTCAAGTAAGCACTCATCCATTCTCTCCATTTGCCTTTGCTGATGTCGAGCTTTAGCAACAAGTACATGTCATTTCGGGATTCCAGTTTTTTCTTCACTGAGTTGACACATATAGCATCGGATATACGACGCCAGCTGCCAGTGCACGTTCTTCGCTGTACTGCTCTGATATTGGCAAAATGATCAACGCGCCTGTTCTTCATGTAAACGGAGATTACCCAGAAGGTACATCCACTGAATACGGCTTCCGCACTCAAATTCATGATTCAACCAACCCTAGATGTTGCCCGCGCGGTGGAGACCGCGTTTAAATACCGCAACCACTTCCGGAAAGACATCATCGTCGATCTCATTGTGTACCGAAGATGGTGCTGACCATTTGTTCTGTACTCTCGTGGGGTGGCTGACATTCGGCAGGGGCCATAATGAACTGGATGAACCGGCGTTCACTCAGCCTCGCATGTACCAGAAGATTCGGTCTCGCAAATCTGTCCCGACTCTATACGAGGAGCGCTTGGTAGTGCGTATATCAAAGTCCCGCTCATGCGCGCGCTGCTCTGCTGGTTCTGACGCATGACTATCATCTAGGATCAGCAAATCATCTCTCCCGAAGAAGCAACTCGTGTTCGGTCAGGGTACAAGGCGCAACTAGATAGCCAACTTTCTCAGCTTTCGTTTTTCACGCCGCCGGGCGTGACTTTCGACGGGCAGTGGAAGGGCATGACATGGCCGAAGTCGAAGGACGCGGCTCGCGACCCGGAAACTGGCGTGGACATCGAAACTCTCACCCGTGTAGGACAAGCTAGTGTTACCGTCCCGGCTGGCTTTGTCCGTCGTTTCTTGACTTGCCTAAGCCTCACCTTTCTGACCTGTTCTCGTTTCAGGAAATTCACAGCCGGTTGCGTAGGCACGTCAAGCACAGATTGGAGAGCATCCAAGCTGGGAAGGGGTTGGATTGGGCCACCGCCGAGGTGAGCAATCACTGTGCCACTGTGAAATGAATGTCGTTCATCGAACTGCCAGGCCATGGCATTCGGGTCCCTTATGCTCGAGGGGTGCGATGTGCGCATATCAGGACAGGACGTTGGTCGCGGGACGTTCAGTCACCGGTTGGTTGATGTATTACGACATGAGATCGTGCTCCGTTATTGACTCGAGAGCCGCGCCATCGCTCAGTCATGCCATGTTCGTGGATCAAAACAACGAGAGCGTTGTCGTTCCCCTCAACGCTGAGTTGGGATCAGAAGGGAAGCTCGAACTTGCCAACAGTAGGTTGAAGCCATCGCATCACCCAAATGTCATCTGACCCATGCGCGGCACAGGTTCCCTCAGCGAGATGGCTGTACTTGGGGTACGAACTGCATTCATATGTTATGCGAACTCTCTTTCACGTCTTGAAATGCAATCTCCCCGCAGTTCGAAGTTGGTGTCAGCTGGGAGCGTCCCAGTCTCTTGCCTATATGGGAAGCGCAAGTACGTATCATTCTAGAAATATAGATATTTGCTCGTTGAATAGCCGGTTCTGCGCCTAGTTTGGGGACTTCTTCAACGGAGCCCAGGTTGGTCTATAAGTCGTCGCGACGCGCCATTTGGCTAATTGATTTCCCCACACGATAGGTCATCATCGACACCTTTGTGTCATCTGCAGAGAGTCCGTCGTTCACCCTCATCCCTCGCTCGTGTCTGGGCTCACATCTACAATCGTACAGCGAAATGGGCCAAGCAGAGCGGCCTAGTTATGCTTCTCCCTCACGGGCTGGACGGCGCCGGGCCAGAACACTCGTCCTCTAGGCTCGAGCGCTTCCTTCAAGTTGGTCATTAACAGCTCATATGTAGCCTCGCCCGCTGAACAGCCTCGCGTCTTCCAGCTGACCAACGATCAATATACGTATGAGCTCGGCAAGAGCTCCGGTGATGTGAACATGCATGTTGTCTTCCCGACCACCGTATGCCCCTTTAAAACCTGCGTCTTGCGCATCCATCGTGACTCGCTCCGTCGCACAGCCTGCCCAATACTTCCACCTCCTGAGAAGACAGATTAAACGCAATTTCCGCAAGCCGCTTATTGTCGCCGTACGTCTCTCGGCTACTAAGCTTGCATGGCTCTTATTCACATACATGGCACCGCCGAGAAGGCCCCGAAAGGTCTTCTACGACTCCCAGTGAGTTGCAAGTAAGACCACGGTTCTTAATCATGTTGACGTCTTCTGTAGGCTGCAGCATCCTCGCTTCAAGATCTAGCTCCCGCAACGCGATTCCAAGCTGTGTTGTCGGAGATACATCAGGCACCCGAGGACGTACGCAGAGTGGCACTCCTGAGTGGCAAGCTATACTACGAACTTGTCAAAGAGCGTGAAGCACGGAAGCTGTCCAATGTCGTGGCCCTGATCCGCATCGAGGAGCTCTGTCCGTTCCCCTTTCAAGAGCTGCATAAGACGCTGGAAACCTACAAAAATGTTCGGGACGTTTTCTGGGTTCAGGAGGAACCTAGAAATCAAGGCGCGTTCGCTCATGTCCAGGGTCGCATACAAGAAGTGCTGCACAAGCTCGGAAAAGAGCCGCTGCTATACAAGGGACGGGCCGAGGACGCCGTACCTGCACCGGGTGTAGGCAAGGTTTATGGCGCGCAGCAGAAGGCAATCGCAGATTCCGTGTTCGATGGATTGTAAAGCTACTATGCCGCTGAAAATGACATTGTATTGCGACAACCACTCAATGGCCTGTACGGATTCTCCCGTTCAACACGATATCATCGTCGAGTCGTAAATCAACCTTCCACCTTGATGCACTTCACGATAATGCATACACGATTCGCCATATTTAGTCGGGCGGTGCAAGAAGCTCTATAGCTTTGAAGTTAGTTACACACGCGGCTCAGGGGCGCTCCGGCAGGCTGAGAACATCCGGGCACTGTGGAGACATGACATGATGACCGAGGTATAAGAGCCGACTCAACAGCGGCGTCAGCCTGCACTTCCTGAAAATTCCCCGCGATGCTCGTCCCGTTTATCTCAGACACAGATGCTAGCCGTACCGCCCGGAAACGCAAGCTAGAACGACGGAAGGGGGGCGGCGGTAAAGGCGGCAAGGGAGGGGGATCTTCGACAGGAAAAGGCGGAAGTAGTGGCTCTGGCTCGAGTGGAAGTTCTGGTTCGAGGGGTACCAAGTCATCCGTGCCAATCTCCGGTTCAGTAGCGACGAGGAAATCCGCGACGAGCTACGGTAGCGGAGGAGGAAAGGCTATCACCATCCCATCGGGCCAGTTATTCGCTGGTGCGATCTTTACTCTTTCTTGCCTCTGTATTGAACAATGCTGACATGGTATGCACAGGCCGGACTGCGGGAGGTGGTACTCGCGCACAGACATTTGGCGGCCAGTGAGTTATGTCCTCGATGAAGTCGGCGGCAGAATGTTAACCCCCTGACTGCCAGACGATATGGTTCCGGCTATCCTGGCTTGGGAAACAACGGTGTCGCTGGTCGAGGATTCCCGTTCTTCTTCTGGCCGGTTGTTTGGGGAGGAGCCCTAGGTGCAGGGAATGCGCACTACCTAAACGGACGTGAATACGGAGACGAACGCAACACATCTCGTCCTGGAGGCCCCATGTTCCAGGCAACCTTCGCGTCGAACAGCAGCAACTCTACCTTCCATGTAATCGCGGACAACTCCACCGCGGTATCGCTCTCCGGCTCCATTACCGCCAACTGCTCGTCATTCGTATCGACATCGAATTCATCCACGACGCCGAGTGCATACAACTCGACAGCACCGGGCGCCCCCAACCCAGTGCAAGCGGTGCAGTATTACCGTGCAAGCAGCGTCGTTTTGACGCTTGACGGATATAATGACACGGCTGCTCTTAGCGATGACAATACCACTGCCAACACGCCTTTGCCTAGCTCTGTGGATCACAACCTTTTGGACTGTTTGAACCAAACTATTGGATTGGCAGTACCTCTGATAAATGGTGCGAGCAGCCAGTGGACCCATTCAGCGACTGGGATGGGCTTGATGGGCCTCGTTTGGACGATGTGGTTATTATTTGCGACTGTAGCATGATCGTACTTGATGTTATTGGTCGGTTGTCGGCCCTTCAACGGACATTGTCGATACTTACGATGTTTCTGTAGTTTACTATGCGACACGAGTTGTGATTGCAGATACACTCTGATGTTCTATGAATCATATGAAGTAGCATGTAAATCGTGGGCGGACAGCCAGCGGTTTCCTTCGCTATCATTCATGCCCACATAGCCTTGAACTTCTCGTTGAACTCGGCATGCGCAGCGTTTATCATTTCATAAACCTTCCAATCGAGCTCGGAGACGTCTTTGGGCTTTTGCACCGGCGTCCCAAGGGAGTCCGTTATTTGAGCAACATCCTCCTCGTCGTTGGAGTCCTCGTCGTCTACCTTTGGATCTTTGGATAGCCACGAGGTCTCAATGGCTTCGTCAGTATTCGCTTCAGCGGGGTCCACACCGCCTAGTTCTTCGTTCAACATGTCGTCCATGGCCCCGAGGCCTCCACTGGCCGCGGCCGTGAGGAGCTGACCTAGCGTACCCTTGACAATGGCGAGAGTCATGTTGAAATCCTCCAGGATGTACCAGAGATCGCCTCGACGAATCTTGTTGGCCCGAACCAGGGTTTCGTCTTGTCCATGAACATAGAAATCGTAAATATGGGCGTTGAGCGCGTACTCGTAACCTTCTCTGGGTAGTCGGGTGAAATCGCTCATTGAAGGGATCGCGTCTGCATTCAAGTGCAGCCCGCGGGAAGCCGTGGCCGTCAGCTCGGGAACAGTTCTAAAATCATCGCCGTGTCCCGAGTTGCACACGAAAGGCGAGCGCACGATGGAGCGGATCCTCGTTTCGCGCAAACTGCGGACGAAGGCCGATTTGAGGTCATCTGACACTGCGAATTGCTGCTTGCTGAGGGGCAGGCATTGCTCTTGCGACAACTCCTGCGCGTGCTGTTCCGCATAGGTCATCGCATAGCTCTTGAAGACTCGCAATATCTCTTGATCGTGGTCCACGAGCACCGCCCGAGCGTGCTCCGGAAGTGGCGGCAGCTTCACCACAGATGGATACTTCGTCGTGATTTCCTTGAAGTATTGCTCTGAGGCGAAGGTGCGCGGCAGGTACCGTCTTTGGAAAAGGTGGCAGAGAATGAGAATGATTTCTCGTTTGGCGGCAACGCTAGGCATGTCGTGGCAGATCCTGTGGAAGACTCCGGCACGAAGGAGGACGACGAGGGCAAAGTTTGACGGCTCCGTATGGTAAAGGTGCGCCGCTGCGCTATACAAGTTCATTGGAGTACCATCTTCTTCCAGAAGACCGGACCGCCGCAGGTAGTCAATGCTAAACCGAACATGATGGAGGACTTGTTGGTGTCCAGAATCGGACTTCACTGTGATCTGCGGTAATCGCAGCAGAGCGCGGACCGACTTCACAGCTACCTCTGCGTGACCTGATCCGGTCAAGAGGTTGAGGATGCGGAGGCAGAGGGTGGAAGTGAGCGGGAAGTGTCCGCCGAGAGAAGGCAATTTCGAAAGCACCAGTCGTTGTATCCGATCGAGAGGAATACCGTAGAAGACGACCTTTCCTAGGAGGTCGTATCCTCTGCGACCAGCTCTGCCTGCACATTGGCGATACTACAGATCAATTGTACATCAATTACGGCCAGTCAATATAACGAATTCCTTACCATCAAAGCGGTCAGAAAGGGAGAATCCCCGCAAAATATCGAAGTTCGTGCTGGCGCATTTATTCCGAGTGCAAGGGTTCCTGGGAGAAATCGTTGTGAATTAAGATTTAAAAATCCAATACGGGGAAACAAACCTGTCGCAATCATTATTCGAACGAACCCGAGCCGGAACAGACTATAATGGTGATGTCAGTCACTCATTACAGCACCAAAGAGCCCGTGACAGGATCACCTCTCAACCAGGTTCCGATATCGTTTGTTCATTCCGGCGTGGTGCACCGCGATACCTCGACGTAAAGCTTGCACAGCCCATTCCGGGATATGTGTTCGGCTCCTGACCATATCGTCAAGGTCTTCCTTGAGCTCGTTGAACGAATACGCTCGGTTGTTGCCGGCGAAGCTAAATTGAGGCGATGGGTCGGTGGGGTCAAAGGAGCTTTCCCAAGACACTTGACTTGGTGTTTCGTCCACGCCGGCTTCGGTACGTTGCTTGTTTTTGCTCATACGCCCGACAGTCCGTTGACGCTGCTTCTCTGTTGCGATCCAGACTTCAAACTGCTTCAACTTCTTCTGCCACTCAGGACTAACTCGCCGCCACTGGGATTCAGCCTGTTGCAGGTTTTGCACCAGTACCTGGGCCAAGAGTTCGCAGTCATGACGATCAAAGTTGAATGCAATCGCAGGCTGCGATAAGAGGGTGAGTCGCTCGATAATAGATGAGTTCGAGGGCTACTTACGAGATCTCCGGCGACGTGAAGGTCCGAAACAAGGTAGATAAAATTGTTGAAGAAGGCGAGACGGCTAGGCTGTGCGTGCAAAATCGCAGGAGAAACTGTGCGAAGTCGCGTAAATTCGGGGTCCTCCAGGTCTCTCGCGATTCGCAGGAGAGGTGCATGACTGTCATTGACGTCGAACGATGCCATGAGTTCGGAAAGCGTTTTCTTCAACGCTGCTTCGTATTGCAGCACATCGTTCTGCCGCAACAGTCTTGAAGATGGAAGATATTTGACTGGATCCAGAGAATCTATGTCGACATCAGGAATCGCATCACGGTGGCGTTCAAGTGTCCTGTATAGTGACAGAGTATCCCTAGCCTCCAACGAAAAGTCTGAAGGCAGTGATCTCGCGCCGAATGCAAGCAAGGATGCCGGGTGAAGAAAACTCAGGCGATCGCTAGCGTTGTACTTGGCGAGACCTTGGAATTCCTCTTGCCCTGCAGACGAGGAGATCTGGTAGGCAAACTTGCGGAGGTGAGAGTACCGCGTAGCGTGATGCACGAAGGTATGTTTGAAGCTGTGCGTCCTCTGTACCTGTTCCAGCCACGCGTTGAAGACCTCTGGCTCGCCGATAGTCGCCGATAAACCACTGTGCGAAGAATCTGAGAAACGCAGTCGAATGGACAGGTAGGGGATACCGACATAATGGGGCAAGGAGCCAGCAGCAGAATTTGCTCCCATACGGCTCCGCCCTACAGCAGGAATGTGTCAAACATCCGCATTGTGACGAACAACGCAATGACATACCTCTTGTTGACCAATAGAGTGTATCTCGTCCAAGATGATCCTATCCATTGTCAGAAGTCTTGACTACAGTATTGGCAACGAATCACCTCTGAATCCGAGGGGTCCAGTTTCGGGCCTGAGCCGGCGACAGAAGCATAGTAGCTAGGATCTCAGGAACTGTCACCAATATCTGGCATTTCTGAGGATCGTGGATCCGGTAGTCCCTATAATTTCCGTAGGTAAGTCAAATGCGTTGGCCATATACGAGGACGGATACCTGGTATGCACAGCCCAGCAAGCGCCTACAACAGGGTGAGGAAGCTTCGACGACACGGACATGTACTACTCACGATCACTCAAATCCTTACGGAACCGAGCATAGACGTCGGCTGCCACCTGATTGACCAGCGCTTTGGTAGGGGCAACGAACACGAGGATTCCGTCGTCCGAGTTCCGTAATACTTTCTCCATAGCGTAGTACGAAATGAAGGTCTTGCCGGCACTGGTAGGTGCTGCGCATACAGTACGTGAGCCGTGTGCCTGATGAGAGTAGTATCGACCACTTACCGACTACCAGAAGGGAATGGTTCTCGTCAATGCAGTCCAGCACCTTCCGTTGCCATGCATCTGGTTCGAATGAGACGCGGCGATCCGGTGCGCTGTCCATAGAGCGGTCCATGTACTCTCCGAACAATCGAAGTTGCCACATCACCGGATGTTCTCTGACGCGCATGGACTTATGCACTAGACTCTTCGTTTTGGACTTGATGAGCTTTATGAATGAGAAAGACAAAGACCTGTCAGACGAATGGCAGTCCGCTGCTGTCGTCAGGGCGGGAATATAGTCCTCGAGACCGAGCGAGACCATGACTGAATCAAGGATTGCGATTGCCTTGGGCCATAGTCCGGGATTTCTATAGAGCTCGACGACCATACGGAAAACGGCGACCGAATATGCATCATGAACCTTGCCCTCCTTGGGATCGGGTTGCTGCATCCATTGTGTAATCTCCAGGTGGAGACGATATAGCCGCGTCTCTATGGAGAGCCATCCTTGGCTGGTACGATTGCTGCGACATAGATTGACCATATATTCTTTCTGGGCGTCCACGGAGAGCTTGCTAAGGTCGGCGAGATGTCCCTGCCACCAATTCAGGTTTTCAGCGTCGATTTTCTCCTCTTTTCTCCTCTTGTTTTCTTCTATGATCTTTTCCGCGGCGGTCATCTTCTTCGGCGCACCTTTCTTCCCTTTTGTCTTTGACGAGGCCTGCATATAGATCAGCAAGGCCAAGGAGCGTATTCAGTCCTAACAACGTACCTCCCGCGAAGGGGCTGCTTGGGCCTTGGATGCCTTGGCTGAAGGGATGGCTGTTGGCTGCAGGATTGCACCCTGGGCACCGGTGAGCGTGCTTGCCAGGCGATGCACGTTCTTCATGTCGATCTGAGCAAACTTCATACGACGCTGGTGCAGCCAGGCGGCTACTTTTTGAGGATTCTGGCCGCCTAGCCACTTCGGTAGTATGGTCTTCCGAGTATCGTGCCAGTGCTGTGTGTCCACGAAGGGAACTCCCCGGCCAAAGCTCAGGTAGTGAGGATCTTCCCCGTCGGAGTCGGAGTCATCGGCAACGGAGACGCGGACATCTGCGAGCTCCTCGTCAAGGACAGGGTTCGTAAAAGGTAGCAAAGCGTATTGCAAATCTTCCGGGGGTGTTGGGGATTCGGGCACCAAGGGAACTGAGGCGCAATGCTTCAACAGCGAGGCCACGTTGATTGGGGCCATGCCGCACTCTTCCCATATTTGATTCACCTTTTCTGCCACTTCAACGCCAATAATTTCGGCGAAGGATGAAGGATGAGTTCGGACGAGGAAGTGAAGAAGAGATGCGAAGACCCGTCCATCAAGGTCAACGTCCGAACTTTCGCTCGCGCTGCCCATGATTATGAATATACGCGGAAGGAATTCGTTCAAGATCGGATGTCCAAGGGCGTCAGGAAGGACCGGTAGCCGTTGTGCACGGCCATCCACACCGATCTCTTGAAGAAGAAGGTAATGCGCGACGAAGGCGTACAAGAGCTCGGGGTGGAGGGCCGGCAAAGTTTGGTAAGAAGATCGGTATGCCCCGACTATACCTGCAAGCCAATTCCGGCTGTCGGTGGACCCTCGCGAAACTTTGGCAACATCAGAGAGGTACGTCGTATACTTCGCAGTTAAAGCAGCTCCAGACGCCTTTGCGATGCCCCATAGCGCATCAGGGTATCGGCGCGCAGCAAGCGGGTCGTAATTCGACGTATAGATGAAGGCAAGGATCTGACGCTCGCCGTCAGCACGGAAGAGTTTATAACGTTTGTCCATCGGGCACCGACCTTAGAATCTCGGAACTGAGCACCGGGAAGTAACGATATGGCCACGCCGCCGTTGAGAAGACCGAATATGAATTTGCGCCTAGTCAGAAGGCGCTCGGCTGCCAGGGGTCGCTTATCTTGCTGGAGCAAACCACCGTCGTCGAGCATCACGAACATTGGCTAAGAAACCGCTTAGACCCTGCATTGTGATAGAGTGAAGCAGGTCTACCTTGACTCGTTTGTAGTACGCAAGCCATTCCGGGTCTTCCAGATCATTGAAGGCATACACATCAACGGGTAATTTGTTCAATTGACGCTTCAGCAAAGCACGAGCAAGATATCGAGACGCGAAGACGTATGCCGACGACCCGGTCTGTAACGTGGAATGTTGCAACGCTGAATCGAGGATGATCAGACGTGGGCACCGTGCAGCACACTTGAATGCTTACTTTGCCAGAATACAATATCAAAGACGGCATCTCGCTTCAGGAACTTTTCTACGAGAGTTTCCAACGCATATAGAGCATGCACGAGTTGAAAACTGGGATCTACACACGATTGTCAAACACGACATGAGTGAAACATGTTTTTCAGATTTGACAGTACCATCGGGACGCCCAAGGGCAAGTAAGGGTTGATCAAGCACGAATTGAATCAGGGAATCGCCATCGATGACAAACGGTTCCTTTCCAGCGTAGTCACCTATACCCGCCGCGTTGAGTAGATCCTCCTAGCAACTCGCTCCGAAGAGTACGTACCAATGAGGTCCATCCACCGACCGCCGCGAGTGAGAGGCGAATACCACTTGTCATCCAAGAACTTGAGCGCTTCCTGCGGCGAGCTAGGAAGCGCTCGAGTTGCTTCAGGGGGAAGCGTGGACGGCTCGTCGTTGATGAACTCAGCCAACACCTTGATAGCGTGTTCAGGCATTTCCTATCTCGTTTCAAGACTCAGAACCCAGCAGTGTCTACAGCTCGACCAGTACGTGGTGAGCAAAAGAGGTGCGGAAAGAACGCCGGGGGCAAAAAATTTCTTTCGAACTTCGCCTATCTGAGTTGTCCGCCTCGAGGCCGCTAGAGAAGATGTAATACGGATGCTATGACGCCACTACTGCGAACGGGCGCCCAATTGTTGCAAGGCCGTGTCAATGGTCATAGTTGTCCTCGTATGAGAATCATGTATGCCGAGGTCAAGCTGGAGTCGATAAGAGAGCGATATAAGTTCTGCAATTGAACTTCAGCTCCGGCTTCGGTACATACTCTCGTTACTTATTACATAATGATTGCACTTACCTTTTGCACGTCTGTAAATCTACACAGAAATGCTCAACAACTCTGGTTACCACAACGGTGTGCTTAACGCGGTGATATCACTACAGTGTACATAGATTCATAGATGCCCTCTATCGAATTCTGCTTTAGTACGCCTTCCCGGCTTCCAATGCCTGCGCAGCGGTCTTCCTTCCCTCCACTATATCTTTCACTACCGTCAAGGCATGGGAGAAGTCCGGGAAGAGGATGTGCTTGATGCCCTCGCGGTCGCAGTATGCGTGGAGGTCATTCTCACCATCCTCCTTAGTCTTGACGAATAAGACGTCTGCGTGCTTGGCGGCGGACATGTCCGAAACGCCATCACCGAAGAAGAATAGCAACGGCGGTTCAGGGAGGTCTCGGTACGGAAGAATGGCTTGCGACTTGTCGTGGCCATAAGCACTGGTAACCAGGTATCAGAGCATTCGGCGTGGTTACGAAACGGATTACCTCGTGGGGTGGCGGTATTTGAGCTCCCAGGAGCCATCTGGGTGAATTTCCACGTCGTTCGAGATGATATCAATATCGTTGGCGGCCTCCTCTCCGACAAGCGCGGAAAGTACGGCACGAATGGAGGGGGTCATGCCACTGCACAAGCATGACGTGTCTTGAGCCGAAGTGTTCGAATAGGTCTGAGAGGCGCCCACCTGGAGACAATCACTACGGGGATGTCATGGGCTTTGCACCACGCATAAAACTCCTTGAATCCGGGATCCAGTTTGATGTCTTTGAGGGAATTCAAGTCGTGAATTGGGGCCGCAGGTCGATTACGTACTCTTCACCATGGCCTCCTTGCATTCATCAAACGTATGCCCGTTCTTGGAGACGCTGGTGAGCATCTCGTGGAAGGCCTCTCTGTCCCGCTGTTAGAGACGTGGAGAATCCACCGAAGCATGCCACATACTTGTATGGTACCTTGCCTGAGAGGATATCCAAGTTTCCTTGTCGGCGCTTTTCAGCACCATATCCAAGGTTATCCGTCAAGACTGGTTAGAGGGCGACGTCAGCTATGGGCAGCGATCATGGACACATCAGGACGGCGAGCGTACAGTCATTCGAGTCCCTCGTCGTGATCGTGCCATCCCTAAGTAATCACGGTGTAAGGGACCGATCAGGACTGCATCGGCCATCGTGCACTCGAAGAGAGAGTCGCACCAACCAGTCGGACAGTACGACGAATTTCTTGCCCGTATGAACGGGCGGATAAGGAAGCGTAGACTTTGGAGGTTCGTCTGAGGACATCGGAGTGTGAGTTTAGCTCGTTCTTGGCTGCGATGGTGTTGAATTGGTGTTCAAGCTCTCAAGCTGAAGCTAGATCGCGCCTGCAACGTGAGGCAACAGACGCTGACGTCATCGTGTTTATTTCCCTATTCCCCTTAGCGAGCATGTATGTATCTGATCTGTACGCCAGAAACGGCCCAGAACCAACAGGGACACGTCCTTCAACTCAAAACCCCAAGCATTCGGCCCTCCATACCACCCTTAGTGCGGCCTTTGCGGCAGTTGAGCCGGATGCGTGGGTGGCCTCGACGCTTCTTGCGTTTTATAATAACTGAAGTCCCCTCATTCTGTCCGAACGTCGCAGTTGTGACTCGTAGCGCACGAAGATATCGCCCACCTGACAAACAACCGTTGAGTAGAAGTGCAAGATTCCACCCGATGGCGTTCGATGCTTCCCCGTAGCGGGCCGGTTGGTCCGGCCCGATAAGATGCGGGGCGATGGCGTATAAAACTTGACCTCGAAGCTACAAACATCAGCGCCCATACCCGCGACGAACATCCCGCAACGAACATGACCGTTACTGTCCCAAAGATACAGCTCAACAATGGCGTCGAGATCCCGGCTGTAGGGCTAGGTATGCTTCACATGCCTTGCGTTCAAGCTCTATGTACCGAAATATTCTCAAGGGACCTGGCAGAGCAAGCCCGAGGAGGTGGTGACCGCTGTCTCGTACGCTCTGAAGGAGGCGGGGTACCGTCATATTGATTGCGCCTGGGCGTATGGCAATGAGAAATCGGTCGGCGAAGGCATCCGCCAATCCGGGGTCCCGCGATCGGAGGTCTTCGTAAGTCTCATTTGTACCGACATGGCTCATGCGTAGGTCCTAATCGTCCATCAGATCACTAGCAAAGTGTGGTGCACGTGGCATTCTCGTGTAGAACAATGCTTGGACGAGACTCTCGCCAACCTTGGCACGGATTATCTCGATCGTACGTGGAATTGAGTGCTCAAGATCCTCTCGCGGCTTACGTTGGAATACCCCGCAGTTTATCTCGTACATTGGCCAGTACCTCTGAACCCCAATGGCAACCACCCTGCTTTCCCTACACTTCCTGACGGCAAGCGTGACGTGGATCATTCTTGGAAATTGTCGGATACTTGGAAGCAAATGGAAGAGGTCCTCAAAAAGGGTAGGCAGTATCCCGTTCAGAAGGTATCTGATACGTGCTGACTCCTGTATTCCTCAGGAAAGGTCAAGGCTATTGGCGTATCCAACTTCTCCGAGAAGAAACTGGAGGAAATCCTTCCTACTGCCACCGTTGTCCCGGCAGTGAATCAGCTTGAGCTCCACCTCTACAATCCACAGCACAACCTCCTCAAGTACTTGCGATCGAAGGGAATCGTTCCACAGGCGTACTCCCCGCTCGGCTCTACAAACTCGCCTCTATTCTCTGACGAGACGGTCGTCGAATTGTCAAAGAAATACGACCTCCAACCTTCGGATGTTCTCCTAGGTTACCTACGTAAGCTCCCTTATTTTTGTCGTCCGTCGTCAAAACCGTAACCTCATCTTCTCAGTGGCCAAGGACATCGTGATTCTGCCCAAGTCGATTACACCGTCTCGCGTTGCCTCCAACCTCGTCGGTGCTGTGACTGCCGCCAACAAGTTCTCCAAGGATGACCTGGACAAACTCGACGCCGTGGCAGCCAGCGGCAAACAGAAGCGATTCATCATGCCTCCGTGGCCCATTGATCTCGGGTTCGAGAACTGGGGCTGAAACGTGATCGGGATATACCCCAATGTATTATAATATGAATGCCAGCATTCGTGGTTGCTCGCAATTCACCGGTTTGAACGTGACGTTTCCGATGACACTGGCATGATCGTACAGCAGGGCAGTCGTAGCTTACAAGAGTCCTCCCAGCGCCTCTCGCCTGGATTTTGAGTTCGGATCGAAGTAAGGTCGCTCGCCGATACTCAAAACGCGGTTTCCGACGCGGAGTTCACGACCGTAGTCACGCCTGAGGCATAATTCAGGGCCCGTAAAAATAAGACAAAGCTGGCGACTCACGTAGCGGTGTGAAACGTGCATCTGGAAAGGCATCGGTTTTAGTAAGTTGTCGCTTGTCATATGGCGAGTGAAGAAACTTACCGATTGTCCCAGATAGCAACGTCGTTCTGGGTCCAGCGGAAGCGCACCTGGAGATCATGATTATCCGACACATGGCGGGTCAAGTAATCAAGCAGTGCATCAGATTCATCCTGGTTGAGCTCTACGATCTTCTTAGTAAATCTTTCCGAAGAATAGTACAATTAGTTGCTGCGCGACGAGATAGAATCTAGATGGCATTACACTTTGTTCACGAAGAGCGACTTATATCCCGTGACCGGATGAGTTCGGATTACCGGGCTGATGTGGGTTTTACTCTTGAGCTTCATGTCTTAGTATAAGATACTTACTGCACAGCGGTAAGGCCCTCCCCGGAGTTCTCGATGTGCCCTCGGTTGTCAACAATCTTGATCCCTACCTTATGGAAGAAGGAGCCGTCATGGATTGCGGTCAGTCCCTCGAGGAAGCTGCGCATCTTGGGCGACAGCCGGTCATATGCCTCGTATCCACTGGCCCACTTCAAGGTGGTTGTGAACGATTGAAAGGGACTAAGGAGCGACGCAGACGTACGAGGGTGTCGCCGCCCACTTCGATATGGCAGGCAATTGATCAGAATAGGAACCATCATTTTAGGAAGGCAAACATACCTCGGGGAAGAGTATGCAATTTCAGAATCTGCACATTTCGTCAATCTCAATCATGAGTGGTGATCATGATTTGAGATCACCGCATAGTCCGACGGAATGGGTTCGAAAGTGATGTCAGTATGCCACTGCCTACTCGCACGACCTTCTTGGTAGGAAGCCCTGGCGACAGAACGTTAAAAAGAGTGGCTGGGCTCTCATCTATGACCGACTGCTCACCTTTCAGAGGTGATCACCAACGTATCATCGCCGAGTTCATCGGTAGCTTCATGGACCGGGTGCTTGTGTAAACCGCTTTCCTTGGGCTTCCCGCCGGCTTCTCCCAGCAACCTTGCGAGTTCTTTCTGCTGTGCGAGGGTGATATCCTGATTGGAGAAGAAGACAACGCCGCGATGCGACACGAGCGTGCCTAGATCTTTGACGAGCTCTCGAGAATTCGGCGCTGTGAGGAATGTTGATAGCTGAGTGGATGCGGAAGGGAAGCGAGTGCCGATGTGCGGTGTCTCGTCATACGAGTCAAAGTTGGCCAGTGATCCTAGGGAGTACGACGGTGCGGGGGCCATTGCTACGGGCAATCTGAAGTTGTCTTGGCACGAGAGGTTGCAGTGTTTTATATGCTTTCAACGATGTTGCTTATCGTGAATCGAGCACGCAATCCGGGTTCTTGAATGCGAATCGGAAGGATGAATGAGGACGCTTGAAACTAGACTAGAGCATAACGCCAAGCCGAGAGGCATATGACCGGCGATGAGTGTCTCTTACAGGCAGAAGATTACGGTGCTGGAGCAAGCTGAGGAGCTCGCGCCCGGGAGAATGACTCGCATCCCAAACACGCCAGCTGTTGATTCGCACACACTGCAAGCAAACATTCGATGAGAGAACGCGCGAGGACGAAACGGCTCAAATGTGAAGTAGACAGCAGACAGACATTCAACAGGGCGGGCTCGTGCACTTCGGCAAGGCAGGCCAATTCAGTCCATTATCAAGTTTGATGTACGCCACATGCATGAAAGCAACCGAACGTAATTTACAAGCTACAAGCTTTGGAGTCGCAGCTTGTTTGCGGCCTTGATGAACAACGTCAGGGGAATTGCTGCAGTAATCGTCAGTGGTGGTTGACTCAGTATGTATTGGCGAAGACGAACGTAAAGCGGCGAAGAATATGGCACTCCTATTGCCAGATTGCCAATCAATCGAGGGTCTTCGTCAGTACGTTTATGACTTACCTGAACCACGACTGGGCCTCGGTCTTCTGGTTGATGTAGAAATAGTTGTAGAGGACGCGCAAGGATATACTAGACCCGACAAGTCAAGAATAGTCCATCATCATCATATCTTGCACCCACAAAGCAGCAGAAGATAAGTTGAGAGTTCTGTTTGACAGTCCGGCAAAGTTAGCCGCGAGCTATGAGAGGTATGAGTAAGACAGATTCGCCACAATGCTGAGTTTCGAGCTTACGACGGCCCCGATCCACAGAGGCAACATTTCGTTACCGTTCTACGACGGGTGAATGGCCGATTAGCTGAAGATATCAACCATGTGAAAGCACGAACGAGATGAGCTCCCTCCATTCGTGCAGCGCGAGCTGCAGTTTCTGGCGATACCTTCGGATCGCTAGCTATGACTTGAGTGTTCTGGCGCGGCTTCAGGCTAGGTAGATATATGAACGATAGTCGGCGATGACTTCCAATGTTCTTACTTATTGTACCCGATGGTCTTGTTGATGAGAGCGAACTGCGAGGTATCATGAGCACGCGCCTGATATATGTAAGTCTATCCAGTAGCAGACCTTTGCGTTCATCGGGTAGAACGTAGTGAACCATACCTATGAGTACGCAACGAATGAGTTCCACTTGAACCAACAACGACTGCGAGTCTTGCACTTACTACCGGGATGGAGTAGAACGATAGTGGGGTATCAATCGTGAGCGGCATCGTGGTTGGTGGTCAAACTGCACTTGTCCTTGGCCCACGACATGGGCGAAGGCCGTCTGACAGTTTTGCATCGTCATAGAAAGGATCACCCGGCTCATCCCAACCCGGTGAGATTGGATGAGAAAATCGGATGGGTTTTGACAGTGGAACCACGCATGGCGCCGCGGCGTGACAATCGACGGCAGAAACGAAGCGATCCGCCGTAGGAAATCGCTAATCCACGCTGGTACGAAAGGACCGGAACAGGTTGGAAGTGCAGCCGGTCTTCCACGGGTCACTGTTGTTCAACGGCATTGGGCCCAACGTCGTACACGTATTGGGCTCAGGTAAGAAGTTTCACTAGCTCTGCGATATCCTGGGGTACATTCGTGGACGGGCGGAAATGCCGGTATCGTCGTCGATGGGGCCCGCAGTGAGAGAGTTTGCGTGAGAAAAGCAAGGACGCGCTGACTTGGCTGCATCTCGTGGGTTCTCAACCTTTGGTCATTCCTTGCTCGCTATTCAGGTCGGGCAGAATGACTGACATCAGGTACGCCCTAAAATACATGCTGGTAGTATCTCAGGGACCATAAATCCCTCATATTACTGCAACAAATTACTGGCAGTGGCGACAGTGTTCACGCAACTGTGCGGCGGAACTTCAAGTAACAAGGGTCGCCCAGAGGACGCGCCTGCGACGGACAAAGAGATGAGAAAATCATCGCCTGATGGAAGCTCATGAGCACGCACCTCCGAGATATCATTGCGATCCGGTTGCGGGAACGGATCGGGGAACTTGCCCGCAGCATCGACCAGCTCATACTCGTAACCAGCGAGGAAGAGCGCGACAATCAGCTTCATCTCCAGCTTGGCGACCTTCATGCCTGTGCACGGGTGGCGACCTGCGCTTTCTATCAGCGCACGCCCAGGGTGGGGTCTCAGAGGACCATAACGTACCAACACCCCATCCGATGTACGAGAATGTGCCCTTCTTGTCTTCCTCTCGCCCGGAGGTAAACCGACTTGGATCGAATTTGCTGGGTTCTGTATAAATCTCTGGATTCATGTGCACACTCCCCAACGGGTACGCCATGAAAGCCCCCCGGTCGATCCTCTTGCCTTCAACGTACAGATCCTCCTCCATGTTCCGGCGGAGCGCGGCCCCCGTAAGTGTGAGCCGGATGGTCTCACGGATCACCAAGTCGAGGACTGGCATCTCATCTTCCCATGCACTGACCGGGATGGAGGAGAGCCGCTGGTGTAACTTGTCACCCGAAGATTCGTCGCTGTATTTGGCAAGGAGCTGTTTGACCTCTTCGTTCACCTGCGACTTCCAGGAGGGATTGGCGGCCAGATAGACGAGTACCCAACAGGCTAAGGCAGGGAAGTCAATCGCCGTGTCTCGGCATGCACGTTGATAGTCACACACAATTAACTCGCGTATTGATCACACCAGCGAAAATCACACCCAGCGTGAACTATAGAAAGCGATGAGCATACCGTATGGTGCGATGATCGCTCCACGTGCTTACGCCGATGATGGTAGCGTTGTCGCATCCTTCAGCGATCAGTACGTCGAAAGCATCCGACGAAGGGACAGCCTTCCGGCGCATGTCGATATAATCATTGAACTTCATGTACAAATCGGTCGTAGCTTGCTGTTTCGTCTTCTTTGCACGACTGGGGAACCAAGGCAGGAGCAACGCGGTTGGAGTGGCACTTCTCTCCATGATGTTGTACAATTGACCCAAACGCTTGACCTCCTCCTTGTTCTCGGATAGCTCGCGGCAAGTGGCCATCCGCACGGTCATTTGGAAGACGAGCTGTAAACCAACATAAGCGAACCGAGGAATGATATATGTAGTTGACAACGTGCATTATAGACGTTTTCAAAAGGGTTTATCTTGCCTTCTCTACCCCAGGACACCATGTCGCTGTTGACATCGTCAAATAGAGTGGGAAGCACTGCAACAAGAAGTCACCACGGCCCTGTGCTTATCGCGAGAAGGTGTACTTGCCGTCGGCCAAGCGCTCCTTGCGTAAGAGGGTAGCAAGATGCTTGTTGAACCATGATACGTCGTCGGTACCCTCTCCGGCCTTGTCGATCTCTTCCAAACGAGGGGCCTAGAAGGGCATTTCGTCAGCAACAGAACGAATCGGTATCTGACCGGTGCAGATCAGGCTCACCCCGCCCATCAGAATCCTATATCCCTCGGTGAAGTCAAGACTCTTGTCATTGAAGAAAACCTTGCGGCCTTCCTCTCCTTGCAAAGCGACGACCTGGTGCTAAACGCGGCAGGACCAAAAGGTTGACTATACACTCCATATTAACGCGAGAAGGGTGACGCACATGCAGTACATTGAACTTGAAAATGTTGGATCCTGTCTCGCGGAAGGACGACATGAGGAAGTCATAGCGTTTGCTGAAGAACGTCCACGCGGTGACAAGCGGCAAGCGTCCAACGTGGCGGATCGTCTTTGAGTCTTGGGTGAATGACGGGTAGCAGTACGCAGCCAAGGCGAGCGCCGCGATAGACGCTGAGGCAGTAGTAGTCACACTAGACGATGCCCACCATCGTTCCATTAACTGGACCAAATCCGACGATGAAACGTTCGCCATGACGGGGGATGTCTGCGCACGCAACTCAGCTGCGCGGCTGTCTCTTTATGACCCCGCGAATCGCTTCGACTGTGTCCCATGGTGTCCAAAGTAGCATTTCATTTCCACTTCGCCTTGACACCCGCGCTCTCACGAGTACGGCCACACGTGCCGCGTTTCCTCCCTTGTGGCATGAGGAAGCGGAGCTCGAGCTCTGTATCGTAGGTCAATAATGCTCAGCGTTCTCGGGAGCTGCAAGTTATCTATCGACTTAAGGTAAACGCCATTGTCAAGGCTAGATGTCGAGCGTGAACGACCTGTGTACGCACGCATGCATGTGGTTCTGTGTACGCCGAACTGGCGTTCATATGCGCATGTAGTATAGACCACGCTGAGTATCCTTCTGCGCAGAGTAGAACCCATTCCAAACTGGTGACTGTGAGAGAGGCGTGCGCGCGGGGTAATGAATCTGACCGAGCAATCAACGTTCAACACAAACGGTGACTTACGGCAGGCCATTGCATAAGCGGAGACAATTCGGCAATTTGAAATCGATACAGATGCCATATCGACAAGGAACTCCAAGCTTCAAGCTTCAAGCCTTGAATGACTATCATTTGTAACAGATTACAGATATATATGTATATGCGCAAAGAGGTTCTGGTGGCCTGCGCAACCAGTTGCCTCCGGCTCAATCACCGATCGTGAGTTACGATGCCAAAAGAGATGTGATAGATACAGAAGACCGAGAGATGGAGTTCATTGCATTGTTCATAGGCCAAAGTTTGTGCAGAGATAGAAAATGTTGTCAAGGGTATGGCGGCTTCGGCCGGCCTGACGCCGTCCGCGACCACTCCAAACTTACCGCAGCGAGGCCTTGGACGTCCTCGCGCTCACCGTGGGCATGCCATCGTGAGGGCCTAAGCCTTCGGCGTTGCCCTCGCCGCCCACGGTCAATCCCGAGCTCGCTTGCCGTATGCTGAGCAGAACCTCCTTGCAATACTTGAGCTTGTCCACCAAGCGCTGGTTGAACTTCGCCTTGTCGGGGTTCGAAGAAGGTTGGAGAGATCCCGCCATGATCTCGGCAAGCGATTGACGGGTCAAGTTGTAGTTCTTGTCGATGTGGGTGACGAGCAAGCCTTGGGACGAAAGTATGATCTTCGAATGATCATAGAAGTTGAACTACACGTCGCGTCAGTATGGCGATCTTGATCCCGCAGAATCATGACTAACCTGAAGACTGTCGTGGCTCATCTTAAAGACAATAACGTGTTTCATCCTTAGGTATTTCTGCACAAAGTCCATTCCTTTGGTGCGCTCGACGTCCTCGAACGTGTAGTCATAGTCGCCATAGAGGCGGTCCATAATGTATCGTTCAAAGTGCTTGAGGAGGTAGACCTTGCTCTTCAGTTCTTCAGGGTAAACGGAAACGGTGTAGTTCTTTCGAACGTAAACAGTGCCCTGCCGGCGCGACGAAATATAGTCCAAGTGCCTACGAAGCATAGTTGTCAGGCGTAAGCTCCGACGCGAGCAAGGTTAAGTGCATACACTTTATCGGCGCTCAACACGATGGTCGTGCTGTCATTAAAGTGCACGCCAACCGAACCATCCGTCAACGCGTAGCCCATGCCGTATTTGTTGCAGTAGTCCACCCATGATACGATGAACACCCGCTCGTGGGGTAATGCCGCATCTACCCGAGGATCACGGAAAACACGACCTAATGCTCGCGCCTCGAACGCGGCAGTCAGGGTGGCAGCGGCGGCGTCGAAGCCGTTGGGCTTCGCAGTTGGTAAAGGCGCAGGCGCGGGTACTGATGAGGGAGGTGAGAATCACCGATGACTCCGCTATTGAAGACAATGATCACCTTCAACGCGTTCCTCAGCTTCCCTGACCTTCTCCTTGCCCTTGTCCTTCCGAAGAATACCGACAGGTGGCACATTCTCGGGCTCTTGCCTGTACTCCGGCGAGTCCGCACGGGCCGGTGCCATCTGGGCAACAATGCGTGCCTTCTGGCTCTCGAGTTCTTTCCGCCTCAGCTCTTCGTGATCCTTCTCCCTGCGACCCTTTCCCCTCTCACCCGCATCTCGAGGATCCTCATCTTCCTCTCCGATGCCACCCAACGGCTCCTTGCCGAGCTCCATCTTCAGCGGACTGCCACGGTGATTATCCTTGGCTGCCGCCTGCAGCTTGCGAAACAAAGGTGACTCGCGCGGCTTGTTACCCGTACCAGGCGCGACGACGAGCGGCTGCTTCGCCGAACGCAGCAGCGCGGAAATTGGGCTGCCAGGTTGCACGGCGTGCTGGAACTCCTTCTCTTGCTGTGCGAGACTCGAGGTGACGTTGTTCCTGCCTGAACGTCCAGACGCCATGACAGGCTCCGGAGTGGCTATAGGCGCTGCCTGGTCGTCGTCGAGCAATGCGTTCCTGCGAAGCATCGCCAAATTGGCGGCAGACTGCGAGCGAGTGATCGTGCTGAAGTCCGGAACCGAATCGTGCGCAGTGACAGGCACGCGAGGGGGTACGCAACCTGAGACGAACCATTCGTGAGCGAGGACATCTACCAACGAGGGTCGCTCGGCAGGGTTCGGGGTCAGGATGTCCTTAACGAGCGCTTGCACTTCGTACGAGACAGGCCGTTCCGGCGGGAAGTCGTACTCGTTGTCGCGAATACGCCTGGGACACCATTAGCAACGGAACTAATCACGCCCTGACAAACTCACTTGTAAATAAGCTTGACTTCCTTAGTTTGAAATGGTGGGCGGCCGATCACGAGAGTGTACAGTATAACACCGATACTCCATGTATCGACCTCGAAGCTGTGACCGTTCGCGGTATCAAACAAGACCTCAGGCGCGATATAGTTCGGTGTCCCGCATATGGTCTTCTTCCTCTCCCCGGGGCTCTCGATGAGCGCCGCCAAGCCGAAGTCGCCCACTTTGACGTTCATCTTTGCGTCGAGGAAGAGGTTTCCTAATTTCAAGTCGCGGTGGATGACCTGGGCATCGTGCATATACCGGCATGCGCCGAGAAGCTGGACCATAAATACGCGAGATTCAGGTTCGGTCATTCTTCTCCGCCGGCGAAGAAGGTCCATAAGCGAGCCGTTGGGGCAGAGTTCGAGATTCAGGTAAACGTTGGACTGGTCTTCGAAACAGTCATGGAAAGCGACGATATTCGGGTGATTCAATGAACGGTGGATTTTGATTTCTGCGTAGAGCTGAGACAGACTTCAATGCCAACGCTGTCTCGGTGGCGACATTCCATACCTTGGTTTTAGCTTTCTTGGTTTTGAGAGAACTGTTCGTTACAACTTTACATGCTGAACGTTGACCGCGGGCATCCTTCACTTCATATACCCGGGCAAACCCCCCCTGGAGAATGTTCAGGCACGACCGGTATTTTACCAGACTCAGCAGCTTACCTCGCCCAGAAGACCCACTCGGACGTAGTCAATACCTCTATCGAGGTCCCTAATGACCTTCGGCGGCGACGGGGGTGTGGTTTTCGTATTCTGCCTGGGTAAAGGGGGAGAGCTAGGCGCCTTTTGCTTCGCAGGATCCTGTCTGGGTTCTCGTCCGCCTATGTCAACTTGATGAGCGTAGTTGTCCTTGGGAAGCGCTGGCGGGGGCATGGCTCTGCCGTGGTTGATCTCCGCGAATGGGTGTCGGCGATGGCTTGACGGGACGTTGGCGGGTACTTGGCCTGGCATAGCGAGAATCGGAGCGTTGCGGGAGTACATTGCCCCAGAAATCTTGCTTTGAACTCGGATATGTCTTGAGGAAGTCGAAGGCCTAACGCCTATGACTTTGGAGCCAGTGCTGGAGGGATAGAACGCCTCGTGTTCGGGAGACGCGCTTTCAACCACTAGACCACGTGATCGCTCATGCTGTACTCTACAGCCCCGCAAGCTCCCGAGGACCACGGTCAATGGCTGTATAGTACACTCGGCAGAGACCATGGGGTGTCGTGCTTTGTTATCCTGATGACACTCGATTTTCAGTCTTGATCTTTGCACGAAGTCCAGCGCGTAACCCATAATATCCAATACACCTCGACAGCAGACTGTGAGTACATACCACCGACGCTACTTAAGCGCGAAATATCACGCGAAGATGGATCAGCAGCAACCGTGCGAAGATGGGATCAGCAACCGTTTGCCGTACGCGTGATAGAGGCGGGAACTGATTTTGAGAATGGTGCCGCTATAATACCGTAGTAACCTAGGTGTTTCCTCAGCTGTACCCTGCCCTCGACCGCCATGCCTTATACCCTTGCAACCACCGGTCTCTCGCTTTATTCCATCCCTGCGGCATACTTCGCTGCATTATACCCCCATATTTTGAAGGTACGCACGGTCGCCCTACCTCGCGTGCCGCCGGTATTAACCATAGCTCAGAACATACTCATCCAAAAAACGATTGGTTTGAACAAGTGTGAAAACCGCTATGCTCTCAGTCTTTTGTCACTGATCGATGTTTAGTGTACACCCTCGCTCTCAACTTAAGCGCCTTGAGGAGAAGAACCCGACAGTCTTCGCCCGCGCAGACCGTATGTACAGCGCCCACGTCAACGGCAACGAAATATTCCCGCTTTGGGCTGCCGCTGTGGTGCGTTATCTTAAGGACGCCCCCCATTCTGTTTGGCGGCTGATATCATCGCATTGCTTAGTTGGCCGGCAACTACGCCGGCCTCAGTCCTGAGACCCTTAACACATTCGCGCTGGCGTTGTAAGCTCGTCCGCATTCGCGATGCTCCCTCCTTGACGCTTTTGGCTACAGCATCGGCTCCCGAGTGCTTTACAACACGATTTACATTAGCGACTCCTTGAACAGGATAGCAGGTGGTCGCCTGCGCTCGCTCGTTTGGATGATTAGCGTCGGTACGTTTGCATGTGTCGACCGTATCCTGAGATTGCATTGCTGACATGTTGGGGTTTTAGTGACGCCTCTCACACTCCTTTTCAAGGCCGCGAACAAGCTATCCGCCTGATGTGCATTACGTCAGTGGCAGGGACCTACTTAGTCCGTTTCCTTGCGTTGTATGAAAACATCAGCTTTCAAACGTGTGATTCCGGACGGGCCACAGCACCAAGTACATGCTTTATCATCAGGTCCTGACGGATCGAATCAACTCCTAGCCACTTTGCGGAGACGGCAAGCCTCAAAGAGAACCGGCGGCGGATATGCTTCATTCTTTTGATCTTATTATATTTGCCCACGTGACCTGAGGGAGACGCGTTCAACTGGGGTCGCGCGGTCGCGGGTGGTTTGTTGCATATCGAAGAGCATCTATATACCTACAACCTGATCCCATCTCCATACCCACTGTAATCAACTGGTAGAAATTGAACATGATGGCATATCCCCCTCCACCACGAACACCTCTCCGACGGGTATCACACGGCTCGCTACTTGCTCTTTCTCGTTCTGGGCATGATCCTGATGCGCCTGACGGACTCGGATATCTGGAACCGGCAATATCAGAACTCGCAGACGAAGCGGAGACTCTCCAAACCAACGTAGGACAACTGCAACGACTCAGTGACTCGCTAGCGACCTTCAACGAGAGCTTTGCGAGCTGGCTTTACGTGCTGAATATGAACGCACTCACGATGGACTGGCCTCAGGTGTGTTTAACTTGAGACTGGCTCCACCGGAACTAGATGAAAACTCAGCGCTACTTAGGCGCCTATCGACGACATCTCATATGAACTTCAGAGGATAAGAGCAGGTATGTGTTGGTGTTCGCTGGTTCTCGTCGGCAATCTTGACGCGTTAAACAGAAAAGGCGGCGCAACTTAAAAACGAAGCTCGATTGAAGGCCGCTGCGCGCAAACCTTCTCCTGCGATTCCACAGTCAGAAGATCCACCGGCCCTTGAGGACGAAACCACTATGGCTCACGATACGACTACTATTTCTGTCGGACCTAGTAATAAGTCTATCCCGTCCACCGGCGCTGGCAAGAAGGTCTCAAAGGGCAAGTCTAAGTTGACCGCGAAGGAAAAAAAGGAGCGCCTGGTACGATGCATCCGCGCTTTTGCAGTTAGCTGCTCAGTCATGTTGCGTAGATATTGGTGGAGAAGATTGTCGGGCATCTCCCATTGTCATTCCGTGGAAGCGACCCTGTGAGTAGTGGCATAATTCCAGCTTCATTGGGTTTCCCTTACGGTCCGTGCAGGGATTGCGACGGCATGTTGAGATGGTCATCGATCGCTTCTTAGACAAACCAGATCGTGGTATTCGGCGTACGTCCATATCACATTCCCGGCATTACTCCGTCTCAGAAGTCGTACTCTTTAGTTATTGATTGTGTCGTACCACCTGATCTCAACGAAGCCAGAGCTCGGAAGTGTCTTCTAGCGCTCGCGGCCTCCAAACTCATTCAATCGGATAATAGTACGGTTAGTTGATCATGGTCTCTTATGGCTCATATCGCTTACAAGGCAGCCTAGGGCACTGTTTTATACCATTGGCAAGGCATTCCGCAAAAATAACGCGCGTTGTCGTCCATATGGCACAATGAACCCAGCTGCATGCCGTTATTTTCGGCCGAGACCGAAACTGTAGAGAAGACAATTCCCGCGTGTCAGGTCATTGTGATTGAAATGACCACCGCCATTCCCTTAGTCAAGGATAGAGGCTCACCGAAGGCAGCATTCTCGCAGCGATCCTGCCGATGCGTTCACTGGATCCATGCCATGCTGTGTAGCTGACACGTTGATCATCGTACGTTGCAGATTCACTATGAGCGACAGTATCTCTGGTTAAACCCCGCTTCCGTTCATCCCGCTGCGTAGCTACGACTCAGCACCGTGAGGAATGTTCCTTTCGTTTCGCAAGCCGCCGGAAACAGAAGGAGCGGTTTCTACCGCTTTGTTTCAGCTTCTCGCGAGGTTCGGCGTTATCGATGAGCTCCGGCACCTGGACGTCCATAAACGATCTTCACGTTCGCACCGGTGTTCCAGTCACACCATGGTCCGCTTCCATACAGTGGTTTGTCTGGCTGTGCGGTAGTGACTGAATAGTCGACGGCCCCGGCGTTACCTGGACCTGCATTTGAGCCGGCGAACACTGTTTCATGGAATCGTCACAAGATCTTTACGTGCAACGGATCTGCATTGTTGGTCTACTTCAACAAGCACCCCTCGAGGGTCCATCGCGATAGCGATCTGACCTGTTCATTGCTCCTATTTCCCGATAGGGGCTGAAGCAAATGGCATTTGCCCCCGGCTAGTCGGACAAAAATATCGAGAGCTGATCAAGGTACAGGCTGATGACACCGCTCCCCTTCTTTCCGTCAAATCTGGTATGACTTGCAGAAGCGCGCCAAGGACACCTCTCAACCGAGCTGTCCTTCAGGGGGTTGTCGCTTCGGTCAGAGGTATGCAACGAGAAACACTCGCCTTGTGGTAGTATGTGACATGTTCTAGGCCTAGTTGTTGATCTCCACCGAAAGAGAGAGCACAGATTTCGTCGCTCGTTCTTTTCGTGCATGCCTTGGCACAGTACACCGTTTGGAATACGGGTAGATCGACATATAATATCGGCGGATCGACTCTTTGACATTGCTTCGTCTGTGGTTTAGAAGTTCATAAATTCTGCGCTTTTCATCGTATACGATTCATAACACTGTCATGGGAAGGATGCAGCAGATGATACTTACGATGGATGAATAGTCCTCGCATCGCTCAACCATGTGTTCTCGTCAAAGACAAAGCTGAAAATCATCCGGCATTGACCCCTACGCTGGTGGTATTATTGCCATGTCCATGGGGATTGGAGGGGTGTGATTGGCAAAGTCCTTGTGATTAGTAACATGAGCTGACGGGTTCCTAACAGCAGGGCACAGTCAATCGAATCGGTGTTATCGTGATATTCAAGCACCCGTGTCTTCATTCCTCGTACCGCCAGTCATTCACAGCCGATTCCCGGGTCATCCAGTAAGATAATCGGAATGGGAAGACGTAGCATTGAATTATCAGACATGGACTGTGATAGTTGATACAACATAATAGACTTTGGCTTTGGCTTTGCATTTGTGGTTGACCATGTCCGACAACAAATGAAAACACAGGAGGGACTGCCTCATCAATGAGTGAACGATGAAGCAAGATCACAACGTTGGCCCCATGATGTGTTCGGGCGCATTGGTGATGTCCATTATATTGTCATGTCCCGGCGAGGGTACATATACGGCCCGAGTAGCGTGATTGTGACGTGTGACTGTGACCAGGATGATGTTCGCTGGCGCGCTCCCGATCACAAACTCCGCCCCCTTCACTCCCAGCGCTCAGCGCCCATCGCGCCGTCTCAATGCTAGCGAACGAACCGTTTGAAAACAGAATTGATTGGCAATGGAGCCGCGAATTTGCCGATGGCATGGAGAAGATCGAAAAAACGAGGGTTCTAGATCAGCCTCTCGTTTGTATGGACAGTGTTCGACGAAGATCTTCGGGAGATCCGCTCATTCATCTGGCTGGACGCAGATCCCAATCTCGACATCGGGTGGGTGGGTAGGTTGATTATCGGGTCTCATAACGCCTTGGATCCTACCACGGATCTGAACGTCCGAGAATGCTTCCCGCATTTTACTACCAGCGCCAACTGCGGGCCATTCACAATGTCCTCCGCGCTCTGACTGATCATGCATCAGGCTGGGAGTTTTGCGACGGTCGGGCTCATGTTCCGACTGTGGTCAATCATAGCCACCATCCCATCCCTCCGTAGGGACATGATGTTCTGATCGGGAAAGAGGGGGAACGGCTGGGCGCCCAAACAAGCACGTTGCCTACCCTCAAGGTTTAACAGTAGGATGGGAAATCATGAATGGTTCAATGATGCTCATAGTATGTTTTTCTTTTGGTTTTCATGTCTGGAAGCAGAGGCGTAGGACGTTCTCTTCTCTGATTACTAGAGACAGCGTTTCATATGGAATTCGGAATCAAGGTGAACAACTCACGATCACCCGAGGCGTTTTCGATTTTGATTAAGACGCTGCGCCCGGTCATTCCCGAATATCGGTCGTCCATCTACCGCAAACCACGCTGGTTAGCAATCCCAACAACTGGTGATCAAGAGCTGCGAATATGCCTGTCATGTTCCGGTGATAGTACCCGAATGGACTGTTGCAAGAATAGTTTGATGACCGCTTACCCGTGCGGTGCGGTTTGACCCCGGTCCTGCAGGCTAGAGTGCTGGCTACGCCGTCGTGAGTGGCCCTTTTCGGTATGTTCAGCTTGCTTTTTGAGCGGCACACGCAGTTTCGGCATGTCCTGGTAGCTGATCGTCTTTTTCGGCAGGTCAGGTATACCTCCCTGGCGCTAAAGTAGGAGAAGCAGGTGGCGCTTCGTTTCAGGGAGCGCATGGCCCGGAAGGTGGACGTCACCTGCATTGCTTTCCCCACACTTCAGGCTGTAGAAGAAGCCCCGCCTTGATTCCTTATATTCTAGTATTCTAACCGCCTTGGTTGCTTTCTCCGCATCAATTGGAGACCACACCCTCCTCCCTTCTCCTTCGGCTGGTTTCATGTAAGGTGCACAGTCTCGTCAGAAACGGGCTCTTCATGTGGTCTCTGGATTTTGGTGATAATGACTGCACGAGGCATGAGACCGTCGCGTCGCGTGGATTCCCGCAGACGGCAGATTCTCATGGCTCGTCCTCGCACGACAACCATTGTAGTAAGCGGTACAAGGAGGTCCGAAATCTGAATCTCACATTATCTCTAGCAGCCGACCTTCCGTGGCACGCTCCTGCAGGTCCATGCCGAGAGCCATTCGCAAATGAGATTGGTCTCAATAGCCTTGCAGGTTTGCCCGACCTACCAAATCCCCGTGCAGCGCGGCTCGAAGCTCAGTCACCCCCCAAAATACCATCAATCTCCGTGCGCTCCCCAGATGGTACTCGGCCTCCCTCTCTATCCCCTGCACTTGCCCAAGGACTTAACGGCATGGACGCTGGGCAATCAACCCCCTACATGCACATATCGCGCGGTGCCAGCACTTCAGCCTACATCGAGGATTCACACGCACCGTATCACCCATTTCTGCCTGCAAATTTGCCGGAGCCATATCTCCCGCACCGACACCGGGAAGGTGAAATCGATCTCATACAAGCCCCGCCCGGTGGTTGGGTTGGACCGACGTTTCGTCAATATTCCCCAACGAAGTCGGGCACGGATTCTACTCCAAACGAGCTGATCAAGTATCCCCTGTCCCATAGTCGTGAAGTTCCTCATGACTCCATCTTCAACCGAATACGTGCCCGCAGAGATCGTGGAGTAGATGCAGCAGACAGCGCGTTCTGGATATCCCCAACCAAGCGTTACCGAAAGGCAGGCCCATGCGCTGGGCAGTCCTCCCCTTCCGCAGCGAATGCACTGCTTCCACATACGTCTCGTTACTCCGTACATCTTGACGATGGCTACGCTTACGAAACTACCGACCAGTCTGCAGTTCTGGACCCTGGAGAATATTGTACTTCCGAAGTTGATGGAGGTTTAGGGCGCGTGGCAGGGGAGAAGGTCGAATGTCAAGGAAGTGAAGTCAACTATACTGTGAGTTTTCACATTTCGAATTGAAGCACAATTCTGACTGTAGACATAGGAAGTTGGTGACAGACATCATGTGGTTACCCGCGGGGCTGATGCCTGCGCTGAGCCCCCTGAGGATCAAGCTGCATCGTCTGGCAACGCTTACTCCGATCCGAGTCCTGAGCAGGTGTATAGATTGCACGTAGGCGCCAGGAATTCCCATAGGTGGTCAAGTACCGTCAATGGGGGGAGCCAATGTGCGTCATCCTTTTGCTTGCCTAGTTCTCATTTTTTCCTGATCCAGCTCGAAATAGATGCACCCGGCCATGAACCCATCTCCCCCCCTCACGCATTTCTATCGATGCTAGGCGTTTCATCGAACGGGGCCGGTTCTTCTCCGACTGCAGTCATCCCGCCTTCCAACCCCGCCCCTTTCCCGGCACAACCAACAATAATCACTGATTACGGAACGTATCCATCGATAGGCGCCGTGGTCGAACCGCTCGACACTGGTTGCGATGCATTATCTCTTGAATCTCGACTTCCTTCCGGAGGCTCTTGCGTAGCCTCTCCGTTCTCATCGACATACGCTCCCAACGGCGTCAACCAAGGCACACAGGGGACTTCACCTTCGGAAACTCGGAACTCACGTCTAAACGGAGGACCGGTCCCGTACCGAAGACAGAAGCCCGAACATGGCAGTAATGTGGGAACCGTTTCGTCAGGCAAGGTTCAAGACAAGAAAGGAAATACGGTTGTCGAGAGCGGTATGCATACGCAGAAGGAGTTTTGTTAGCTCACCTCACTGACGTGATGAACGGTAGTAGAAGATGGCAGATGTCCCCAGTGCTCGCGGACGTTCGGACGCCGTGCCGATTTGCGACGCCATCTGAGGCTACATAATTCGGAACCTGAAAAGTTCCGCTGCAATTCCTGCTCGAGGATCTTCTCTCGCAAGGACACTCTGGACAGCCATTACCGGAAACTACACGGAGCTGCGCCCGACGTCGACTCCCCGGAAGTCTCTCTTACTTTACCCGCCACATGATTCATCAACGTTGTGCCCGCCAGTGCGGTTAACGCTACCCACTGGTAAGGGTATATTTATGAATTTTCTCTTCATACCACCTGCACCGGTGCTGAAGCGGCGTGTCGGCTGTATAACAGCTCACGGGGGCCGTGGATGCACTATGTGCGCCAAGCCGTGCGTATTGACGTGCGGTGCGGCAACCGGTTGTTCCGCTATTGGGACCGCGCCGGAAATATACCTACCTACCTACCACCCTTGTCGCTGGCTATCACATATAAGTAGCTTAGGCGATTTTTGATCATTTGTACTTATGAACGATCCACTTCATTTCGGATGTTTCGGATGTTTCGGATGTTTGAGGATGGATTGTCGGGGTAAATAATTAGACAGAAAAGCTGTGGTCACTTATCGGACCGATAACTCCCTGCTTCGATTGCAGCTTTCGCGTTCCGGGGGGGGCTTCCTCGCATTCCTGCGTTAGGCATGGACTCCCGCTTGACCTCGTCTATCCCCTCCGCACATATCTTCGCTGACAACTCTCCTCAAGACACCCTCGGACTCTTAGCATTGACTAACGTCGAGCACGCGTTCCCTGGCTGCAATTCGGTCTCCGACCCCATCGTGCCTGCTTTACAGTTGAATGCCATGGATATCCTGAGTTCTTTCATGTCGATGCAAGGGATAGAGGGCCAGGATAATCAGCAGCAGCCCTCCGAAGTTCAACAAGGACAAGGGCAGGGGCAATCACAGCAGTTTAATGCTCAAACACCTCAGGCATTGCTCGAACAGCAGCTGAAGCTCACTCGACTGCAGCAGCTTCAACAGTTGCAAAACCAGATTTTCCAGCAACAGGTAAGGCTTCAGGCTCTTCCATATGGATACCCGTTAGCATACTTAGCGTCGCATAGATCGAGCTCATTAGCAATGGCGGCCTAGCGAACCCTCTTATTCTACTTAACCAGCAAGGCAACAATTTGTCTGGCGGATTCCCCAATCCGTCCCACACGGTTGTTAATGGAGATGTCGGACCTTCGCAGCGGGAAAACCCGTTCCATGGACTTCCTACTCCAGGTGCGCTCCTATTCTCTGTCGCGACGGGCTAAGTTCTAAATGCGCGCTTGGCCAATCACAGTATCCTCCACTGAATTACGGGCTCAAAATCCTGGAGAGTTCGTCTCCCCCCTTATGTTGCAGTACACAGATCCAAATTTACCTCTTCCTGGTCTTCCGCGCTCCTCGAGTCATGGGCAACATCAAGGCCAGATGCACGACTTCCTCGGCGGCACCAACCCAGCGAATCCGCGCCATCAAGAATTGTTGCCCCCCATCTTCGGTTCCGGATCTAACCAGCACCATGTCCAACCCTTAACGCCCGATACCTTCGCCTCGCAAACACACCAAAATGCCTTCAGCGGTGGAAGCCATCATAACTTGCGCCAAAACATGTCCCACTCCGCGCCTGCCGACATCGTCTTTCGTACAACACCTCCTGTTCCTGCAGAGATGGAGTACGAGATTGACAATGTTTCTCCGCTTACTTCACCGTGGTTTGGCGCGACACTGTCTTCGGGGTCGGGAACAGTGCAAGCTGGAGGAAGTGCCACCTCAAAAACTACGATGAAGCGCGGTCCTTCGCCCACTGGCGGGCAGCAGGTCCGTAAGCGTCCTGCGACGCTGAAGAAGGCCGGCGCTGGCCGTGCAGCTTCGAGCAAATCGGCGGGATCGACGCCACTTTTGCGTTCGCGATCGAGGAAGGGGAGCCTGAGTGTATCTGCTGCCTTCAACATTGGTAGTGGACATGACGCTCCGCAGGATACACCATCTCCCGTCGATTTGTCGATGCCGCCTCCTGCTGCTCCCAACCAGTCCAACAGTAGCAACAGTTCCGGGAACGGAGACGGGCTCGCGCAGAGCGCGCTTGACAAACCGGTCCTTCCAATCACTCCGTCGACGATGTTGAACATTGGTCGAACATCTAACAGTTTCGATGACATATCGGCGCTGCCGAGTGGAAGCCAACCCGGTCATGCTCCAATAGGGGGGACTAGCAGGAAAAGGAGGGGTACTTCGGGCGCCAAATCCGTTACACATAGTCCTGTCTTTCCAGGCCCCGGTCATGAAAGACAGATACTACCAGGCCAGTATCCAGGACATAACTTCACATTCATCGCCTGACCTTCTACTCTTGCAGCCGGCGTTCCCCAGCCACCTTCGCCCGTGCTGCCGCTCATGCCGAAAGGCAAGGGTTCGCACAAGTTGGCGGAACAGAAGCGGAGAGACTCGCTCAAAACATCCTTTGACGATCTACGCGTGCTTCTTCCCCCGATTCCGATGCCCTCCGAGGATGGGTTCGCACCCACCGGTGAACCCATTCTTCCTGGCGCTCTCCCACCCCGAGGTCCGCCTAAGGGTGGCGGGGAAGGCCCCAACCGCGGCGTGAGCAAGTTGCAGTTGCTTAGGTGCGGCAACGAGTACATCAAGACCCTCAAGGGGCGTGTTGACCGTCGCGATGAGGAGATCGAAAGGCTCAGGAAGGAGGTCAGGAAGCTGCGGTTGAAAGCCGCAGGATCCGGCGAAGCTCCCATCGCGGAAGAGGATGAAGAGGAGGTTGTGGATCTTGAGAAGGATGTTGACGCTGTCGAAAAATTAGGCGGCCTTGGAGTATTCGGGAACGCAATGTCCGTGGGCGCCGAAGACGGCGAAGACGACGGTGCGGAGTAGTAATTGATGGAACCGGTTTGGGGCCTTCCTTTCGTATCATCTCTAGGGTTCATATACATACTTATTGGGGGTGCATGTAGGACTTGTATAGACATCCTGTGTAACTCACTATATACTACTATCTAGAAGGACGCTCAAATCATACAACGCAGTAGATAGAATAGGATCCTGATGTGTCATGCGTCACCCGTCACCGTTTCGATGAAACGACGAATGTCGACCATCCACCTGTTCGTGGCATACGGTACGCATCGCAGGAACGTCTGCCAAGAGGCAACAATTGCAGACTGATGGCGGATCCATGTGGCTCCTTCCGTGTTGGTACCTGAGGCCTGAGGTCGCAGAGCATCACTGAGGTTGTGTTGCGTCTTCTCGCATCTCACAACACGATTCCACTCTCTTCTCGTCGACCAAGCTCGTCAAGTTCGTTCGGAGTCGTTCGGTGGCCATGTCGCAGCCCGTCGCTATGCAGAGTCCTTTGTGAGTAGGTTCTCCTCGTGGTATAACTAGGACTGACCGGAATTGATATCCAGGACAGTCGTCTTTCTCTTGCACATCGCTCTTGAAATACCAGTGGCCATCCAAGGAATATGGTCTCCTCAGAGCCTTCCCTTCCTTGAGCTCAACAATACTACGTTGGTAGTCTTGAAGGTATGACCCTTTCTTCCCTTCACGTTCACTCCATCCTTGCGACGTGGCATCATGCACTCGTTTGCCGGCTCACTGGACTAACATTACTCCTCATATAGCTCTACTCGGCGTTACTACTAGGAACCTGTGTTGCTTCCTTGCTCTGCTTCAGCTTGCCTGGTGTGTCATAGAGCGACTCGGGATGAGTGACCCACTCATCATTCTTTGATGATAGAGTTTCTACCCGGAAAGCGCGCATTTGCCATCGCCCTCTGCATGTATCATTCGATCTGCTCCACCATACTCTTCCAGTCTCCTCGCTTCATCCCGAAGTCGATGGGCGCCTTAGCCGAAACGTACGTGCTGTGACGCTCTGCCCGATGCCTACTCGTTCCTTACACGTCCTCGACAGATGGAAATTCACACCGGAGGTCCTGTGGGGTACTCTGCACGGTCTTCTGGGTCTATTCTTCATGGCGTGGTGGCAGGGAACGGTTGGTTCCGTCACCGCCGCAAAGAGGCTCCAACAGTGATAGGCAAAAGCCTCCAAGCCCTTATATTTCTAGATGTTTTCCTGTAATCTTCAATTTCTGCCAACGGCCGCGCGCTCAACGCATCCCCTTGTGTCATTTCCTGTCTCTCGGAGGCGACTACCCGCCGGAAATTATCCCTACAGTGCAATGACCGACGCGTTCACCCAATTATTTGACCCGCTCAAGACGCCTGCCCCCACTATCATGAGCTCCGTCGAGTTCGGCATCACCCTCAAATGTCTCGTGTACGACCTGGACGCAGGCGTCGATGTCTTGATCCAATGACTTCCATTCGCAGCCAAACCGGTGTTGAGGAATATCTCGGTGTTGCTGTTAGCGCTGACGGCGATGGTACCGTTCGGGCCACCGACTGGGCTCCAAACGACATACGGCGACGAAGTGGGCACAGTGCCATCCGTGGCGCGCACAACCTGGCCCGGGGCGGAATTGAACGCGAACGGATCGGCCGAAAGGCGGTAGTAAACAGCGAAACTGGCTTCGGGTGCACCGAAGAACTCGTACGTGAGGATGAACTGCTTGTTGGGCAGCTTTGCGATGGTGGTCATGCCCGGGCGGAAGTCGAACGTGTCGTAGGCGACATCGTCGACGGGATCTTCCCAGTGAATCAAGTCACGAGATACTTGGTGCCTGCGAGATCTGTTAGCAAGGCCCAGACGGACCGCATCATTCACGTACACGAGTTTCTGACCATGGGCCGGATCGCGTTGGTCGGAGTAGTAGACTACTAGCTTGTTGTTCCACACCAACAGAAAAGGCTCCCAAACGGGTGTTTCACCGTTGTTGGGGATCGCCCGCCCACCGCTAGCAATCGAACTCTAGAGAAAGATAGCACGCATGAGTTACGGAGCGTGAATCTACATGAGGGAAAGGTAGTACTTACGACGAACTTCCACGTCAGACCTTTGTCTGTGCTCGCATAGAGATCAATCTTCGTGAGACTCAAGTCTTCAGGGATCGAATTCCCGGCCAACAAAATGGTGCCAGCCTTGAACGAGCCGATGTTCTGGGGAAGTTCGTACAAGAATGGTTGATATCGCAGGCCCCAGCCGTTGACTTGATCCGTGGCGTTCGAAATGTGCGTCCATGTACGTCCAAGGTCTGTGCTTCGGAAGATGGGGAAATAAGGAGGCTCGGGCGAGTAGTTCTCCCATGTTGCTAGGATCACATTGGAGGTCTTGTGGTTCTGATTGAGTAGGACAGTGCGAGCATACAGCGTACGAGGGATGGTGTATGTCGAGGGAGGCTTGAATATGTCCGCGTTGGTAAAGGTTTCACTGACTCTGGGTTTCGGCGCGATCGCGCATTGACCCAGTGTGAACAATGAGAGTAGTCCAAGGAGACTGAGAGAAGTCAACATAGTGCTTGAAGCTTTAATCCTCGACAGATCTCGGCGACGCTAGTTACGAGATCTACGACGATGCCCCTTCATGGCTTTTATTTCGAGAATTGTTCTGAGATGTATGGCTTTTGGAGCACGCGGGAGACCCATCCATCTGGCGAATGACCGGCGCGACACCAGAAGGACCTGACCGGCCCGCGCAAGCCCACCTGGACATAGTCACCTGCTCCGCTGGCACTCGAACGGAAGCACCTTTCACGCGGAGAGATGCCTGAGATACATCACGCGAATAAGAGCGAGTCTGAGGGATACTGTGCGTATATGAGTCAACGACACCTCTGCACTTAAGTAGTCAGGTGGTGACCTCCGGCCCGTAAATTGCGACGGAGCGTAAAGGTAGGATTTTAGCGTTGGCTATGCATAGACAGTGGTCGAGGCCTCCCAGAAAGATCAGGAATAGATCAGTGCGTGTCCTTCAAGCTCTGGTCAATGTTGGTTAGCAAAGTGGACGGAAAGAGTGCGAATCCGGAGAGCAGGGCCTACAAGGACGGCCAGTGGCCACGTGCCATCTACTGACCGTTTTTAGTTTTCGACAACAACCATCATGCGGCAAGAATAGCTCGTCTCGCTCAAATCCTTCCATCGACTATGTGACTTTCCGGAACTCGAGCATGCTCAAGCGCTCAAGCGCTCGTGAATCAAGTCCGCGGAGAACATGCTTCACTTTATCAGTGTCGCGATCTGGCGCCACGAACGAAGCATGGTGACCACGGTTCACAGCATCATCTCTGGCTGCCGTTCCTCATGGGTTCTGCGAAAGCAACTGCTCGGCATTGGGGTCTGTGGCAATATGATATTCTGCGACCCTCACCCCTCGAAACTCGCTCACGAGAAGCCTTGGGCGTATCCGAGAAAGCCTCTCATCTCTCCGCATGCAGAGTCGCCACCAAAACGCGCCATGCCCGGGCGTGCCCTGACAACTATCTGCATCCATTGCCGCGATCTTTATTTGGCTCACTAGAGGCTCATGAGGTCGCATATTCCTGGTGGCACGGCGACCTTGATCATGCTCAGGCTCCGATACTTATCGTGCAGACACCTCGAGCCAGCTCTCGAGCCTCACCACACCTCAGAAGGAGAAGTCGGCGTAGCCGGTGTTGCCGGATTCTGAAGCGTGTATGTCCGAACAGAACTGTTTGATACGCATACGGAGGTCTTTATCGACCCAGAATCAGCAAGGCCCGACGTTTACACGAAAGCCCCGGCGGAGAACTTGCTGCACGAGCGCCACATGATCGCTATCACCAGGTATCCACCATGCTCGACGCCCGAGTGAGCGGCGGCCAGCCCTTCCTGCCTCGAAACCTATAGAATTCATGACTCATTTCCGCGGGCATGCAAAAAGTCGTGCCAACTAATGTACCCTTGCCTCGGTAACCTCTGCATCTCAGAGCATCTTTCGCGCCGTGTTTCTGCTTCGTCCAAGTATGTGCCATCAAGAATGCCCTCGTACCAATTCTTCCTGTGGGGAAGTGCATCACCAAGCTTTCACAGGACGCGTTCGGTCCAGAAAGCCGACCCTTTTTGGGAAGGTTTGATCAACTATCGGAAGCTTCGAGACGAATCGTGTGCGTCGTGCGACAAGACGCAGCCCGAATATGGTGACGCTGTTGTACTCTGTCTAATCGTCTATTCGCGGCCGCGATGGTCACGCTGTGGACATGGATCGACTCGTCAATAATGATTAAACCTCGAGTTACGGGCTGGAACCTTCGCAACTCGAGTTTACTTACGCACCGTTACATCGAGGTTTATGCACACCACTTTCATGGTCGATATCGCACTGATTCCTAACGTCATCAGGCTGCATGTGCCAGAGCGTGGTCGCTAGGACTGTAAGATGATGGTGGTTGTTCTCGACAGCAGAAGCTCCCATATGTCCTCTCGACTCGAATGTTTCTCTCATGGCAAGCTTGTCTCGGCGCGTTAGGGATTGGGTGATCTCGGTACAAGCACATTGGTATGAAGTGATATCTGGGGTCATACCAGCGTATCTGTTGACCCTGCATCTGTAGCCCATATGATATCGTCGAATGGCCCCCTTTACTGTCAACACGATGCTCCACGGATATCGTACACCGGCCACCACATCTGGTCCGGGACCATCAAGGTGTATCTTCATTTACCCCCGCCGCTGGCATCACGGCAAGTTCTGATACGGCCACGGGAATGGCATTCAGTCGATGACACGTTCTTACGTCTCACCATACGGGACCGCAAGGTGACTTCAAAGTCAGAGGTAAATCCTGCCCGTTCTGTCAATCAACGTTTCGCCCTGGGTTCTCGTCCTCCTATTGTCTACGCGTAACGCATGTGGAACTTGTCGCGAAAGGGAAGCTGAAGAATCTGTATCTGGGATGCCTCCCACAAACCATTGACAGGTGCTCGTTCTTGCCTGTACTTACCAGTTCGACTCGCACGTATCCGGGACCGCTGCTTGTTCCATGTCCATTTGAAGGAAGTCATCTGAACTTTCTGATTGACCAGTATGGGCTAAGGTTTCGTCTTCGTTCGTCTTCGGAACAACATCGGTGAGCGCATCTTCTCCTTTGCTGAGGGAGGTACCGTGAAGACGTGTTCAGACTGGCCATGGCGCGGAAGGGAGGGGGAGCATGGTGTTATCATACTGCGAGTGTCAAACGAATCGCCAAGCAAAAGCCACGACAACTGTGCGGAATCCTGCGGCATTGCGAATGCAGGGTAGGTTCTGTTGGCTACATTATTGACCCTCGATATTGCCGTAGGGCTCAGACGAACATCGTCTGACGCACCGGTACCGAGCGTTGGTCACGTATGTCGAATACCTTTTGCGCAATGCCCACGATTGAATTGGGTTCATAGCACATCTTTGCCGGTGCTTCCGATGTATATCCGTTGGTGGGACTATCTCATGGGTTCCCACTCTGGGATATCGAAGGAGCACGACGATCATACGTCTGTATCAGATTCGCGCCGTCCCTGCAGTGTCGGATAGTCAGTGAGTCCTGGTCGGTTGTGCTTGTCTCTATCTGATTGCGATCCAAGCACCTCAAACTAGCTAGCGTCCAATAACACATCTGCACGAAATATGTACCTGATCGCCATTTTCACGACAAACAAGACTGCAACACCGATCAATGTCCGTACTTATTGCCCGACGTCAGTCGTACTCTACATAGACTTACCCACCTCGAAGCGCTGTACAAAGAACCTGCGCAGTCAATGGTGGTTCTGTCATCATACCTTCGAGAGATGTCGCCATGACGATCACTTTCGAACTAATTTTTGAATCGAGTCTGAGATCGTTCTCATAGGAAGGCACTGGGAAGGAAGCCCTCGGGGAGGTCGAGGAGCCCTACCAATTTGGTTACGAATCTCGAAAAGCATAACCAAATTTTTCGTGAAATCCAGTGCCGCGCATCTCACCCGTTTGGGTTTATTTACGCTTTTCGGATCGCCCACTGCTGCCGAAGTAGGCATCAAATTGGACTCGCGGCGCTCTCCAAGTTGCTACGGAGCGCCATAGACAAGAATAACTCCACCGTTCCGCCCATCGTGCCTGACGGCGGTGGGGTCGAGCAGCCCGAGAGCTATTCTCAGCTGGCATACACGACCTGGGATACCATTCTGAAACGGTTGCTGTTGGTGGTGTACTCAGTTCGAGGTCAGAACGGCCAGAAGATGGCTTATCAGGCCGTATAGCTTCTCAGGGTCCGCAAGCACGGCACAAAGGCCCAAGGGAGCGGGAGATGATTCGGTCATCTACTCCTTCGCGAACCGAAGGACCGTTGATTGCCGCGCGCGTGTGCGAAGCCAGACCTTGTTTACGCCACCACCATTCACTCCGGTCCTCCGCGTTCTAGAATTTATGAGTACGAGAGGAATTCGCTATGTTCCCGTCCCTGCGCCCGTCCTACCATACTACTTCTCTGACCGAGCCGTCCACCTCCATATCCCTGCCTACCTGGACCAACCGTACTGCTCCACTCATCCTCTCTCCGTGTTCCTGTCTCGCTTGTGCCTGATCGAGCACCCATGATTCCCGGCAAGAGCAGCAAACCGCGTCTTCGGCTCGACCCCACAGCCCAAGGCCATCAACAAGGTCCTCCGTCGAGCTATGCCACCCCCGCTCCTGAGCAGGAATCTCGCTATCCACACACTTCTGTGTTCAGGTAAGGTATTTCTAAAACGTTCTACGGATGTCAACTGAATCACCTTCAGGTCGCTGCATATGGAGATGCGAATATTCAGTCCCTCAGTCAAAATACTTCCGTCTGAGGGGAAAGCGGCTCCTCGATCTCTCCCCATCTACGGAGACCACGATAAACTAGAGGGTGTCGTCACTCTCGATCCGTCCTTACAGACAGCCTCTGGCCATCTCACTGTCTCAGTACGTCAGCGCTTATATTTCTTGCCCGGGTTCTGATGGTTCTCAGGTCGAGGGCATCTTCACTTACGAGCCCGGAGATACTGAAGCCATTGTTGACGCCTCAGATAGCCCTCCCCTTGGCAGGCATCGCCACGTATTCTATTCATCGACAGTAACGCCGTCCTCACCGCAAGCTGAGGTTAGCACGCCCCTGTCGGCGTCATTGCGAGATGCCTTCAAGAGCATCCGACGGAAAGCAAGCTTGCAATCGATGAAATCTCCCAGACGCGAGAACTTCGCCTTCGACATCCCCGCGCTGATGCGACCTGGCGAGGAGATGCCACCGTCTTTTTCTCTTTCCAAGCTGATGGAAGGGGGCATTCGTGGTCGCGCCTCGGTAGAGGTTGTCGATGTGGCCTACCGCGTCATCGCACTGTGGGAGTCGCATGACGGTTCTGAAAATCGGGTAATGTAAGAATGCCTTCAATTTCGGAAGCTAGTGAGATCGTCGTAACGTCGCTGTCATAGGCTCGAGGCACCGTTCCTCTTTCGTCCGGATACGGAGTTTCACTCTCTCGATGGCGGTTCGTTGGATCCTGAATCTTGGCTGGAGGTTCCGCTTGTATCAGACCGACAGATACCATTCCAGTGCGCAGTGAGTGATCACCTTGCCACCAAATAGTCCCTCTCTCATTGACTTCTTAGGTTACCATGCCGAATCCTGCCACCTTTCCTCGTTCGGCGTCCCTCCCTTATTTTGTCGTGTACACAACGACACCGAAGTCGGTGCCGTTATCTCGCGAGATTGCAGCAGATGCCACCATCGCGGTCTCGCTTGTACGGCAAATCATGATCAAGCAGGAACATCCTCTCCGGTCGCGGTCATCGTCAAACGCTCCTCGAATACGGACAATATCAAATTTGGAACGTCCTCGACGGATTCGGAGTCCGTCTGATTCTTCTTCCTCGAGCGGGTTGTCTAGCAATGCCTCTCCGAACGCTAACCCCACTGTCCCGTCGTTCCTACCGTCCACCTCGTCACACGACAGCTCAGCCGACGAAGACTCGGATGTACAACTCGTGACTGTTCCTCGCAACAAACTCTACAAGCGGGCAGCTAGTAAAACGGCGCCTGCTAGATTCCCTACGTTCGGCCGGGTCAACGAGAAGAACACGTTACAAGGTCTCTGCGACCGTCCGCTCCCTCCTCTCCCCGGCGAACAGCGAAAGACCCGAGGAGCCTTCTCCGAGTCGCGCACACTGCAAACGGATATTTTCGTCGGCTTCCCAAAACGGCCCCGAAATCCCGGGGATCCTCGTGGACACCCGTCTTTGGAGGAACATATAAGCCTGCCGGACGGCCTCTATAAAGGTCGATTGCCCTTGCATAGGGACATGATTCCGACGATCAGTTGGGGTGGGCTTCAGGTCAAGGTACGATGATCGCCACGTGCATGCGCTTTTGCTAATCCCGAGTGTAAACAGTATTACCTGGATATCTCTGTCTTGTTCGGTCAGGACGAGTTGCGGGCCCGCGTACCCATCCGTCTTTTCTGAACGCATTCAAAACACATGTCGCTGCCAAGATATCATCATCAGGAGTGCCATCAGCAAGGCTGACACCATTTTCACTACTTATATGGACCACCGTACTACATCCCGGATTTCGTTATTATTATGTATAACTACTACCATGTGAGTATACGCATCGCTTTGAATAGTTGTCCATATCTCGCTGTCGTCCGTCAGAATACCTCTCGCAATGTGGATACCCAGGCCCCAGTCCAGTCGCGAGTTTACCGAGACTTATGATCGAAGGTGCGTTTTGGGAGAGCACGAAACCACTGGCTGTTCCCGTTATCGAACTTCTGTCACACAGATGACCGCGTTCCTATGTATTCCTATGGCCTCGAGAACGCGCGTCTGAAACCGGATCCAAACGTGGCGAATCATGACCTTGCCGATGGGTGTTCTATTTCCCGCAGACTCGTCGACCGACCTTAGAAGCCTCCTGATGCGCGAGCATCAGAAACGAACGGAATCGGACTTTGGCGATTTTGCTCCGCACCGCACCGGAGTGCACACCTACTGGATCCGACAAAATCCCGGCAGGGCCGAACGACTGCGTGTCCCTGGAAACAACACATGGACCAAGGTGACCGTTGGAGTGGCACAATGTCCCGGCACCTGTCAGGTGGACATCAATACCAGCATCGACTCTCGACGATGTGAGCATGGATGCATGACCGACGGCGCGCGAGATGGGACGTGGTATGTAATCTTGCTGTGAGAGGCAGGGTCGTCGTTTCAGTGCGAAAAATCCGTTTCTCGGCTGCGCATCGTGCTCGCAGCTTTTTCTCGAGATCACTAGAAGCCGACGCGAAGAAGCACGGAGGCAGGTCTAGGCAGACGCTCAAGCCTCAGGTAGTAGTAGTACATAGCAGCATAGCAGCGAACGGTACGCACTTTGGGTATGTACTCATTCAAGTCTGCTCAGCCTCTTCTCCTAGTCCATTTCACGATATTTTGCAGCTTGAGTCCAGAGTTCTCCCCGGCGCGGCGCAGGATCTCTGGCGGATACGGCTCGGGTGGCCCGACCGTTCCGTATTGATGTGGAGTGTGAGAAAACTCGGAGGATGTTATCAGCGTGGGAATGTCATGGTTAGGACTGAATTTCGTCATTTCCCGCAACATTCCTTCTCCCCCTGTTCTGCGCGTTATGGGCAATCGATTGATCATCACAGGTGCATCGGGAGTTCTGGGTACTGCGATATACGATGCTTTCAAGGCAGTGCCTAAGACAGAGGTTCTGGGTCTTGCGTTCACAAATGCCAAACCGGGGTTGCAGAAACTCGATCTCCAAGATCGCGAGGAAGTAGAACGCGTCTTCACCGAGTTCAAGCCGGACTGGGTCATCCACTGTGCAGCTGAGAGACGCCCGGATGTGGCGCAGAAGGTGGGTAGCCTTCCGATTGTACAAATCCAGGGTTGATGGTCCGCTGCGTCATCACTGAGCGCTGAGCACTCGGCTGACGTCGTACACTAGAACCCTGACGGCACGCGTAACGTGCGTTTCGCAGCTATCGCCATCAAGGCTTTCCGGCTTGTGCTGAAGAACCAATCAGCTCAATGTGAACGTGTCTGGACATCTCGCGCAACTGGCAAAGACCCTCGGTTACACTCTTGTGTATATCTCCACAGGTAATGTGTTTTAGCCCATATTGCGATCAATCCGTGGCGGCGGCGGCGTCTTTATCTTTTACTCTGCATTTACGACATGCGATCGAGCTGCTGATACATCCTCATTTTCTGTGCAGATTATGTGTTCGATGGACAGTCGCCGCCGTACAGTGTTACATCTCCTACCAACCCGCTGAACCTTTATGGAGAAACCAAGCGCGACGGCGAGAATGCTGTCCTAGGTGTCGATAGTGCCAAAGTGGTCGTCCTGCGCGTTCCCGTGCTGTGAGTACATTTATATCTTTGTTGCCGTCTTGCGCCTCCGAATCCCATGTTGATATGACATGTTTCGGTCCGGTGGCAGGTACGGGCCCACTCCTCGTAACTCGGACTCCGCGATCAACATACTCCTCGACGTCGTGCATGATCAGTCCGGAAAGCAATACAAGATGGATCACTACCAAACCCGCTTCCCCACGAATGTCATCGACATCGCCCATTTCCTCGTCAGATTGACAGGTTCGGTCCCCCCTGATCGGTTTTCCCCGCACATTTTCCTTTCCCCCTCCCTCGCTCCCACTCCGAACCCCTTTCAAAACTCAGAACTCCGGATCGCTGAGATGACCTTCTTCCATACAGCTGTGCCCGAGCCGCTTCCGCGGATAATGCATTATTCCGCACAGGAACCGTTCACGAAATATGAAATCTGTCTGATTTTCGCGCAATTGCTCGGCCTGCCTCACGCGCACATAATCCCCGACGCCGAGCCCCCTAAGGCGAGTGTCAATCTGACATCCTGGTCCCCGGTGAAATCGTCTCTGACAAAGGTCATGGATCACAAAGGACGCCACTGCTCGTCCGAAGGATACTCAGCTTGACGTGCACGAGACGGAGGAGCTGTTGATGCGTGCTGAAGCGCCTCTCAAGGAATTGAGCTCGAGGATTCCGGACAAAGGTGGCATTGGTCTGGGATGCAGCGGCTTCGAAGAGTGGTGGGCAGGTTACCTCAAGGTTGGAGAACCTGCGAGCGCGTTTTCCGGATAGTTGGGAACTCCAACTCTCTTCATGTATAGGTATCCACAATTGTATTTTGAATGAGATACAGGCATTTAGTTCGCAATTCTCTAATGCAGCAACTCTCAAACATTTCTACACTGTTACATAGTCTCGCCCTTGTGCAATTGTACATGGTCAGGCTTCGTAACCCACAGCACTCCATACGGTGATGTGGAGTTATGATTGGTGAGGTCGCTCTTCAGACATGATTTGCTGTTCGGAGATGTCGTCGGTCACCGTCAATGCCTTTGCGAAGGTAACTATCCACTCACACTCTTAGCCTGGCTGCCGGTCCCTTGAGTCTTCTTGGGCTCTTTCATGTAGTCTGCCACCACCCAGGCTAGTTAGCCTGCACCGCTAGTAAACTGTAGGTTGCGCTACACATACCATGCCTTTGTTGGGAATCAGATACGACCTCGGGCTTGTTACCGTCAATCGAGCTGACGCCAAGGATGGTTTGCTCGCCAGTGGCCTCGAGAGGAGGAGATTGGGTGCCAGAGGTAGACATTGTCGTGTTTATCTGAGGATGTTGCAGGGTTATGGCACCGGAGGATGAAAACAGGATGGCATATAAAGCCCTTGGGCTGAGGCGTGCGAGCAGCATGATGTCATACCGAATGACGTTACTTAACGCGGAGCTCGAAGTTGGGACGACTTCGCAGCGTGCGAGTCGGCGCAACTTGGGAGGTGAGTATCAGCCAGGCGGCGCTGGAGCCGATGCGATCCTTGGGCAAAGAAAGCGATTGCAACATATGGTACATGTATTAGTATGTGTAGCTGAGTAGACGAGACACTGGCGGTGAACACTGGTAAAATGACGTCGAACGGTTGAACACGAACGCGCCGCAAGAATCAGCAGGACAAGGAGTCGGATCTTTGAGCTCTCTCAGAAGATTGGATGAAGGGAGAAGACGAACTGCCGCGACGGAAGATAGCCACATGTGTGATCGCATTCTAAGATTGCTCCATCATCCGTTCCAGAATCCGTAATACCTCTTGCTTGGACACCACCGAGCCGCTTGTGGAGTTCGCAATCTTCTCTGCTGCGGTCTTAACAAGAACCTTCGCAGAGCTATTGCGTGTGGTCGCATGAACGATTAATCGCGCTATGACCTCTCCCAGCTCAACGAGAATAGCAGCGACGATGAGCCCTGCATGCGACACATCAGTGTTGCGTTACCGAAGTGTCGCCAGATAGCGGTCACGCACATATGATGATCCATGTTATGCGTTCCATGGCCGAGTTGTTGAGGTGATCGTGGATCGCGTCCAACTGTACGTAAGGTGGTGAGTCGGAGCTGGCGGGTCGTATGGTAAGTTACCGACCAGATCGCTTGCGACACCAATCTTCTCGTTCAGCGCTTCAACACGACTCCCTATTTCCATATATTCCCGAACGGCGTCATAGAGGTCTTTGAGGCTGGCTTCGGACCAGAAGAGTTCAGGCACGTCTAGTACATTTGATACGAGATTGACGTCCCGGCGTAACTTGAACAGACGTCCTGTAGTGAATGCGATGAATTTTACATTGAGATAAGATATGTGGACAGCTCACCGGTTAACTTCAATGCATCTCTCCTCCTTAACGTCAGCTTCCCGCTTTCAGCGAGCTGTCGTGGTATAGCGACCGTTTCCGGCGAGGATAGCACCGCGCGTGAGTTCGTCTCGTAGTGCGCAAGCAGAGTGGATTGTGCCAGAGCATGAGCGATGGACAACTTAAGGAGATGCGAGTGAGAGCGGAGGGCTACGTGAACGAACACGCGATAGTCAGAGGAATCGTTCTCGATAGAATGAAGATCTGATACTGACTGAAGAAGTCATTGTAGATTCGAGGATACGCAATGTTGGGGTCATGCTGTATTGGATGGATATGAGTATTATACTGTAGTCCTAGGAAAGAAGAGCAACTGACGACGTAATGACATTCCTCTACTTCCCAGTCATCCTCCTTGATCTTGCGTCGCAGAATGCCGGCGTTCTCGATGTCGTCCAGAATGCCGCGTTCCTCTCCTTCAGAGAAGCCGAAAAAAACCACAACACCTAACGTACAAGCACTCGTAAGCCGTCATCTTGAAGGCCTATAACATATATCGTTTACCATAATCAAAGAAGATAGCTTCTGCGACGTCATCCCCCTGACTCTCTTGACGTGAAGCCTCGTCCTCTACATCAGGTGTGAAGGTTCCTTGGCTTGCTGCTGACACAGGCGGTTCATGGAGCACAGGTGCACTCTGGGAGAACGAAACCTGAGTGTATGCGCTCGCGAGCGCTGGAGTTCTAATGGTCTCCGGAGAAGAGGCGAGTTCAACCTCGGAAGCGCTGCGAACGACCAGATCGTGGTCGGAGGTCTCCCCTTCTGTATCGCTGATGCCAACTGGAATGGCGCGGGCTTGCTGTGGAGACGAAGAGGGTATATATCCTTGGGGATCGAGGAGAGCATCTTGAGACGTTGAGTTGAAGTATGTGCCCTGAATAACTTGTCAGTATGAAGTTACAGCACGCCAAGACGTATCTAGCAGTACATCATAGCCCGTGTTCTCCGCCTCTGACATGCGACGGATGATCTTGTGGTTGTCGGTCGACTCCGAGAAGGCTGATGAACGAACGTTCACATTCGGTCCATACCCTGGCAGCAGAGGCAGTTGGTACATCTAGGATCGACAGTACCTCGTAAACCACTAGTATGATCGATGCACATATAATGACCATACTTACTACATACACTGCTTCATCGTATATTCTGGGCACAACGTTATGCTCCCTCTTCAGGAACCCCGCAAGGAGCTTCATCTTCAGCGCCTCCGCGATGCAATAAGCCGTGATACGCCTGAATCCGGCCTTCTTCCTCTCGCTCTTACTCATCCTCTCCCCTTGGTTCTTGTAGTCCCGAACCCGTACACCAGCGTCGGTTTCGTATCCGAGTTCATCGTCGCCCTCTTCTTCGTTGAAGCCATGTTCGTTCACGCGAGGAAGCGGTTTCGTCTGAGGAGCCGAAGGGAGTAGGACGAGCTTTTGCGAGGTCTTCGAGGTTCGCTGAGCTTTGGGCGCGGTGAGGGCCTGCACCGTGCCAGTCGCGCGTCGGCGAAGGGCTGGAGTCGCGCCACCAATGCCCGCCGGCGCTGTCAGTCCCGAGAACGAGCGGCGCTTGGTACGTGGGGGGTTTGAGGGCCGTCGAGCGGTCGTCGGTAGTTGGGACATGATTGTTGCCGACGACATTGAAGACGGATGATGCAATGAATGCGTCGGTTAAGCGCGGGCGCTTATTTCGTGGCTATGTTCTTGTGTGCGCTACGGAAAGCATTGTTGTTCTCCGACGTGCAAACCACAATAATAACAAGGCACGGCTCCTTCAGCTTCCTACATCCGGACCATCCCTTGTTATTATATCGAACCATGGGCTCACAGAGGACGCTGCTTGTCTCAGATGTCATCCTTGTATTCCGCGAGAGCGGATGATGTACTAGTAGCTTTGGCTAAAAGGCGCTCGGAAACGGGACAGCATCGTCGCCAGGTCTCGGACGTACAATTGTCTCGTTCCAGGAGAAGATAGCCTTGTCTATGCGGTGCTTAAAACGAAGCTGTTGAAGATCCCACCGGACCAAAGCTCTCGATACCCTCGACTCATAGCATCGTACGCTCTCTGTGCCGCCGGACGGACTCTACGATCCAAGCTCTTGCTGCACACGATATATACATCATCTGATACCACGACAACCTTATTATACCATCTTATAACATGCTGGACAACATTATTCACCGCAGCAGGAACATGGCTATCAAGGCGGCGGACATAGCGTTCGCGGAGGGTTACGACGAAGTCCAGTCCATCATCCAGGGCTTGTCCGACCAAAGCCTCTTTCGCAAGATCCTTGAGGATGAGTTATCGAGGTATTTGAGTGTTCTATAGCCTAGGGGCATGCGGACTAATAGCATATGGTTGCCAGACTGACGTCTTTGCACGACAACCTCAGCAGAGTTCCCAGACGCCGGATCCCCGTATTCGAACAGGATGTTAAGCGGGTTGTATTCATGTCGAAGGTGTGTCAGAGTCTTCCACCGGTGTCTAGTAAGCTGATTATTGCCTTCCAGGTGCTCGGAGGCTTTCTCACAGACGAACGAGCCCAAGTGCCCGCGGTTTCATCTTTGATGCGCGTTACAGTCGTGGGGCAGGAACAAGGTATGCGATCTAGGTTATGGTGATCCATAGAGCTTTTCACACCTCGCTCCGAGTAGATGGGACTCCTGCCCGCACGGATGATATCGCGGACATTCATGTCCAACGCGACGAAACCCCCACGACGCCTGTTGAGCCTACCCCCGCGTGTCCGATTGTTCTTGAAATACCTCAACCCCGTGCGAGCTTGCCAAATGCAGAATCGGCGCCCTCTAGCCGTCGCGCTGCAGCGCCGCGGAGCGAGGAACCATCCCGGGAACTCATGTCCGACGCTCAGGTGGATCAGACACCTGAGCAATCGTCTGCTCCCGCCCACAATGCCACTGAAAGCACTCTCCAGCCAGGCCGTACGTACAAGGCCGTTCTATAGGCGCATAAACTATAGCTGACCTAATTCTTCTCTGCAGACGGCTTGTTGCTCGGAAGTACAAACATAGGCATGTGGATCTTCAACACATCGCAGGAGGCTCGCCCCGTCCGGTCGTTCCGGGACGAGCATGGGCAGGTCATCATGGTCATCGTTACTCCGGAGGACAGCCCAGTTACCATTGAAACATCTATACCTCCCCGTCCTCGCGAGCGTTCTCGCGAGCTCGATGAAGCGCGATCGACCCCTTCTCGTTCTGAAGTTTTGGATAAGATGTTCGACCCTCAAACTAGTGGCTCCCACACTGAGCACCCGCCGGTAATCGACGTCCGCGCTCCTTCTCCCCCGCCCACGCGACGCTCTCGCTCACCTAGGGCCCCTCTGCGGCGATACGAGAGCAGCTGCGTATCGCGCTCTTCGTTCCACGAATCAGACTACGGGAGAACGATGAACACTGCACATATCGCCGGCAACGAGTCAGTCATCTCGCACTCATACGTGCCCGCACCCATCCATGTGGAGGACCCGACTGGGGTGGCATATTCTCGCCGCGATGACGCTCGGGCAATTCATGCTCAGAACGGCGATGTTCGGGAAACGTACGGATACCGAGACCAATCTCGCTCCGCGGAAGGCGGCTCGCGCTACGCCATATCCGAAACTTGGCGATTCCCTGCGCGCGAACAAGAGAGAGCGCCGGTGGGCAGGTCCAGCACGTCTTCAAGTTTTAGCCTTGAATACGCCAGCCCTGATCAACCCGTTATCCCTCCTGTCTCCACGCTTGCTTCATCTCGTCCTTCGCGCCTGAGCCTTGCTGCCCCCGCCTCCACCCATGAAGACCGCCACCAATACGCGCGAGGTGCTTCGCGGATGCACCGCGCTTTCTCTTCCACGGACGCCGGTCGTACCCCGCTACTCCTCAACGAAGCCCAATATCCGTATGGCGGGCACGTGCCATCTGTCCACGCTACCGATGCTTCCCCTCGTCCCCACTATGGCCAGCATGTCCGGCACGTCTCCGACACATATGTGTCAGGATCGACTAGTGGCCCGTACGCCTTGAATTCCAATTCTCTGCCTGGACATTATACCACGCCGATGACGGCCTGTAACGTATGGGTTGGCGATGAGCTACAACCCGCGCCCGAAGCTGCCATGGCCGACTACCCTCACCTCCCAACTCCCGTGCAGCCTCACTTTCAACAATCCGCTGCAGCATCAGCGCAAGCTGTTCCGGCACACTTGCAGGACATCTTGGCTCCGTCACCGACCATCTACGCGCGCCCACCTGCAATAGCAGGGCATGTCTCGCCCGAGATGACCGCCGCTGACTACCGCGCGCCACGGCCTCAAACTGACCTGCGAGACTACGGTCATGGCCGCGAGGTTCCGATCCGTACAGAGCTCTCGCCGCTGCAGGGGTATAATCTTCCCAGGCAACGCCTCGGCGCATCAGGGGCGGGGTACGGGATACGGCCCACCGACGTTTACGACACCCCGTCATCCGCCTTGAACGAGCAGCTACCTGCATGGTCTCCCTCCACTGCGTCTGAGGTACTTTCGGATACTCCCCGAAACACCTTGTTCCCGTCGCCTCCTAATACTGCTACGCTTATTCGAGCGCCGAGGTTAGCGCAAATCCCGCTGCCGATGTCGCCTGGCATAGCAGGTTCGTGGGCGATGCAGTCGACGCCCTCTTCTCACCCATCCGAGGTTGCGAACGCGGGATACGGGCAGCACTCCGGAGGAGGGCAGCACGTCTTCCCCGAGCAGCTCGATCATGCACTCCTGAACCCAGATCAAGATTACATGTTCACTTTGGATTAGCGATGTGGCGGACGTCGTGGCGGATGCAAATGAGAACATTATATCTGTTTATCGCCGAGCGCGAGAGTAATACTTCTTCCCAAGGATTTCTTGGGCAGCTGTGCCTTGTATAGTTCGCCCATAAGGGCTCTAAAATTGTACGAACAACGACCGAAATGATTGACGACTGCAAATGTACAATAGATGCTGCGACTCTGTACACGACTAATAACGACAATTCACGATGTAATTTGTCATCTATCATCCATCATCTCATGGGGAGAAGGCACCCCGGGATTGTACTTCGTCAGTGAACTTTCCGTGTATGCACGCCAGATTTACATAACCTCTCCACGACGTCATTAGTTCATTGCACGGGTCACTGCAATACTGTACCAGTTGGTGGTTTGGGTACCCTTGTTATTTTCGTACTTCTCGATATGACCGTGTCACCATGATCGTGAAAATGATAAAAAGGCGACAGCAATTGCATAGGTTCGATGTGACATGACACCGCTACACAATACGTGAGCCCATGTCCTGTGGTCGCTAGGTTGAGATCTCCACGAACAATAGCTGCCCCATGCTCAGAGCGACCAGTCGACGACCAAGACGGACGCCAGAACCGTCAGCGGAGTTGCAATATCTCTGCCTCGTCTTTTGTCTCCCTCCACATTGCCCCCATTGTCGAGCCTCACGGCGACCACGAGCGAACGTTGCGCGAGAATTATCTGCGTGATAGGATCGATTCGTCGTTGCGCAAAGCACATGGCTCTTTTTGTCTTTCATGACCGCAAGGCAACGACGGAGCGCTGCGCTGGGTAGTTCCTCCTCGCCGGGGATGCTACGTTTTTGTGTTCGCGCATACTTAATGATCATGCCAGTGCTCTGCGTCTCCATCCCGCACTCCTACATCCCCATATCTTCATCCCAGTCATCTTTCAGTTATCGCATCGCTAGACGTTGCTGACATGTCTTCTGACGCTTCCACGAAACTCTCCCTGGAGGAGACCTTCCTTGCCGAGCGATACTGTGCCCTACTCAGCAAGGACAGTAGGCAACTCATCTATGGACCCCCCACTTCCTATCGCACGACGTGGACCAAGGGTTCCAGACTCGCGAAAGCGGAGGACTACCTGCAGTATGCCGCCGGGCTCCTGCAGATCCACGGGTTTCATTTTCCTGTGGATGATCTCAAGAAGTTTGAGGTGGAATATGAACGGCAAGTTGTGTGCAGTTTGATGATACGCCTCCTATGACGCGCAACATCCAGGTTGACGAAGCTGGCTCCCGCTATGAACGCCTCCTTCGACCCGTTAGGATCCAAAACGCGAGACTACAAAAACGAGTGCAGGGAACTATTCATATGCATAGGGGTACGCGACCAAATTGCCAACGATATGAGTTTGGGCTGACATTCCGACAGGAAAAGGTCACGGATGTTGTACTTGAGGTCCTAGTACCGATTGTGAGCTCGGACCCGCCCCCACCGTATTGATTGATTATCTCTGTCCGTTGACCTGTATCGAAGAGGTCGCAAATAATGTACCACCATCGATGCGTTGCTTTACCCAACATCGTGCTTGGCAACATGTACCCCTAATACTTTACTACACACTATAATTTGAACGCGGTCACATCGTTTCCAGTCTGTCCACCCACGAGCAGCTCCATCCAGACGACATTGGACAAACCTCTGATCCTTTATAAGTAATACTAATACTTAATGACGTGAGCGAGGCTGGTCTGAACGCACGTGTTTGCGGCCTTATTCCGAGCTTGAGCTTCAACCTCCTTCGATACGACTGCTTGCGTTGTTCAATGCTGTCCGCGGCCATGGCAACTCTCATGCAGACTGCAGTCAGACAATGCGTCGGCATGCGTCCTGGGGCACTATGTCGTTATCTACTACTAGCTTCTGCGCCTTGTATTTTGGAGATGTCGTCGACCACGGTCCTTCAAAAGCGAGCAGCTCCAGAGCGATATACTGCACCTTACCCAAACCTCTCGATACTCTACCGAAAACCGGCAGTCAGACATGCAGAAAGCGACAACTCGCAAAGGCGACGATCGCTCTCAAGGGCGGCGTTCATACATGGTCGGCGTTCACGAAGTGCTCGAAGTGCTTTTGGATTTGCCCGAAGGGCATCCCTTCAGGAAGCCGCTTACCGACGAGCTGACAAAGTGAGATACTTACCTTTCGAGCTACGCATCGGGAAGAAGGTGATAAATCATTGCAGTATACAATCATTACGCGAGAAGATCCTTGCCATGGACCCGGACGTCGACGAAGAAAAATACGGTCGTGATGCATACCGACTAACACTCGTTGGCCAGGTCAGGGTTCAACACAATTCACATGGGTGTGCTCCTTACCTTCGATCTTCGGAATAGCTGATGCGCGATTGCATCGATATGGGTTTCCTGGGACTGGATGTGGGCTTATTGGACGGATCCGACCTTCACTTCGATCCGTCGGCTGCGGTTGACTCAATACCCCGAGGTATGTTCAATCATACCATTCTTTAATCACAGAGTCCCCAACTATATGCAGATCGTCCGAAGGCATTATTCGAACCAACAAGGTCCCTAACCGAATCTACCAACCAGCCCACACTCGCATCTTCCGCGGTTGACCCTCATTCAACTTCAAGCGCAGGTGACACGCGTCCCTCCTCAGACAGTCAGTCATATACCCCCGAGACTGCAGCCTTCCGTCCGCCGCTCCGTCGCGTAACAGCGCGCCCGCTGTCCTCACATCCTGAACCGCGCACACCCGCACGTCGGCAGCAGGAATCTGGAAACCCGATTGCTTGCCCCAACTCAGAATCGGCGTTGAATGCCCAGCGAAGGCAGACACTCGCTGATCCCGGGCATGTTCATGTCACAATGAACGGAGATGAGTTCCAGGGTGGCTTCATTCCATACGTCCTTGGTATGTCCTGGACAGTAATATCCTCCTACCCGTTAACTTATCATCTCTCTCAGCTGACAGACAACCTTACGCGTGGCCCCAGCATGCATACGAGCGGCAACCCATGCTACGCACTTGGCGAGACGAGGATGGCTACCTGAATTTTGTCGTCGTGGAGTCGGACTCTTCGTCCGCAGCCGCCGGTCGCATTCCCCGTAGCCTGTTCGACACCCAAAACAGCGAGCAGTTTCTTGAGTTCGCTCATGCGAATACCCCGCGACCTTATCGCCCAAGTGGGCCTGGACCAGAGCATCCGCGAAACCGACAGAATGCCCCCAACCGCCCGATGACGCTCGCTGAGCCTGTAGTGCACAATGCCCCTGGGTCGTGTAGCACGACGACACTCCCTCCTGCAGGCAGCTTGTTGTTTGAGATTCCACCTTCTCACAATACCTCCGCCCAGCCTTGGGCATATGTTGAAACTTATTAGAAGACATGTTCCACTATTGTAGGGATTGTTCGCCCGTTCATTCTCCGCATGTATACCCAAGTACGTCGAACTCACTACGATTGCTCTGATTGCTATGGCTCCAGCACTAATCTTATGTACATGTATACCGCGGATAGCGCGATTATAAGTTGCGCGAGTCCAATTCTGTGCGATATCCAGAAGTCCGGTGGTACAGTAGTGGATCCAACAAACTGCGAATCATGCTGTACTCGTACAAGACTTGGAAGCATTCGTCGAGTACTCTGCTGCGTGCAGAGCGAGACACAAGCGCAGACATGAGATTTGGGGTATTGGACTCATTGGCCGCTTTTTCTGGCTTTCCTAATCCATGGGCTTGACTGCCCATTCTTCGGCTTCTTTTGTGCGGGTTTGAGAATCTATATGACAAGCAGAGAAGTTGGACGCCTTGACGTCAACTGTTTTGTCCTCGAACGAAAGCACACTATACGAACGAGGAATGTGCATAGCAAATCTTCGTCCACGGACATCATCGCTCCTGCGTTGTCGAATTCTCCGCAGTAATTTGGAGCCGAGAAAATTGTGACAAGGTGTCTTTTTGCAAAGAATTCATAGCCGTCCTCGACAACCTGACATCATTGAGACAACCACGTTGGATGAATCCTAGACCTGAGGCTCACCTGATGAGCACGGCAGATCAGGTCGAATTGATGTTTGCTCAAGAATTCGGCGACCACGTCGGGCCCAAATGTGAACGAGATTCCGCGGTCGTTTTCGCCCCAACCCTTGATTGCGTTTTCGGGATCTGACCAAAGGAGGTCGCATATGAGACCTGCGAAGACGGTCAGAAGCGTGCTAGGAGATATCGAAGAGAATGTTTACCGGTGTCCGGTATGTCGGTGGGCCGCATAACCCTCCGTATCTGATCCATAACCTTCAAGTCCGGACTGAGCCCGCCATGCATGCAGAATATGCGGTCACCGACTATTGCGGCGATGGGCAAGCAATTGAAGCAGTCCGTAAACGTTTTCCACAGCTTTATATTATATCGACGTTTGCCTTGCGCAGAAGTTCAATACGTGGTGTGACAAGCAACTTTGATAGTAATGCTGACATTCATCGTAGAAACCGTATATCCGGTTTGTGCTCGCGGCTTCGTGGTTTCCCCGTAGGAGGAAGAAATTCTCCGGGTACTTGATCTTGTAAGCCAACATCAGACATATCGTCTCCAATGACTGCTTGCCCCGGTCGACATAGTCGCCCAAAAACAGATAATTCGCTTCCGGGGGAAAGCCACCGTACTCGAAGAGGCGCAAGAGATCATAGTACTGTCCATGGATATCGCCTTGGCAAAAATAAACAGAATTAGCCCGCGGGGAACAGAAAACTCGGAAGTAATTGTACCGCATATCTTGATCGGGGCTTCGAGCTCCAGAAGATTGGGTTGGGCGAGGAACACCTCTCGTGACTTGGCGCACAGGTACTTGATCTCGTATTCGTGCAGCTGCACTAGCTTTCCTGGCCGATTGCCTCGCACTGCGGGGAAAATGGCATCAGCATGCTGATTTCTTGATAATGGCTGAAGACCTGGACCTCTGCCGCTCCTGGACCTCTCGCCGTGAGTCTCCCCACGGCTCGGACTGGTGCGGCAAGGCCCGGAGCCGTTGGTTGGGCCGTCGTCTCACCTGCAACGAGCCTGTCAATGACAGAGTCAAGGTCTATTTCAGTGATAGGCACAGCCGCCTGCATTATTTTATCCTGCACGGAACGTGTCTACGCTTTCAAGTAATGCAATGTCTACTTAAAAGATAGCAGGGGCTCTGAAGGAGATGCAAGGGTAGTGATATAATGGAACTGGTATGAATGAACACGCCAAACGTGCGATCGCAACACAATGCAAGGGGGAACTGGGCCCGGAGATGGGCAGCGTCGGGGTAAAGAAACTGAGGCGGTGAAACCAGAGGCCAGCAGGTCAGAGTACAGCATATAAGTGCGTGCACCACTGAATCGAGTCATCCTTTTTCATGTATCAGAAAATGGAACATTTTTGATGGCTGACGGTTGCGCAGTTGCTTAGGTGATCGAAGGGCCATGCGCAAGATAACTCGGGGTGATTCGACCGAATACGCTACCCAAAGGCCAATAATAGCAGAGTGACCTCCAGAGTGTACGGCAAGTTGTAGAGGAAAGAACCAGAACATGCGCAGGTGAACGCGGCGAAGGACGTCGTCGGAACAGCAGGTATCATGACGTCAAACTTACAATTGCACGAGGTTACATGCATTATCATACCATTTAACAGAAATCGTGCGCAAGCATACGGGAGTGAGATAGAGAAGAATATTGTCATCGTGGAGGTAAACTAGGTTCAGAGTACAAGCGACTAGTATCGAGCGTAGGCGTGGCGGCAGTTGCGTAATTGGCGGGGCGAAAGACGTGTGTAAGGTGGCGAACAACAACGGTGCAGTTGCATCTAAGGCGATGTACGTCCACGGCCGGCGAGGGGTTTAACATGCGCGTCGTCAAGAGCGTATGTCTGCTTGGGTCGGATGAGGGATAGAAATGAGCGGCAGTATCGCGTAATCGAAAAAACGAGGGGAACGGGGAAATGCGGGGGAGGAGGGGATAGGTGTTCTGTTCGAGTCCGAATGCGCCGCACGCCTGCTGCTGCATCGTTCGCTCGTTTTATCTCGCCCTTGCGTGAGCTTGCCGCTTCGGCGACCAGCAGCCGCAACAGCACGGTCGGAGTGCCCTCTCCTGCGCGGAGCACGCGCCTGGGTCGGATGTTCATCGTACCCGATCGCGCCGCACACTCTGCCTTTGCCACCATTCACATCACCGCCGCTCTCGCACGTGCATCCTATTCGCCACCTTAATGGGGAGGTGAGACGCAAACAGACCAGGAAATAAAAACGGAAGGATATATGAGACAACATGGCGGCGCAAGCCGCAGTCTACATCTTCCCGTCCTTCTTCTTCTGTTTACGCGGGGGTGTCATCGGTCGACCAAGGTTCATCCCCCCATACGGGTACTTCGCCTTCTTCTCCGCCGGTTTGAGAATCTATGGACGTTGAAGGAACACATGTCAGAGCCGCCAACATAACAGAACGAGAGGAGTGTCGTCGCATTCACGAAGGCGGTCACGTACCTGGAAGGAGCACAGCAAAGTCTCATCCACACTCATCATCGCACCCGCGTTATCGAATTCTCCGCAGTAGTTCGGCGCGGAGAAGAGCGTTACTAGTTGGCGCTTCGCGAAAAATTCGTAGCCATCTTCCACCACCTGCAAATTTGAAAACAACTTAGTTGCGAGGTCGCAAGCCGAGACGCAAGGGAGCCCGAACCTGATGCGCACGACAGATCAGGTCCATGTCGTGCTTCTGCAGGAACCTTGACACAACGTCTGGCCCGAACGTGAAGGAAACACCTCGGTCGTTCTCTGACCACCCAGTGATGTCCTTGTCTGGGTCTGACCATAAGAGATCACAAAGCAGACCTATTGTCCGCGAGTGCATCAGCCAATCAGTATGACAAACACGGAAGATGAAGCGTACCGGTGTCGGGGACGTCGGTGGGCCGCATCACCCGTCGTATTTGCTCCATCGACTGCAGATCCGGACTAAGACCGCCGTGCATGCAGAATATTTTCTCGTCTATGATGGCAGCGATGGGAAGGCAGTTGAAGCAATCCGTGAAGGTCTTCCATAGCTTGATGTTGTACCGTCGTTTGCCTGGTCACGAAACGTCACGCGAATCAGCCCTTTGTCAGCCCTGGAACAACGCAAGGAGGGCGTACACTCGTCGTAGAAACCGTAGATGCGGTTGATGCTCGCGCACTCGTGATTGCCTCGCAATATGAAGAAGTTTTCGGGGTACTTGATTTTATACGCGAGGAGTAGGCAGATGGTCTCGAGCGACTGTTTCCCCCGATCGACGTAATCGCCGAGGAAGAGGTAGTTGGCTTCTGGTGGGAACCCGCCGTATTCGAACAGTCGCAACAAGTCGTAATATTGACCGTGTATATCGCCTTCGTGATGCGTCAGTGGATCGTGTTAGGCCGCATGGTGGGGCGTTCATCCTCGACGGGAGGACGTACCACAGATCTTTATGGGGGCTTCCAGCTCGAGAAGGATGGGTTGGTTGATGAAAATCTCTCGGGCCTTCGTGCAAAGGTATTTGATTTCGTATTCTTGCAGTTGGACGGGTTTGCCAGGTCGGTTGCCTCGGACTACGGGAACGATCAGCCCAGAGTTCTTTGCTGTCGTCCGACAACCCCAGCCTCGACGCCCGCTGCATCCGCTCCCTCCAGCGTCCAGCCATCGCTACCACCTCCCTCCGACCGAGAAACCCTCGAAAATGCCTCCACACATACGAGACTGCGAGGTTCGAGACAGGAGTGTGCCAGCTCACCTTCCAGTAGCCGGTCAATGACCGAATCGAGATCAATCTCCGTAGTCGAGTCCGCCATTATCTCCCCGCGTGTCGTTTGCGTATGTGTTTGAGGCCCGATTGCGAGCAAAGGGTGGTGCGTTCGGTTGTGTGTGTGCTTGGCGGGCGAGACGCCGAGGGAGTGATGAGTGCGGTGTCAGGCAAGCCGCGGCGGGGCGGACTCTGTCTTTTCGGAAATTTCTCCTCTACGAAACGTCCGCGGCGTGCCCGTATGCTGGCAGTTGCGAGAGCTGCCTGAAACGCAAAATCGATTTGAGTGGGTGCAGGGGGCTCGGGGAGAGGTAGAAGATAAACAACTCCTTCCCACGACCGGCACTCACGTAGTGATTTAGCCCAGTGAGCTTTGCGAAGGAACGGCTGGACACGGGCAGAGGTCGTTCAAAACTCGTCAATTTGCCCGGCAAACGGTACACGCAGCAATACTTTACAGGCACAGGATGGGGTCCATACTCGACACTCCTATAGGTTGCGCACAGAAGAGACAAATCTAATACGGGCCTAGGCTTGATGACACACGCTCCACCTCCATTCGTTAGATAACAGCCACGACACCCAAGCCGTGCTTCCGCGGTAGCGGAACTGTAGTCCTTGGAAGAGCCTGGCACAGAATGACTGCACCAATGCACTCACGCGTCCCGGTGCTGCTTTGCGTCGTAAGCTACGGGCTAAGCCCGGTACAGGTCTGGACCCGCCAGCTCAGGCGTTCTCTGATCCAGATCCAAGATTCAACAACGCGCCCGCGGTAAACAAAAGCGAAGTTCGCACCTCCGTTGCCGCGGGGTGCATTCCAGGGCAAGTCCATATGCAAGGACATGCACCCCAGGACGGTCGGACAACCACAGGCGCCTTCCGGGACTGTGACTTGCCCAGTGACTCGTTGAGCAGCCGAAGTGTTTGGATTGCACATCCTCTCCTGCTCGACAAAACGCGGCGCGTTCTCGGCATTCGCTTTGTTCCTGTTAGTTTCCTTCCGCTTCGTTCATCCAATCATCCCTCCTCGGCGCAAAGAGAGGCCACGACTCCTTGGAGTGGAATCGGCGCCTGTATTATGGGGGGGGGGGTGGAGGTTAATCCACATTATATTCCGTATTGTCCGTCCGCCTTTGCAGCGATGCGGCATTGTCTTCCTCGCCCACCGCGTCCAGCGCGCAGGCTCGTCGAGCCCGTGGAAAAGTCATCGTCGCGGTGTGCCCGGCGGCGGACCACGTCTCCCAGAGCCATACGGGTACCGATTTTTCTTCTCCGCAGGCTTCAGGATCTGAAGCACGGTCTCGATCACCACCATCGTCATCCGCTAGAACTAAGATAAAACTTACTTGGAAAGAACAGAGCAGAGTCTCGTCCACACTCATCATAGCGCCCGCATTGTCGAACTCGCCGCAATAATTCGGGGCGGAGAAGAGGGTGACGAGCTGGCGCTTGGCGAAGAACTCGTAGCCGTCCTCCACGACTTGGTGCGCTCGACAGATCAGGTCTAGATCGTGCTTCTGCAAGAAGCGGGCAACTACGTCTGGCCCAAACCTGAACGAGACGCCGCGATCGTTCTCCGACCACCCGGTGATTTCCCGGTCCGGATCAGACCACAAGAGATCGCAAACGAGCCCTATGAAAGATCCAGTGAGCTAGTATACGACGGAACATATGATCGTGGCACACACCTGTATCGGGAACGTCCGTGGGCCGCATCACCCTGCGAATCTGCTCCATGTTCTGTAGATCGGGGCTTAGACCTCCATGCATACAGAATATCTTCTCGTCAATGATGGCAGCGATGGGTAGACAGTTGAAGCAGTCCGTGAACGTCTTCCACAACTTGATGTTGTACCTTCGTTTGCCTATATGCACGCACGTTAACCATCATATAGGTTCGGCACTGCGCGGCAAGCTGCACGCACACTCGTCGTAGAACCCGTATATGCGGTTAATACTGGCATACTCGTGGTTGCCGCGGAGTATGAAGAAGTTTTCGGGGTACTTGATCTTGTACGCCAGCAGCAGGCAGATCGTCTCGAGAGATTGCTTCCCCCGATCGACGTAATCGCCAAGGAAGAGATAATTCGCCTCAGGTGGGAAGCCACCGTACTCAAATAGCCGGAGGAGGTCGTAGTATTGGCCGTGAATATCGCCTGAACACCGAGCGAAGCACGGGTCAACACGCTACCGCGGGAGGGCGAGGTCGATACTCACCGCATATCTTAATCGGCGCCTCCAGTTCGAGGAGGATAGGCTGATTTATGAAGATCTCGCGCGATTTGACGCAGAGGTACTTGATCTCGTACTCTTGCAGGGTGACCGTCTTCCCCGGACGATGTCCTCGCACTGCGACGAAAGAACACCGAGATGAGAGGCCGTCCACGTCCACGTTTCAGGGCTTCGACAATCTCTCCCAGATTCGGGAGCCATGACCGGCCAATGACCGCGCCTCCAACGCATGGAGTGCACGCAATGCCAAAGATAACCCAGATTCCAGACTCACCTTCGAGCAAACGGTCAATTATACTATCAACGTCCGCCTCCATTACGGATTCCGCCATGCTTTGCGTCGGTCCCGAAAGCGTGTCGCTTCGTGAAGTAAGTTGCTTTGACGAGGTGCTTTGAGCCACGAACGGCGTCCGGATAGGTTGTGGGAGAAGAGTGAGCGTTGTCCCGAGTGTAGCCTAGCAGCGGGGTCCCTTGATATCGCAGTGCAATAGCTCAAGCCAAGATCCTTGTTAGCTTTTCGCAGAGTCCCGGATGAAGCCCGATGGCGAGAGCGCGCAATTCGCTCTGGTCTGGCTTGGTCACGTACAGTGGCGAGCTCGAAAATAGCACAATGGGACTAGTTGGCACCGGTCTTCCGGCGATCATTCCCCGACGATCCCAGGTCATTCTTTAGTCTGAGGGGCGATGTACAACAGCTAGCTCTGTTCTTACACGTATTACAACGATGGGTGATCTAACAAGAGGCTATACGAGGGAGCGTAGGATAAGTAGTTGCAAATGATTGCCGGTGAACGTTGGATGGATGAGAGTCGTGAATGCCATGCCATGCCTTTGTTCGAGTCCGTGACTGGAAGACCTGAACGTGTGTACACAAACAGAACAGATGTTGATATTACTGGCACAAAGGACTTGTCGTTTCTCGTAGCCGGGGGTATCGCGCAGGACATTTGGGTCTGCTGTGCCAATGCTACCGCGCCGCATGTGAGGGCTGGGCGACCGGTATGCCGTTCTCGTCTCGCTCGGCGCGGGCGCGCTCCGAGGCGCCAGCGTTGTCGGCGCCAGAGGAATTCTGAGTGCGGGCCTGGTCTTCGGGACGCCGAGCTCTGCGTCTCCTCCTCCTGCATAGTCATAGTCAGCGAACGCGTCAAACATGGAGTAGACGACGCCAACCTCGGGAAGAGCGGCCCTTTGGGCATGGGCCTTTCGTCTATGTCGAGCGCGATGTTCTGAGCAGCTTGGAAACCCTATTGAGAGTTGTCATTACGAGTCATTCCTGACCATCACAGAAGCGCGTAGATGCATACCTCTATCCAATCCACTACGCCCGACACATCTGGTGCCTGCAACAAGAATTGCTCGCCCTCCATCCTCACTCGAATCACGTTCTTCCTCTTCACGTAGTCGCTCCCGAGCCCACTCTCCGCGTGCTGCATCGTATACTCCCTGATAAGGTACTTCCTGTCCGGAATGGGTATTGCCTGTGACTTCTCCGTAGCAAGGTCAAGCCGGCTCTGGCTGCTCGCCATCGTGGAGCCCGTGGGCGAGGTAGGCGAGTTCGCCGGGGGCGAAGTGGTCGAAATGCGCGAGCGCGAATCGCCCATGCTCGACATGCTCGTCCGGCTTGTGGCGCTCGTGACGTGTCCCGAGGACGCGCTGCCGCTGATATAGCCCGAACTGCTCCCAGATGTCGATCGCGCGGCCGAGAAGGAGCTCCGTCCCTGCCTGGACCCATCTCCGGGTATGTCAATGCTACTCCGTGATCCCGGACTCGCCGCCCTCGACGGATGCAACAACGTGGATGCCAAACTCCTCGAGCTCCGCATCCTTGAACCCGCCTCTTGCTGCTGCTGTGGGCTCTCCTGAACGGTAACAGGAGACTGACTCGCGTTCGCCGAATCATCATTAGCTTTCGGATCCCTAACGAGTTCCGTCTGCGCTTGAGCCTGTGTCCCCTGGCTCTGAGACCGCACGGCAGTCGAGAGCGGCGCGACGATGGTTGAGTCTCCAACACCGACTTTTTTCTCCCACCACTGGCCGACGCGCTTGACCGTGTTGCCGCTCGGGGGCGGTTCGTATATCCTAAACACCGTGCCCTCCAGCTCGCACACCACCCTGCACAAAATCCAATAAGCATCCCGACGGGGTCCCCCTCAGATTGGCTAGCACGTGATCACTTACCTCCTCCACTTGCGATCCCTCGCCTGCACGCCCGCGCTCTCGAACTCCAACTTCCTAGGCATAAGACCGACAAGATGTAAGCTATTCGTATATGGCGGCAGCTTCTCTGCGCCCTCGTCGTCCCGCGGCTGTATACCCGTGAATCCCCTGCGCATCTTGACCGGGAACGGCGCGAACGCAGGGTACGGCGGCGGTGGCGCCGACGGGTTCGTGAACGTCGGCATCGACCCGCGGCGCTTCAACGTCGCGTGCGGGCTCTGCGACGCGGCGGCTGTCGAGGTCGACGCCTGGGGGTCGTCGAAGATGGTCCCGCGCTGACGGCCAGGGCTCAAGAGGTCTACCATGCTCTTGCTCGCGTGGTGCGTCAAGCTGGGCCTATTGGAGTCCGCGCCCAGGCGCGGGCTGGTGGGCAGGGGCAGCGCAGGGGAACGAAGGCTCGACGGCGAATCACTGAGTTGTCTTTCCGGCTCCGGAGGGAGCGGCACGTCCGCCTGGCGCGGAGTCGTCGACGGCGACTCGCTCGCCGCACTCCTCTTGCGTTCCCGTCCCTGCGATGATCCTTGTTGTTGTCGCTGTTCCTGTGGCTGTTTCGGCGAGGAGAAGTAGTCCATCATCTTGCCCGGTTTTGGCGTCGCAGCTCCTAATCCGCTCAATACCCGCGTCGGCTTCAGAGCACCTAGGTCCAAGCGCGGTGTGCGGAGCCCACGGCTTTCGCGCTCCCTCTGCCGCCCACTCTCGGCACCTTCTGTCGTGCCCGAATCGCTGTCGTCGTGCTCCATGTCTTCCTCGTCGCTGTCCAGCGCGGCGTTGCCGTGGTCGGCGCTATCGTCCTCCTCTTCCTCCTCACGCACACCGCTGCTCCCCGCCAGGCTCAGCCGTGGCATGCTCCTAAGCCGCGCAGCGTTTTGAGGGCGAGGGGGCGCTGCCTCCGCTTGAGTCGTTGGCGGAAGTGGGGGCAGCGTTAGAATAGGCATTAGCGGTTGTCGTATAGTGATGCTAGGACTCAGACGGGCCCCGCCCGTGAGCTCATTCAGGGTCAACCGCGAAAAGCTCCCGCTGGCCGGTAATGGGCGTGGGGACGGAAGGGTGAACGACGGAGCGCCGGCTCGACGGATATGTGAGGGAAGAGTTTGGGATTGGGTCAGTGTCTGTGGCACGCTGGACTGGCGGGGAACAGTCTCGATCATAGAGTGGACAGAAGGTTCGAGGTTATGAGAACCTTGGCCCGGGATGGAAAAGGGGTCAGGGATGGGTGTTTGATTCTTGTTGAGGAGGATGGAAGGTGGGCGCTGATTGTTGAGAGGTCGTGGCGTGGGCGTCGAGTCTGAAGAGGAGGGAGTGCTCTTGTCGGGGAGTGCGAGCTTCACTTGACGCGCCACGGGCGAGGCGGTCGGCGTCGACGGTGATGCAGGCGTCGACACAATGCTCGGTGCGGGGACGCTTGGTGGAGATGCGGGTGCGATAACGTCATTCGTCACAGGTCGCGGGGAATCATCAATGCTGGCGTTTGTGAATGTCTTAAGCTCGTGGTCAATTCCAAGGCCTTCGGACACGAGGAGTGATGGAATGCGCGGTGCCGCACCCCCTCTCGATCCCTGATTAGACTGTCGGCTTCCCGGGGAACTTCGAGAATACGCGACTGGAGGCGGTGGCGGCTGCGCCGGTTTCCCATTGGGGATCGCGGGTGCAGCCGGGATAGGAGACTGTCCGTGCACGTCGGGAGATGATTGCATTGTATTCGCAGAGCCATTGGTATGTTTACTGCTGGCTGACGAGGTACCTTCAGTACGATGGTTGGTGGCCGGCTTTGGCGTCGTAGCCGATGGTCTGAGCCTCGGCGCAGATACGGAGGGCGTGATCCTCTCGTCTCGAGAGCGCGTCCTTCCAAACGAAAAGGACGAGCGACTGATCGCTATCCTGAATGAACTTCCCCGAGGCGAGGACGGGACATCGGTATCGGACGAGTTGACGCTGCTGGGTGCGCCATCCCCGCGGCCGGAAGGCAGACCGAGCACGGGTTGGGAAATGAATGGCTTCGGTCGTCCGTCCATGGACCTGTGCGCACGCCCGTACGGGTTGTTGGCGTCCGCAGCGTCCATGCCCGAGCCTTTGCGCTTGCGTCCGACGCTCGCGATTTTCTTGAACACGCTGAAGCGCGCCTGCGCATGGGTCGAGCGAGCTTGGTAAACACATCACTATTGGCGCATGAAATTATGATCGCGCACCTGGGTCGCCGTCGCCGTGTCTGACTCGGTGGTCGTCGTCGGCATGGTTGGAGGCGTCGTGTGCGTTGTTGTGTCTATTGATGAGGATAGGGTGGCATGGATTACGGGAACTTGGAGCAGGACGCGGCGGGTGGAGGATGGCGGCAGAACCGCAGGACGGCCCAATGGCGTCACATCGCTGACACGAAAATAGGGACAAGCCCGGATCTCAACCAACAAGGCTCACCATCGACCCTTACGCCACGGCCAACAATCTCCCGAATCCATCTTTGCCCACTACATATGTTACGTTCGAGCGTCCTGCATTATCCATCGGCGGCACATTGTACACATGCTCATTCTCGTGATTTGTACCACGAAGGAGCATGTTTGTCAGTGTCTATACGTCGCCGAATCGATGGCGCTCGAGATCTCCATTTTAGCGGAGCTGTTCAGGTTTGACCCCACGTTAAGTATCCAAGTCAAACCCAGCAGGAGGCGGCATGACGCACCCGTGGCGAGGCGAGTGTATGCTCACTATCACACCGCAGCAAAATACCCCACTATGACCATACAACTACGACATCCGGAACATGGTAGCTATCAATAAACCAATTCATTCGATGTCGGGACCATGAGCAGCAACAGCGAGGAAGCGTGGTATCCAGTCTTTTCCGCTGTATATTCGAACAGATGAGATACTCTAGACATGAGGATGTGCGCACGGAAGCCACGAAACACGCACAGAAGCTTCTTGCACGACGATCCCAGGCAAAGACAGCAAGCCGAGTGCACATCTTTCATTTTAACCAGAACGACTGAATTGATTTCCCACTATGAAATAAGGACTGGGTAAGGACTGTGGAGAGATGTACTTCGAGGAACGTCCTTCTCGATCTGTACATGTGGTATTATATCTGTGTTTAAACCAAAAGAGATGAAAGAGCGGTAACGTCATAGCAAAATAGCAAAACAGCGCGGTCCCCGTTCAGTAAATGTCCATAGTGCTGATGATGGTGGAGGTGGGACCTTCATACTTGGAAAGTGCCCGTCAATCGGATATCACGGCTACTCGCGCCAACGGAAACAGTGAACGTCCCATTGGGGATGATCCACCGTTGCGACACGACGTCCCAAATCGAAAGGTCGTAGCGGGAGAGCTGTATCGCGACCGTGGACGACGCTCCCGAGTTGAGGGCGATGTAGTCGAAGCTAACAATATCACGAAGTTAATTGGCCGTACACAGCCAGGCCATCGAAACCTACCCTTTCAGCTCCTTGGGAGGAGAGTTCGCCGATGCTGGCTTGCTGAGGTACAGCTGCGGCACCTCATGCCCGTCCACCGTCCCGTTGTTCCTGACGGTGAAGGTCACAGTGAAGACCTTCTCATGCAATCTGCGCTCTCAGTTGAATTCACTGTGCAGCAGGTGTATGTTCTGGAAACGCACGATGAATCAAGCGACGATCCGGCACCAGTAGGCGGCGTGTACGAGCCGACGGAGCCCGAGATGCTAAGACCAGAGTACGCGAACGTCGTATAGGACAACCCGAATCCGAACTCAAACCGAGGCGTGATACCAGCCTTGTCAAAGTGCTTGTAGTCGATGAAAAGCCCTTTGAGCGCCTGTCAGCCAAATGCATCCCGTTACCTCAAAGGCCACTTACCTTCAGTGTAGTCGATCTCGAGGGCAAGCTGCCAGTGAGCAGCATAATCGTCGGGATCCTTCGCGATGGTGTACGGGAGGCGACCACTAACCGGCAATCAGCTACGATTTCAGGCGATCGATGTCAATTCTCTTACCTGGGGTTGTATGCACCGTACAACACATCCACGAGCGAGTTCCCTGCGCAGAGACAGTCAATATGCACATATACATTCGAGTCCTCAAGCCTACGTGCCTGCCTCTTGTCCACCCAAACCACTCCACACCAATGCAGTCACTGTATACCAGATGTTCAGGTATCCTATCCTTCAGCCTCCTCAAGTAACGCGCACCGTTCGGATGATCGACCCACTTCTCGACAGTCATGGGCCCAACGCTGTTCACCACCACGACAGTGTTGTTGTTCACAGCGGCAACGGCTTCCACCCTGCGCCGGCAGCACTCATTAGCCATCGTCCAAGAGATACCGCAGAGAAATCCAGTCTCACAAAGCATCTCCGCTGTGCCACGCGTTCAGGTCGTTGCGGTCGCCGATGTTACCCTCCACGATGATGTCGATGTTCTCGCCCGAGTCCGAACTCAAGAATACGAGAGCATAGTCCTGTATAAATGCAATCCGTAAGGCATGGTCTCCTCCGGCATGCTTGGTGACTACGTACCTTGCCAGCTGCAACGCTCGCGGCTGTTTTCGTATCGGTATCAGACAGGCTTGAGGTGACAACGGTACCGTCTTGGGCAGAGCGGTTCGTGATCGCGTCCAAGGGCTATAGCGCGCAGTGCTTAAGCTTCTCGAATCAAAATAATTCCAGGACTACGCACGGTGATCAGATAGGGAAAGTTGTTCGTGCTGAACGTCCACAGATATAGGTTAGTATGACCATGAGGCCTCTGAGATGAGGACGTCATTACCCGCTCTGTGGGCTCGAGTCAGCATAAAGGCATCCATAGAGACGACGTAGAAATCACGCACGCCCCAGCCCATAGCAAGGATCCCGGAGTCGCAGGCGTTGTAGTCACAAGCATTGATTCCATTCGGGTTCGAGCCAGCATCACTACCTATATCCATGGTCGTCAAAGGTTTATTCAGGTCACAAGGTCACAAACCATCGACGCGTACCAATAATGCCGATGGTCCTGGGCTTATGCAGAGGGAGAACGCCACCCGTGTTTTTGAGGAGCACAGTCGACGCCGCGCCAATGGTTCGAATTATACTGGGCGGCCCGCTCGTTAGTGCCAGTATGCTGACAGGTTTGGAGATGCTTACTCCTTATGATTCCCTTGCACGTTGACATGTTGATTCACGTTGCTGTTCGCGTCGTGCGCGTCGAAGTTGACCGCGGGATAGCCCTCGTCTTGGCCGAGGAGGTACCAACCAGCAAGGATTCGCGTAGCCATCTCGTCCAGCCTGTCATCCGTTACAGTCCCCAGATCATTTGCGAGGGCTAAGAGACCGCCGAAAAAGCCAAGCAAGTCCTCATAGAGGCCGCCAGGCATCTCCATCTGTACGCAGATCAAGTGAGGATAGCACGATGGGAAGACTATAAGGATTGCGTACGTCCAAGCCTCTGTTGGCGGCGGTGGACGTAGAGTGCGTAGCGAACCAGTCCGACATGACGTCTGATAGGTAAGCAAAGCCGTTAAACACGCGCGATGAAGCACTTAGCTGCACTACTTACATCCCCGGAATCCAAGCTCGGTCTTTAGCAAATCGTTTAGGATGTGGTCATTCTCGCAAGCATAGGTGCCATTGACTGCGGAGTTCGACTATCAGTACCTCATACGATAGTAAAGGAACTTCGGACGAACTCTGGTTATAACTGCACATTGCCGAGGCGACATTGGCTTGGACGCTGCGCAAGAACTAGGCGCGTATGAGTAATAACGCTGGAATGGAGGAACGAAAAGGCTCACCGGATGGAGGTACAGCTCGTGGATTGTCCTGTCGTCTACGTTGGAGGTCTCCAGCATGCGTAAATGCTCTTGCTCGTTGGCAATGATATGTTCTAACCGGCAGGGACTTAGCACTATGCCGATGTCAGGGGGATCGCAAACCGCTCACTCATGCATGCTTGCACGCCTTGAGCCTGAATACCAGTAACGGTTGCGAACGCGGCTTCACCGGCAAGGTAAGGATCACCGCCGAAGCCTTCCCAGTTCCTACCCGCGTCTGGGCTCCGCATCATATTCCTAGCATAGGATCAGCATGAGCACCTGCACTCCACGGCGCCGGGCCACACAAACTGACATCATCGGTCCGAGCTGTACATTCACGCCCTTTCCGCGGAACTCCTGGCCCATAGCCGCACCGCGCTGTTGAATCAGATCTCGGCTGAATCTGGAATGAGAACGAGATATCAGCATAGTTGATGCGCGGTATACGATTTGAAGGTGCCTAACGTGGCGGCCGCATTGATTCCGCTGCATATATGCACGACCGATGATCAATCATGGCATTACTCGTTGATGTCAATAACAAGGAACATACGCAGGAAAGGCAGAGACAAGGTCGGTGCTCCGGACGCCCAGCGGACTATCTAAACAACGCGTACGAAGTTGTTACACCCAGATCAGGAGCAGCATGATGTTGGAGTGGGGCACACCTTCCAGACAAAGTCCGGGAAAGCCAATGCTCGGGATCGGCTTGATGTTGCCTGTACAATTGCCACCGAGAACCCCGGTCCCCGTCGCAAGATTCACCTTGTCGCTCTGCGAGAGTTTCGTCACGGCCGCTTGTGCTTTGGTATATGCGGCATCCCACTGAGAGCTGCCCACTGGTGGTCACACGGTCAGAGATGCGCAACCCTTTTCTCTTAGGTGGTATCACGTACGCTGAGCAACAACGAACGGCAAAAGGCCAAGAGTTCCGACAAAGACCGAGCGAACCATGCTCGCCGAGTACTACTGTGGTGAACGCAAGGATGCGGGGTAAGGGCGATCTCAGCGGTTGAACGCCGCAAGTAGCTCGTGGACGATTATATGGCTTCCGCTGGGTCCCCCGGAAGCGAACGATCCTCGGGGCATGACATAGTGTGTCGCCGAAACGTCAACAAAAGAAGTTTGATGGGATATATCCAGGAGAAGTTGGCCGCCATGGCCGATCAAGCAGACGGAATTTCTGCCGAGCGTGCCCGGAGGTCGTCTATTATGTGAGCGAATAGTCATGTCAGGGAGTATCGACGAGGGATCGGAGCTGAGCACTTCATGAAAGTTAGTTATCGGTGTCCCGGAATTTCCTGACCACGGCGACGGGCCTGCAAGCCATGAGGTGCACAAGAAGACGACCTATTCCAGGAAAACTTGCGACACGAGCGTCGCTTCGCTTGGTGTTGGCGGGCGGCGCGATACACCTTGCTCGCCCACACAGGCGGAGTACAAGCGCATTACCCGCGCACGCATGAAGGAAGAATCGGCAATGCCGGTCAGCCGGCTCTTCCCACGTGGTTCGCAGCGCTTCACTCGGACGGCCCAACCTGACCCACTCCCATGCATTGCTACGGTGCGAAATACGAAGAATTCCGCACGGATCGCCCGGACGACCACATACGGAGTTGCGTCTGACTTGGTGACATCCACCACTATGACCCTAAAGGCATTCGGTCCAGGCTGGTTAATACATGGGTAACCTCTTCGAGGCACAGTCACGACACTTGTAGATACGTTTGCCAAGATCGATTGATGCGGACATCGTGGCTTTTGCAGCGGCAGTTGATTACAATCAGGGACCATAAATGGCGAAAATTCAGGAGCGAATTATAGCGACCATCGGCCTGAGCGACGTCAACAGGATGTCGCAATTCGAGGAACAGAATGACAACTCGAGGAGTCCCGAGGGCACGGAGACACTCAGATAAAGTAGCCTGCAGACGGCCCGGCTTGGGGCGGAAGACCGAGGGGGGCCTGCGGATGACTGCCATGTTAGAATGCAGGCTTCGCAATCCCCGTGCATGGCCAGCGGGATACACTTCCGCTCGAGACTTTTGTGGGATTGCGGTGCGATAGCATTAGGGAAGTCAACGATAGATACAGGCTTCGTGAATGTGGAGTAGACGACTCTAAAAAGGTAGCTTCGAGGCCGCGCCCTTGGCAGGCTTGAGCGGGTTCGGACGGCGGCGGCGGTAGTACTGCAAGGCGACGCGAAGTCATTCACTGAAGATAAGAAAAGGATAGGAATCGTACTCACCGCCCTGTACTTGGCGATACGTTCCGGCATATCGCGCAAGAGGATCCTCCTCCGCACGATCTTCCGCGGCATCTCTCGCTGCCACTTGTGGCCCTTGAACATCTTCTTGCGTCCCGCGTACATCTTGACAATGGGGCCCTCGTACTTCCGCGCGGGCACCTTGCCCTCCCACGTCACCTCCGCCTTCCATATCCTCCTAACGCGTCCCGGGCGCAAACGGAGAGCCCACGCCAGCGGTCGTGACGGTGCGGGTTCAGCTACCACCTCTTCGCTATCGGGCTCGAGGACCTGCTGAGTCACCGCCTTGACCGCGTCGACGGTACCTGAGGTCGTCGCCGCGGCCTGCGGCTTCGCGTCCGGCTTCGCGCCTGCAGCTTTCGCCTTCGCCTTGCGTTCCTTCGGCGACTCGTAGACAGGATTCGGGTCCCACTTCGGGCCGGGCGGAAGCAGGTCGAGCGTGTCGCTGAGCTTGGCCGCCTTGACGAGCTCCTTCTGCCTGCGCCTGGAGTAGAGCGGCTTTTCCCAGCGGCCGGTGACTGGGTTGCGCGACGGCAGAAACGGGTTGAACAGGCTCGGGTTTTTTGGCGGTGCGCCGGGAAGAGGAGGTAGTCTTGTCAGCTCCCGGACGCGGAAGGCCTTTACGGCGCGGAGCGCCTGCGTTGCGGACATCTCTCCTTGGTCCGGGACACGAAGGAGAGCTTGGAAGGTGTGGCGAGGCTGTGTCAGCTCTTGCCTTACCGGGAGGTTCTCACGCGTAGCCTCTTGTACGTAGCAGCAAGACCGACAACCCCATGACGCACACGTACGATACGTTCCCTATGGTGCCGTCGTTTATCACAGATATTGACTCCTGCCTGCGGTACGTCTGAATGTCCATCACGTTCGACCAGATTGACAACGTAAAACGGACTTCGACCTTCGAATTCCATTTACTTGCCATGGATTGTTATATTGGTTCGAGATGTCACTGCTAAATATCAAGTACACCTAGATGTCGCGGAAAGAGCGTTCGATGCAAAAAAAAAACTGCAAAAAGTCTAGTGTAGTAGTATATGAAGCTCGGGGGACAATATGAGATGTAACCTAAACATCAACGACATCGATGAAAACGATTAAAAGGAACGTGATCCAAGAAGAATAATGACGATGCAAATTGCTATGCAGGATGCGATGGGGGCGTGTAGTACTAGTAGGGCAGAGTCCTTATGATCATTCATCACAGAAACAGAGCGTGAGCGAGGTTGGTTTTGTCCATGCGACCGAGTCGAACGAAAAGCTGCGAAGCTGAAGCAAGATCTCCGGGGCATATTTTTTTCCTTCATGAGTGTGAAACTTGCCAAGCACGCGCCGGACTGACCCATCTTCGTCGAATTGGACGATTTTCCGGAGCGTCTTTCGACGAAGAGGCCTGACGTAGTCGGCAGCCAAAAAAAACGAGGGTGTAGCGGCGAGCGATAGCCACGTCGAGGACGGCGAGCCCGACGTCAAGAAGGCAGCGAAAACGGGTCCACGTCCGCGGGTCCTGCGCGCAACGCCCCCATGGCCGCAGCACTCGCGGGTCAAGACCGCGATATGTTCATCTTAATCCGCCCACGCCATCGTCGCCGCCTCACCGCGCCCTCACGAGCACCTTCCTCTCCTCCTTCACCACCCCCAACCCCTCGCCTCGATAACCAGAGCCCTTCCAAAACTTCCACCTCGACCGCCTCTTGCCCGACCCCGTACTCGTGGTGCGCACCTCAACCGCCTCAACCGCCGCCTCCGCCTCCGCCCGCGCAAGCCCAGAACTGCCCGCGCCGAGGTGACACTCGCTGCCCGATGTCGACGACTCGTCCGACACCGGCGGCGTCGGCAGCGGCACCACCGCCTCGTTCTTCTCGCGCAGCTTCGCCTTCGTCCGATCTGGAGCCCTAGGCGTGCTAGCCGGAGGTGCGTCGTTCGCCAGGTCTGTCCGCGACACCGTCGGCGGCGTCGGCGGCGGCGTGGCGATGCCGAGACCCATCGCGCGCGCCTGCATGCTCAGACTCTGTGGCGCCGCGGGTGCCGACCCGTGCCTCCCGCCAGGTATCAACGCCCTCGAGATCGGCGCCGATCCGGGGATGGTCGCGCTTGCGCTCCCGAGCGAGACCGCGCGCGGCGCCGTCGATGGCCTCGATGATCGCGCGAAAGAGGGGGGCACCGCGGCCGAGAGGGACGTAGAGCGCGCCGCGTTCGCGTCCACCACGACGATATCTTCCGGCCCCGCGATCCACGCGCGTGGGATCTGTCGCGGGCCGACGTCGTCTAGCGTGCCGGCGAGTATGAGATCCGGGATCGGGACACTCGCCGCGTCGAGCTCGAGCACGGCGCGGAAGGTGGAATCCGTCATGACAAACTGCTTCGCGCGCTCGACCTCATCGTCCTCTTGAGCGCCAGCGTTGTGTAAGCTGGTCACCGGGTCGGCAAAGTGGACGAGGAAAGACTCGATGCTCTGTATGAGCTTGAGCGCCGGGCCCGTTGTCGTCGCAGAAGAAGAGGTGGACGGGCCAGAAGGCGCTGAGTAGGAGGACAGGGGTAGGACGTGGACGGCGCGCGCAGCGTTAGGGGCGGTGCTGGGGGTCTGCATCGCGGACAGCAGCGCGCCGTACAGCGAATCCTGCGACTGACTCGCGGGCGTCGCCGGCATCGAGGACGGGTAGACCACGTTGTTCTTCCCGAAATACGACGATCTGCGGCTCCCGGGTGTCGGTGGCGCTTTAGCTTTGCCGTTCACGGATCCTCCGGGTGTCTGCGGCTGAGGCCGGGGAGGGAGCTTCCTTGCCAAAAAGGGCCGAGAGATGGTGGTGACGAGGATGATCTGTTTCAGCATCGTCTTCTGTGGCAGACCCGGAGGCACGAAGTTGAGCACGACGTCAAACGGACGGAGGGCGGGATCCGTGCGGGGTTTGCTGCCGAAGAAGGAAGAGCGCGAGCGGGGGCTGAGGAGCATAGATCGCGGCCGAGGCGACGTGGACGCGGCGTTGAGCGAGATGTAGGAGCCCTGGACGGACGCGGGGACGCTGTTCACCGTTCGAGGAGAGGACGGGCCGGGAGAGGTGAGTGAAGGAGGAAGGGCGAGGCCATCGTCGCCTTCGGCGAGTTCGTGCACGCCTGAGCCACCCGCGGAGCGCCATCGTCGGGCAACGCGCTCGGCCCACTCGAGGATCCGAACGAACCGGACCGCGCCGGCGTCTTCGAGCGCGAGCGGAGCAGGGAGGCGGAGGACGCGGACCGCAGGCTGCGGCAAAGGTTGCGATGCGAGCGGCGGTGGCTGGTGGGTGACGAGGAGAACGAGAGAGTGGGCATGACTGGGGGAGTAAAAGATCGATTCGAGGTCGCGCTCGGACGGGGCTATGATCATGTACCGTTAGCGACGTGGTTTCTGCTCAATGTAAAACCGGTACGCACTGCCTAGGACGAGGATGACTGCGCGACGGTCAGAGAGCGCGCCGAGCGAGGAGAGGCTGTCTTGCGCTATTGTCCAAGGCTCGCGCAGGCCCGGGTGAATGTCGGCGAACGGGTCGAGCGGGAAGCGGGGCCGGAACTCGTCCGAACGCGGCTTGGGTGGACTCGCACTCGCGCTGATCGTCGCGCGCGGCGACGAGGACGAGGACGAAGCCATCGGGATCGTGGTGGTGGTAGTGGTGATGGGCAGGGTGAAAGGGAACGGGCGGTGAATGGCGTCCGAGCAGGCACACAGGGCTACTACGGGCGAACGCAATCGTCATCCGCCGGGCTGGTTCGCCGTCGCGCTGTCAGATCCGGAAAGTCGGCATCCAAAATAACAAAATGCCAAGATCGCGGCGTCTGCTGCGAGGACCGTTGTTGGTATATGTAGTGCTCCAACCCCCCGCAGGATTATAATGGACGACCGGCCTTCGTGCGCCGTCCGCGTCAGGTGGTTAGGGCGCCTGTATAGGAGCAGGACGTGGGCGGGACATATGACGCCCCTTCCGTGTTTTTGACCGGCCACGAAGGCGCTGCACGCGGCCAGGGCACTCGCCTCTTCCGGCCACTTGATCCTCCGCTGTCCTGGGTCCGGCAGGGACCTGCTTGGGCCGCCCGTCCTTCGCTGCGCTGCCTACATGCAGTAGTGAGATCCGATCGTGCTTATCTTAGCGACCGCCTCTTCCGCCCGTAAGAATAGAGGTCGCGCCCTGCTCCCTATCGCTCGTTATTTCTGCATCGTCCACTGGCGCAGCGGTTCTGCAGCAGAAAATACACCGCAGTCGCCATCCGTGCGGGTACTGGCGACGTCATCATGGGCATGTATTTACGCACACCACGAACGTGGAACATTTCCGGCCGCCTTTCGCGCGCCCGTCCCACGCCCACTTTGCATGTCCACGCTAATAGCAGTCTCTTGGCCTAATGCGGTCCAGCCCGACGGGACTTTCCAACTTCACGTCCGTCTCTACGACGAAAACCTACACATCCGCCTTCTGCAGTCATATATCGTAGCCCTGTGTCAGTCGACCCCACGACGGCATACGTACGAGCGCATACGTTGGGAGCACAAATTCCTCCCCTGTCTCGATTGCAGATCGATCTGTCGCGCTTGCTTCCGTGCCCTGGACCGTCTCTGAGTTGGCGCAATCGGGCTTCCCCGCGGACGACAGGGAGCGCTGGATACAGGAGTCGCTCGACACGGCCATCTTTTCTAAAGCTGGTAAATCAAATCAAATCGTCTCCGACCAGCAACTCTCACTGATCCGACATATCGATGCGCCGGGTGCCGTACGCACAGAGGAAATCTCCTTGACCAAAACGCAAGGTGGAGCACATACTAGCTTCCGTGTTAATCCCTAGGCCCTACGTCCCTTCACCCGCTTGGCTTCTGGCTTAGCTTCACCGTCAACGCATATGCCGTCACCCGCTGACGCACACGTCGCCGGGATGACAGAATCGATGAGGACAGCCGGCATCTGCTCCCATAGTCTCGCGCAGAGTTCCTCGTTGTCGCTCGCTCACCCGAATATCGTTCTCTAAATCATTGAACCTTGGCCCCAGCTATCCGCACGACGATGGTAAACGCAACACCATCCCCTTCGGTCAAGCTTTTCAACCGACCGAGTCTCTCCTCTTCTCGCTCGCTCGCCCGAAGCCATGGTTTGATACATCATCTCTCTCCTTGGCGTTAACGAGCTGTACGACGACGATGGGAAACGCGACAGGGCCCACGAGAACAATAAACTTCGCTCGCAGCGAAACATCACGAACTGCCGAGCGCGGGGGCGTCGGAACTCGGGACCGGTCAGCCGCGGAGGAATTTCTGTCTTTTCTAGCGATTGCCGTGCGTGGAGTACGGGGCTTTCTATTGCCTTCGTATAAGACTTGCGCGCCGGACCTCGCCAGCCACCACGTCGCCCTTCCTCCAACTTGCGGCGCGGTTCGCGTGAACGACGATGTCCGTATCGTCTTGCATTCACGGTCGATGTAGAGGTCATAGTCGACCTCCGTCACCTCGTTCGGGACGTAGAGTTGCTTATAATGATAAAAACATATTGGTGTCTGCTTGGACCTCCCAGGTTAGATCGAGGTACAAACACCATATATTGCAATAAAACCCCAGATGATACCTGCGTTTGACTATTCGTACTGAAACTGCACCGCTCCTTCCGCTCGTGAAGCAATGCCTAGACGACGGACATGAACACGGCAAAGGCTAATGAAAGGCTCGTATGGACACTGAATGCGAAGTGTCTGGATGAGCACCAAATGCAACGACCCGGGAATGATTAACAAGCAACTAGAAGATGCTAGCGCCCGCCAGGTCGTCCACATTGAGCCAGTCGCTGCCCTCTTCGAGCAGCATCTTCCAGATGCATTTCTTCAGGAACCCAGGCCAAGCTGGCGTATTCCAGAAGCGGGTCTGTAGTCCTTTGGCGTGTGCCGCTTGAACGAGCGTGCGTATCTTCTTCTTACCTGTGCAATGCATAATCAGCAGGTGAGAATCGCAATTAACTCACGTGGAGAGCCCACCAAGGGAGGGTATGATCCACGCGATGCCAATCGTCGCGCCGAAATCGGTGCTAACAAGAGGGGACAGGGTGGATACGAGATCCTCGTCCTTCGAGACAGAGGCCAGCGGTCCGTCCAGGAATATATCCCTCACGGACGCTTCACTACTTCCCGACGCCTGGTTAGCCCCGGACGTGCCGAGCGCCTGCACGGACGCAATGGGCGTGTTGCCCGAGCCGACCACGGTGACGAGACTGATGTCTATTGTGGACAAGGAAGAGTTCCAGCTGGATAGATACCCAGCGCTGCGCAGAGGCTCGAGGGCCGTATGGAGGGCTGCGAACGTGCTACGATGAATCTTGTCGTCGGATTTTCTGGTCATGATTACAAAGACAGGCAATGAACGTACGTTGGTCCATCTGACTTGATGTCTATCAGGAGCTGGAGCGGGAGCGTAGGTGCGGTAGGGTATATCCCTCTGCAATCAAGGACGTAAGCCTGATTACCGAACGCAATACTGTTCAGCGGCAGTGCGTACCTCTTCGGGTGCTCCGGTGGTACATCCTTGTTTGCGGCGTCCAACATCGCCTTCAGGGGGTCAAGGTAAAGCGTGGCGAGGGTACGCTCCGGGGTGAGTTCGTTCTGGGTATGTCCGACCTGTTCCGGTCGTTCAAGCATTCTGCTGGTTACATCACGAGGTACATAACTCACGAGCAGCGTTCCATTCACGAGCCAAATATCGGCCTCGACGCTGGCAGCGCCATAGCTTAACGCCTGAAACAACGGTATGGGATGTTCATCTGCCAACGTGAAAGTTTCGTCAGAGATGTGTCCGAATTGATATATGATCGTCGTTGGCGCGAAAAAAGACGCTGTATCGCGCCGACGAGAGCTACGATCGATAACTCAGCCAACTCAGCGCAAATCCAGCGCTGCTCCCCAAGCGGAAGCACATGGACCAGACGCGGTGTCCTCATACGTCTGACTTCCTTTTGGTATTGAACTCACTCACAATCATTGTGAGCATGAAACCTGCGTGGTATCACGCCTGCGGTCACCGGTACCTCCAGCTGCGGTACAGCGCCTGTGCGAAAGGGACTCTGCGGATCGGCGAAACGAAACAGTGTCACCTTTGTGGTCGGTAGAGGATCAGACATCGTCGGCCTAAAGACTTCCAAGGAACAGATCGCCAGTTGCGAAGTGGGACGGCGACTAAGACAATGAAACCGTTCGCGCTGAGAGGTAAGAGCGCTAGCGGTTCGGCGGGACCGTCGTGTGCCATCTTGAGCACAGCGGGGTGACAACCGCGGCCATATTCGGAGGCAAGGGGGGATCTAACAGCGTTCGCAAAGCACCGAGTGTTCTGAGCAACGTGCGTACACGACGAGTTGTGTATGTGAATATCGCAAGGGTGTGACATCAGGTGATGTACGGTCAGCGTCACCCTGCGTCACCGATCCGTAACTTCTTCGAATTCGTGCGCTTCACGTTCGTATATTCTTGCTTCATCACCTCTATGTAAGGTGGCCTATATCTTGCACGGCAAAGTATGGCTGGCGCGATAAGTGTTTAGACAGGTGCCCTGAACTACACCTTGCCCGTGCGCTTATCCTTGAGACTATCACCTCAAGCCCCATAGTCTAACATATGTCGTACAAGTTTAGCCCAGTGGGAATCGGGAGCACCTGTTCTGTAGGTATATCCAGCTATCAGGATTATATATAACACCCTCAGGGATGCATTACTATTCCTTGGGCACCCTCCCCTCTTCTCGCTCTCTACCAGCATGTCCACGAGCGCACTAAACGTCGTCCTCGTTAGCTGGGATACCTGATATTTGTGCGAGTGCTAAACTCTGCGCAGGGGTGCGGGACGTTCGGAGAACCCGGGACTGATGGAGCGCGTATTCACGATCCCCGAGGCAAGCGCCAGCAGCTTTCTCTTCTGAACACTAACGTAATCGCGATCGTCAATCAGATGTAGACGAGGTGTTAGCTGTGTTCCAAGCTCGCGGGCACACCGAGGTGCGTACTCGAAATCACCAACCGACTGAGGCGCTAAGAATACGAGCAGCTGGACACTTCTCGAATCTATTCGGCCGGAACAGGTGAAGAGTATCTCGGCAAACTGGATGTCGCAAATCGTGGCTTTGAAATCGGTACAAAGATATTTCCTACATTATCCAACGCGCAAACCAACGCCGCCTGTACGCCATCCACATATTCTCGGTAGGACAACGTGGCACTGAGAGAGAAGTGCAGCAGCGAGCGGTTTGATATCTCATTCACCTGAAGTAGGCTCATATCCACTTTGATATCGACGTCTCATATCTTGATTTCGTTCTCCAGGATTTACGAAAATGCTTGGAGGAATCTTTGAGGGCGTTGAAGACCGAGTGAGTTGGCCCTGGGAAGAGTACGACATGCATTTTCGTGCTGTCTCATCGATTATCACAGTTCGGTTGATATATGGTACCTCCATGCACCCGACCGGAGTGTTCCCTACGAGACCACCCTGAAGGCCGTTGACGATCTTCATAAGGAAGGTCTTTTCAGGCGACTTGGTCTCAGCAACTATCCCTCGTGCGCTCAATCTACATTGGCGAATAATGGCAACTCTCATATTTGTATGCTTGATCCAGATGGGAAGTTGCGGAGATCGTCGGGATTTGCAAAACAAACGGATACATACAGCCGACAGTATATCAAGGAGTTTACAACGCGATCCATTGGTCAGTCGTGTTGTCGACGCTCTCGGACTTCGCATACCTGCTGAACGCAACTCAACAGTGCTGTTGAACCCGAGCTGTTCCCGTGCCTTCGCAAGTTCGGAATCAGTTTCTATGCCTTCAACCCTCGTGTGTGGCTAGCACTCAAACATGAAGTGCTGAACTGATTTCAATAGTCGGCGGCGGGTTCTTTACCGGAAAATACACTTCGGCCACGGAGCAAGTCGCAGCGGGGTCGAGGTTCGATCCAGAGAGTCAGCAGGGCAGGGTAAGCAAAAACACATCAAGTGAACTCGTATAGACAACCGATACCGGTCAAGGCGTATCGCAACCGGTATTGGAACGAGTATTATTTCCACGTCGTGGATAAGGTCAAAACATCGGCCGAAAAATATGACATGACCATGGCTGAAATCGGTGGGTGATATTTTTAGTAATTACTGTTCACGTCCATAGACCCAGTCACTAAATGCCCCCCCCACATGCCTAGCGTTCCGTTGGATCTCGCATCATAGCTTAATGAAGCGTCAGCATGGAGACTCGGTGATCACCGCGGCCTCGAGCGCCGCGCAGATCGCACAGGTCAGCACGGTTAACTCACGTTGTGATCGCAGGGCGCGGTCCCGTCGGAGGTAGAACTAACATGAGTTCGATGCGATGATACAGAACCTCTCAAATCTCGAGAAAGGTCCGCTGCGTGAGTGCCGCACACTATTATTCGATATGCCACGACTCTTAACTTCTACAGCGGATGAAATTCTGAAGACGTTAGATCAGGCCTGGCTAGAGGTCAAAGCCCGCGCATCGGGTTACTATCGCTGAGCCGTATATGTATCCATCACTCTTCTTCGGTTCGCACGCAAAGCAATCATGGATCACTACTATTGTCCTTCGGAACAATGAGCAATAGGATACTGGTACCCGTAACGCTAGCCACTATGCAGAAAAGAAGTCCTAGCACGACTTGTTCAAGCAAGTGGGAGAAGACGAGTTCGGACTGGATAGGTCTTGGGCGCTCATCCTGTGCACGAAGAGCCCGGTCACCATACATGCTTGGAGAGAGAGGTGCCTCTTGACCACCTCATGACCTTCGATTTGCCAAGCAGCAACACGACTCTCCATGACTCTGGCTAGACTGAAGCCCTTGGACCGGCTGCACTGATGGCGCACGGGACGTCAACAACATCCCCCCACCCTCGGCATTCTGCACAGTCTGGCCCATGTCTTTCCAGAAGAAAAGCATGGACAATAACCTGCATACGGGAAGTTCAAGACGCTGTCAGCGCACATAATTCAGAGCGCATCAATGGGAGACTACAAACCTCGTCCACATGGAACTTTCCCGCCGTGAATCAGGATCGGCAAAAGCGGAGGAATATGCGTCGTGCACGGGATGGTGCAAACTGGTCGCATGTCCGGGCTCGTACGTAGGGTGAGCATATGGGCGAGGTTGCGGCATCGCGATCCGTGCAGGGGCATACGAGTATCTCTCCGTCATGGTCGGACTTGGATTTTTGAATTTTGTGAAGGTTGCGGGTGGATATGGGTACAATCTTGCTGGCTACCGTCCACGACTTCAGACAGGGCCATTTATACGCCTTGTCTGGCACCGCCGGACGGCCTCATTCACATAGCCTTCCAGTCAGGCATCGACAGCACGATAGGCCGAACCTGCAGAACCTTGAAGGCAATGCTCAATAACCTCCATTATGTGTGCTGCGGTCAGCCGTAATCTAGCGCCATTCCTGTATGGTTGCAGATCTGGCGCACAAAATTGTTCAACGTGCCGGGGTAACAGCTCACTTCGATGTCGCGAAAAAAAACCTCACCGGCTTATGGCATGCCAGGCATCCGGGCCGACCCACGCGAGGGCTGGGCCTTGCGGGAAGATATGAAGGCGCGGAATAGCGGGGCGGATTCCCTTGCATGTTCAGTGGCGCCACTCAGTTCGATAGTTGTCGACACCCTCGACGTCGCGAAGCTACGGCCAATGTTAAGGCTCCAGCTTCGCACATAGAAAACGGAGTGCTGCGTGTCTGAGCCTCCGTTTCATTCGCAAGTTTGACAGTAGCATCATCTACCAGGTGAGTAGCTCGAGGGGGAATATGACCCAACTCGCGAAGACTTACCAATAGGAAGGTATATGACTATTTTGCCGCCTGTTCAGTCAATCGACTTCGAGTCGTTCCGATTGAGGCCCCGTCGGGGGTTTCGACTCGAAGTCGCATACACGAAATAAAGAGAGACAGAGAGAGAGAGAGAGAGAGAGAGAGAGAGAGAGAGAGAGAGAGAGAGAGAGAGAGAGAGAGGAGTGTGGTCCAGGGTCACCCGACAAAGGAGGATAGGATATAAAGTAAAAAGCCGGTATACAGACAGCAAAAAGGCGAGCGAGCGAGCGAGCGATGGGGGTGCGGGCCAAACAAAAAAGAAAACGAGCGCATATAGTCAGGTCAGGTCGAGTTCTTTCATCAAAAAAAAAGCGTAGATAGGTGAGCGTTTAGAGGATGTTAGGATGCGTCGGCGGCGGGCAACGAAAATCTCAGAAGCATGGAAACACGATGTAAAGAAAAAAAGAAAAGAAAGAAAAATGTCCCACATTAAAAAATCCGGGGGGCCGGTTGCGTTTGAGTCTTTCGTTTATGTTTCGTTCTCGACGCGCGGGGTGGAGGTTTTTCTCTTTATTTATTGCGCATCTGGGCGCGCCCCTTATCGACCCGTCCTCCAATACTCCATCGCGGAGAAATCGTGCGCGGGAGAGCCCGCCGCCGAGGAGGAGGAGTGATGCTGCTGATGCGGCGCGGGCGGGTTCATGGCGAACGTCGACGTCGAGAGCGGCGTCAGCACCGGCGCGAGCGACGACGACGACCCCGACCCCGAGCCGGATCCGGATCCCCTCCCGTCCCGCGCCGCCCGGTTATCGGCGTACGGCTCGTGCGGAGGAGGATGAGGAGGGTGAGGAGGAGGGTGACCGTACGCGGGCGCGTCGGAGGACGAAGAGGACGGGGAGGGGTAAAACGTCCGGGTCGTGCCCGCGCCGGCTGTGCGATCCTGTGCCTGTTGCGGTTGCGGTTGAGGGTGCGGGTGCGAGGCGGGCGGGATCTGCGGGGAGGAGTGGCTGGGGTAGAACGGGGAGCTGAGGGTGGGGAAGAAGCTCGTGGGCGAGCCGCCGGCGGTCGAAGTAGTCGAGGTCGAGGTGGTCACGTCCGGCCAGGAGCGCGTCGTCGACGCGTACGCCGCGAACGAGGCTTGTTGATGCTGTTGCTGATTGTGCTGCTGCTGTTGCTGTTGTTGTTGGGTGTGCGTGTGCGTGTGCGAGGCGGAGGAGCCAGTGCTCGACCCGGCGGAGGAGGAGCGGTCGTACCGCACGCCGATGTTGAGATCGACGGCCG